CTATTTCGTAACATGCGACAGACTTTCTCAAAACTCACCTATAGGTTCTGAAACAGGTCTTGTAGTATTGACAATAAAGACTGCATGTTCAATAGTAGCGATATATGTAAAAAAATCCAACAATTAGGATATTACTCTAAATTCCAATCCCTGTGTCAATTGGGAATCTTTCAGAATTAGAGACCAAAACAAATCGTAATTAGCAAACCTTTCAATGAAGCATTAGATGAACTACATGACAGCACTGGTAAATTCAAATTACATTCTTTTGTTAAAAATGTACAGTCAGATTACTTTCAAAATGCAAAAGAATTAATAAGCTATTGAACAAATAGATTTTGCCGAGAATTACGCGCTAATTAGTCAAGACGAAATACAATCAGCACATTGGTTTCATGCACAAATCACGCTGTTATATTTGGACTACCGACAAACTTCACTTATTGGTCATAAAGTGATGAACTGAGTCACAATAAATATACTGTGCATCTTTTTCTGCAAAAAATATTTGAGTACATCAAGTCGGTCTCTGATAATATTACATTTTTATATATCTTCAGCTATAATTATAGAATAGAATAGAATAGAATAGAATAGAAATCATTTATTCAAATAAACTTACATTGAAGCACTTTTGAAAAGTCATTACATTTTTTTTTAATTTACCGCTCGTTCGGAAAGCTGTCTCATCACAAGAAGAACGAGCAAGAAACTTGCGTGATGCTCTTTTAAATAATTTTATTATTATTTTACATTTTTAAGTTTAATTGTGTGAATACAAACCACCAATTAGCACTAATTCAATTAAATAAAAAGAAAAAAAAAATTGAATACATAACCAACTGGTTAAACAATTAATAAGAGGAAATCAGTCATAGTGATTAGAGCAGACCAGTCCCTACAAGCAGCACCCGTTCACGAGTATGACGGATGAGCCAGCCATCACTGCGCTCGACCATATTTTAGGGAGCCCAATGACCCGGCCCACCACGCCGCCACAAGTCTGGACATTTTAGTGAGCATGACTACTCAAAACACTAGACCACGTCAAAGCTACTCACAATTGCCATCTGATAGTTATAGTATTCACATTTTACATAAGAATGCATGCGGCAATTAATACAAAAAACCGCTACGCTTTCATATTTCTAAAATTAATCAATTAAATCAAGAAAGCAATGAGAAAATAAAATTATAACGTTGTATGCTAATAAACTAATTATTTACTTGATATGTTGTCATCTATGAATTCGTCTATCCTGTAATAGGCTTTCTTACATAAAAATTGTTTAATATAAGATTTGAATTGCCTCTCTGTCAGATTTAATGCAGATTCCGGCAGTTTATTATAAAATCTTATGCAATTACCATAGAATGAATTACTGATTTTGTGCAGACGGCATTTAGGTAAAATAAGCTTATTTATATTGCGTAAGTTTCTACTTGTACAGTCTTTGAGTTTTTTAAAACTCGCTAAGTTCTTCCGTGTATACATAATATTTTCATAAATGTATTGTGAAGTAACTGTGAGGATATTTGAGTCTTTAAAGCACTGACGTAATGACTCTCTTGAACCCATACCATAAATAGAACGTATGGCTCTCTTTTGTAAAACAAATATAGTATTTATATCGGCTGCTTTACCCCACAGCAGTATGCCATAAGACATTATGCTATGGAAATAACTAAAATATACAAGTTTAGCCGTCGCCACGTCTGTTAATTGCCTAATTCTTCTAATTGCATATGCAGCAGAACTGAGTCTACTGGCCAATTTTGAAATATGGGGCCCCCATTGTAATTTCGAGTCCACTGTTATACCTAAAAAAACTGTATCATTAACAAAATTTACTATTTCGTCATTAAGCAATAACTGTGTATTTATTAGTCTTACATTAGGAAGTGTAAATTTTATACACTTTGTTTTGCTGGAATTTAATAATAGGTTATTACATGTAAACCAATTTAATATTGCAGACATAGCACAATTTACATCGTCTAATTGATTACTTTGACGTCCAATTTTAAACACTAACGAAGTATCATCCGCAAACAGCACTATATCTGCAATTTTCTCTACCATAAAGGGAAGGTCATTTATGTAGATTAAAAAGAGAAAGGGGCCTAAGATTGACCCTTGTGGAACGCCCATCTTAATATTAGCTCCCTTAGATTTTACACCGTCAATATCTACAGTTTGAACCCTATCCTCTAAATAAGTTCTCATTAATTTTAGATCATTATCTCTTATACCATAATGTTCGAGCTTGTACAAAAGCGTTTTATGATCCACACAATCAAATGCCTTTGATAGGTCACAAAAAACTCCGAGTGCATCCTGTGACCTCTCCCAAGATTCGAAAATATGTGTCATTAGCGCAACACCTGCGTCAGTGGTAGACTTGCCGGCGGTGAAACAATATTGCTGACTGTGAAGCAGTCCGTTAACCCTGAAGTGATGTAACATTTGATTTAACATTATCTTTTCAAACACCTTACTTAGAACTGGCAAAATAGATATAGGTCTATAGTTCCCTGGCTCAAATTTATCTCCTGATTTAAATAGTGGGATTAATTTGCTAAATTTCATTAAATGTGGAAAAACGCCATTATCAATACATTTATTAAAAATATTGCAAATTAAGAATCGATATGTAGTGGCAAGTATGAGTTTATTCAAAGCAGAATACGGATTCAATCACCCCGAAGGGAAATTTTTCACTGCCTCACATAGAAAAGGTGCTGTTGATGGAATTGGAGAAAGTGTCAAAAGATCAGTGTAGATCGCGGCTAATTCCCGTCTCACAAACACACAGTCTCGTTAAAAACATCTTCAAGACCTTTCCGAGGAGCCCTCTCCCGGAATTTTCCGCTGGAAAATTTGGAAGATATTGGCTGCCAAAGTTTTTACTGGGGACACGAGGACATCTCACGGAGCTGCTGCCGGACCAAGACTGGTGACCATCGCAAGCACCGTCGAGAGGCCTCCAACTCGACATCAAGATCTCCAGGACCGGGAAACAGGAAGCAGAGATATAAAGGTCGGAAAGTGCAGAAATTTTTGGCTTACTTCGGAGTGACGTGACAGACGAATAAGATCTGTAACCTACCTTTTTGACCCCTCCAAAATTCAATTTAGACCTCATACTATAAGTGTTCAAAAAATCTGATTTTTCCACTCAGTAGTTTGGAGAAATAAGCCTCCAAACTACCACAAAATTTGTCAAAATTAGTGAGCCCGTGAAAAATCACTTTTCCACGGGTTTTCCAAAATTTCAACTACATAACATCATTCGGCAACTATCAGGCTATAAATATATATAACGTTTGGTGGAAAACTGATAACGATTTAGGTAAAATATTAAAATTTATAACCTGTAGGAACAGATTTTCCAAGTGACGTCATTTTGAAAAGCGGGACAGGTGCAAAATTCCGACCGGCCTGTTCCGAAGAGTCCCTTCAGGACTACACGGCATCTGAGTTATTAGCTATTAAAAATCTCATACAAACAATTTGGCTAAAAATTCCCGGAAAATCCATTAAAACCTATATGTAGATATAGAGTACAAAATTCTGAATTATTGGGAATTTTTCCGAAATTTTTAGACCGCGGAGGGGTGGGTCTGAAAATAAGGAATTACAGTTTTAAAAATATTGCGTGGCACGGGCGGCATTGCAAAATCGCATTGTCGTTTTTGTTACGCAAATTCCCGTGTAATCCCTGCTTCCCGAGCAGAACCAGGGGTACCAAAAGTAAATTATTTATTTTAAAAACAGAAATTAGGGCAGCATGCAACAGCGCAGTTGGAAAACAATAATATATGGCACTAAAGATTAGATCACCTTAACAGAAAAAGTCTACGAATCATGGGTCTTCCACACAGCAGCCAGCCATGCAGCTCATGCATCATGGGTTTTGAAATGTTTTATTAATAATGAATAAATTAGAATAGAAGCGGTTATATTGGAAAAATTGACACAATTTATTAACTTCTGATGTAAGATCAAGAAAACGATTCGGTATAACATTTATACAAAATACAGTTACAATAAATAAATATGGACATAAAATGTATGGAACTAAATACAATAATCTATACATACTACAATTAAATATTACTAAAGATCAAGCAATATTGTCAAAAGATTATCGAGGAAACTTATGACATAGAAGACTTAGTCATTTAAACAAAATTGGTCTCAAAATACTGGGACTATCTATATCTAAAGGTAAGAGTAAAAGTTGTATAGAGAGTAAAAGTGTCAGGAGATAATTTTATACTACCAATAAAGGTAATTGTAAACAACAGATAGGAGATCTAATTAGCTCTGATGTATATAGACAAATAACACCGACAGGTACAGGTAGATACAGGTGAATTTACTTTAACATCATTCAAACGTTATTGTAAATATATAGGAATTGAGATACAATATATTGTACCACACAGCCCTTAACGAAATGGAACCAGTGAACGGATGAATAGAACATTATTGAATAAAATAAGCACAAATTTTGCGGAAACTAAATTACCTAAACTTTTGCTGCTCAGAATATGAATATTCTACAGAATACACCAGACCCAGGACATGAACAAGAAACTCCGACTTCAGTACGCAAAGATCTCAATAATATTAATAGTTAGCAAGTTTCACTTAAACCGTCTACAAGTACTCAAACAGACAAATTCTGTTTTGACAAATCGATCTGAAAGTGTAACGTCTTCTAGTTCTTCACTTATATTTTCACCGGAAACCATATGACTTACCAAAAGCTCTTTAGAGGAAAAAAAAAGCACAGGTCGGAAACCTAAGAAATCTACAATTTACAGAGATACGCCAGATAAAGAAAAGATCAGAAAGGAGTATTAAAATGTGTTAACACATGAAAACTTTTTGGTATTTATAATAATTTGAATTTAATAAAAAATAAAAACTTATTTTTTTTCTAGCTGTCAACAAGTCTTTTATTTCATAAAATTTAAAATATTAAAATAAAGCAAAATACAGCTAGAACACTAAGAAAATGGAGATAATACTTTTAATATGCAATAAGAGGATTTTAGAATGGAAAACTACAGAAAAGATGAGGAGACAGACATTAGCAAAAATTTATTTGAATGTAAATACAATATGTTAAAAAATATATATAAATTTCAAATGACAATAAGAATATAAACATGTAGCAAGGAGTTCGCTACAAGTATGAAAACAAATTCAAACAGTTCAACGAAAAGAAAATTAAGAAACGATTGGATAAAAGAAAAACCAAACGAAATACCACAAAAAGGAAGAAAACCAATACACAACCGGAATAATCATCATCAGAATAGGAAGACTGTTATTGCCTTGTTTAAATGTCATAATAATATTATATGATCAGAGAGCAGACCCGAAGAAAAATGGATACAATGCACAAGTTGTAAACTGTGGGCTCATGAAGAGTGCACAGAAGATGGTCTTCGCGATGTTTACCACCCTTGCGACTCTGAATGGGACTAAAATCAGAATTTATAACACAATATTCTCATTGCTCGCTAAAGTTATGAATAATAAAGTAGCCAAACAATACAACCACCACAAAACAAGAAAAATTGCGGCCGTATCAGATTCCAAGAGTGAGACTGTTGCAGAAACAGTAATATTGTTTGAATCTTAATGAGATGCGGTCTGTTGTACTCGATGTATCTAAAGACTAATATCTAAAACCGAATATGCTGAAACTGCAAAATTAGATGTGACGACATGTCCGGAGATGAGAATCTATGGACAGCCCACAGTTGTCTTCCAGTTCTCAACACAGTAACCTGTCCAAAAATAATTTTTATTTCCATTTGTGTACTTTTTATTTGTATTTATATATATTCTAATCATCTTAAAATAAGTACCACTGTATGTTTGTGATTAAATTCTTTTTTTTTTTTAAGATTCGGCCTTTTTTTCGTAAAACAGGTCGATCAAAATAGTTCAAATAACTACTGAACGGTTAACATGGGAAAAGTCCAATAAATAGTCATTTCACGTATGGAAAATTTTCTCAACATTCTGTGTATACCAAATCCGACCAAAGAATTGGAGAATCCCTCAGAACAAGCAACATCTTCGTCTATTTCAGAATTATTAAGATTTTATACGCCCGCAGCAACTCCATTACCAAAGCCATTCTCATAAAAAACTCCAGACCTTCCTATAGAATACATACATTTTTAAAAATCCAGATTCCATCGTTCAGATTGGTATTTTTTTACCATTCACCGCATACATGCAAATCTCTAATGACGAAATACTTGCTTCTGATAGCCATGGATCTACTTTAACCCATTTGCCTTTAGCCCTTTGTACACATGCGTGTACAGCTATAAAAAGAAATATTTTTAATTTTTCTGTCTATGGTTTATTATTTTTAATTTCTGAATCTATTAAAAGATGGCGCTAGCTACAAGATTCAGATATTCTGTTGATGACAATGACTCATCCTCGTATTTTTACGAGTAGGGGAGGTAGGGGAGCATTGGGCAGTCGGGAGGTTTGGGCACCCCCTCATTTCTCCAAAACTTTCATAGATATTTTTTGTTTTCTACCACAGCACTATACTTTATTCACTAGCAACACCGCTTATCTAAAGTGTCAGCTGTCATTTCACTTGGTTGTCAAGTTACATGCGCGTAACGGTTTGCTGCGTACAGAAGTAAATATTTTATTTGTGATTTGATGTAACTTATCAAAGAAATCTGCAAGAACGTGTAAGTATCTGTGTTATCTTTTTCTTTTGTGTTTAATGAATATTATATTTGCCTGTAAATTAGGTTTCTACATTTGATAAAAATAATCTTATTCTAATCTATTTGAAAAGTGAGGTTATGGGGAGCATTGGGCACGCAGGTAGGAGGGAGGTTTGGGCATGTTTGGCTCTGTTTTTAGTGTATTTTGGTGTCTTTTTGCTATGCCTATTGGATTGAGTGGTTAATCATTTCTTTTTAGGACAATGCCGTTTTCATTTAAAAAGAAAAATAAGCGACGTGAAATCCCTAAAGATATTATTTTGCGCGCATTGGAAGAAGTTTCCAAAGGTGCTAAAATTAAAAGTACTGCGAATAAATATGACATACCAAGATCTAACCTTCAAAGGTATATCAAGCAGGGTGGTGTCGTAAAAGATAATTCTTGTAAATTTATATCGTCTCAAATATTCACAAAAGATGAAGAAGAGAAAATTTCGGAATATCTTGTAACATCTTTTAAACTAAACCATGGACTATCAAAACTGAAAACACGCGAATTGGTTTATGAATACGCCACTGCCATTAAAAAGAAAATACCAGATAACTGGACAGAGAAGAAACTTGCATCCAAAGACTGGATAAGGGGATTTTTTAAAAGACAGCCTCAACTTTCGATAAGGACACCAGAGGCTACCAGTCTGTCACGGGCCACAAGCTTCAATAAGACAAATGTCGGAAATTTTTTTGAAAATCTTAAAACTGTGTATGAACGGCATCGCTTCGGCCCTGAGTCTATTTACAATATAGACGAAACTGGATTATCAACGGTGCAACGAACCCAGAAAGTGATTGCTCTCAGAGGCACTAAGCAAGTTGGGCAAGTAACGTCAGCTGAAAGAGGGACGCTTGTAACGGTTTGCTGCGGTATTAATGCATTGGGTAACTCAATACCACCATTTTTCATATTCCCACGGGTTAATTTCAAAACATATATGCTAAATGATGCCCCTGTTGGTTCAGATGGAGCAGCACATCCTTCAGGGTGGATGACATCACCAAATTTTTTAAAATATATTCACCATTTCGCCAAACACGCAAAACCAACGCCTTCATCGCCAGTTCTTTTGCTGCTGGACAATCATGAGAGCCATATTTCAGTACCAGTTCTCGATTTTTGCAAACAATCAGGCATTGTTTTAATGACTTTCCCACCACACTGCAGCCATAAACTGCAACCTCTAGACCTGACTGTCTATGGACCACTGAAAACTTATTATAACACTGCTGTAACAGATTGGATGGTAAGCAATCCGGCCAAAACAGTAACAATTTATGAAATACCAAAATTAGCAGCAAAAGCCATTCCACTAGCATTCAAGTTGCAGAATATTCAAAGTGGATTTGAAAAATCTGGCATATGGCCATTGAATTCAAATATTTTCTCCGATGAAGATTTCGCTTGTTCTTTTATAACTGATCGCTGCTTGTCGGAAGAGGGTAATGTTCCTTCAGAACAATCTATTTCAGACCAACCTGTCACTGAACAGCCTTCAACAGGGGAAAATCAGAGTCTAGAGGATCGTACAAGTTCAAATGTGGAAGTCATTGGGCCATCTCAACTGGAATCTCCCTCTACAAGTCAAATTAGTGGCACTGTCAATGTAACACCTGATGTAGTAAGACCGTATCCGAAGGCCGGCCCCAGGAAATTGCAGGGTATGAAACGGAAGAAGGGAAAAACTAGAATATTGACGGACACACCCGAGAAAAGACTTATAGAAATGGAAGAAGAAGAAAGACAAAGAAAAAATAAGATCAAAGAGCTCAACAAAAATAGAAAATGCTTCAAAAATACAGGACAGAAAAAAATTCCGAAACTTGCTGATGAATTTACTTCCAAACTAGAGAAAAACAGGAAAATTAGCAGCGATGATGAAATAGAAAATGTTTCAGTTTCTGACGAAACCGTTGTTGAGTCGGAAGATTTTGATGAAGACGATGTGATCGTTCTGGATAGAAATTTCCAGATCAATAACTTTGTATTAGTGAAATTTGACACCAAAAAAACTGTCTACCATTATGTTGGAATAATCGAAGATGTTAATCAGACGATGGCAACTGTAAAATTTATGAGAGTGAGTAAGTTAAGAAATACTTTTATATTTCCTGACATCGAGGACGTAGCCAGTGTCCTCCTGGAGGATATAAAGACAAAATTGCCTACACCAACGACATGGATGAAACGTGGCAGCTTAAAATATAAATTTGACAAGCCTCTATGGATCATACCAAATATAAGATAAGTTTAATTAAGTCTAACATCGTGCAGTACTGATTCTAAGTCACATTGTTAAATTTTTCTAAAATCTATGATAAGAAAAAATGTTTGTATTACAATTTTTTATAGTAATGTTATATAATACTTAAGCCTAGTAGTATAGTAAAGCAATTTCGTGCATATTAAATACAGTGCCCAAACCTCCCTACATGGGTGCCCAAACCTCCCGACCGCCGGGAGGTTTGGGCACTTTGGACATGTGTTCGAAGATCTCTTGTAACTTTGAAACTAATTACAATATTGAAACTTTTCTTAATAATAATTACTACCATATGTGTGCTCCCTATATTAGGAATAAAATTTTGATTATGATAAAAAATAACAGTTTTATTAACATTTATGTAAAAAAGTGCCCAATGCTCCCCTATCTCCCCTAAAAATAATTACGCCAAACTCAAAGAAGTTATTGAAGCTGTAATTGCTGATGAGAATGATGATGCGGAATATGACGTCTTATTGTTACCTCCTGAACTTGCCGTTGTGAGTGACGAAGAAGGAAATGATGACGATTTTACATGTTCAATTTTGCCCAAAGAAGTTCCAGGGACCATTGAAATAATTTCACGTAGATCGAATTTTGATACATCGGATTGGGAAGACAGTGATGATGAACCATTGTCAAATCAGGCTGGCCCATCTAAAGGATCACGAACCCAAGATACTCCTGTTTGGAGAAAAACACAACCCGTATATACCATGACAATAAAACTATCCGATAGTGTACTATGCAGAAAAAAGTTCTTGTTATAAAATTTAAAGATTATAGTCACACAAAATTATTTGAAAGCTATTTTGACGATAATGTCATGAAAATAATCGTCGACAACAGCATACTTTATGCAGGACAGAACAATAGACACAATTTTCATTTAGATGATATCGATTTGAGAAAATTTTTAGGTATATTGTTACTTACAGGATATCATGAGCTGCCTTCAGAACGATCTTATTGGAGTTTAGATGAAGATCTCGGAATATCACTGGTGGCAAATTGTATGTCATGTAATCGATTTGTAGATATAAAAAGAAATTTACATTTTGTAGACAATTCTTTAACTGGTAATTCAAATGATAGAATGTTCAAAGTTAGATCACTATGTGAGCTTATTCAAAAGAACTAATGCGAATGGGGTGTTTTTTATGACACATTATCGGTGGATGAATCAATGATAAAGTATTTTGGCCGTCATCCTGCCAAACAATTCATTATGGGAAAACCTGTTCGATTTGGATATCGCAACTGGGCTACTACTAGCTCTGACGATTATTGTTACACCTTTGATGTTTATTTTGGCAAGACAAATAATGGATCGAATGACCCGTTGGGATCAAGAGTAGTCAAGTCGCTGTTAGCAAAGATGCCAATTGTACCCAATGAGCACGTTGTGTATTTTGACAACTTCTTTACGAGTTACCAGTTGCTGAATGATCTCCGTATGTTAAGTTACAGAGCAACAGGAACTTTTAAAGATAATAGAACCAAGAAGTGTCCTGTGACATCAGTAAAGGATATGAAAAAACAACCAAGGGCTAGTTACGATTATCGTTTTGACACAAAAAATTAAATAACAATCGTGCGATGGAAAGATAATAGTATAGTTACAATGGGTTCAAACTTTGACGACATTAAACCTTTAGGTAAAGTAAAAAGATGGTGTAACGAGCGTAAACACAAGGTGGACTTCAATATTCCAAAGTTGTTTATAAATTATAACAAAGGAATGGGCGGTGTAGATCAAATCGACTAATCCATTAATCTATATAGAGTAGCCATAAAAGGGAAAAAGTGGTGGTGGGTATTATTTACATACCTTATAGACATGGCAATGTCAAATGCTTGGCGGTTGCATGTACTAATAAGCAAAGAGGACGAAAATATTACTTATGTGGACCAGTTGACATTCAGACGAATGGTGGCACGAGCGTATCTACAGCCTACAAAGGCGACAAGTCGCCCAACGTCGTCTTCAGTTCTGGGACTTGACCGAAAAAATTATGGTCATAACCCAGAACGCGTAGAAAAACCATTGAGATGTGTTATTTGTCACAATCGGGTTCGTTGGTGTTGCGAACTATGTCAAAAAAACGCTTTGTGTCGAGCGCCCTTGCTTTGGACAGTTTCACACTTAATCCGCCAACTGTACCCACCCGAGTACACCATTATAATCTCGGACCTGGATATTTTTAATTTTATTTTTTCTTATATTCCTTTAATTCAGCTCATAATAAGTTAATAAATAGCATTTGAAAATAGTTTTTACATGTAGTTTCATTTTGGGCGTTAATGGGTTAATGTCAAAATCTAAATTTAGGATTACTGAAATAAAATCTGGTATAACAGATTACATGTCTCCTTTGCTAGCTTACCTAATCTGTACACAATACATAAAATAAAGATATACTTAATCCAGAAGTGGGTGATTCAACTACAATCCTTTACTTCAAACGTTATTTATGAACCCAATATCTAGAGTTTTAAGGAGTCCAAAGAATAGGAGGGAAAATGGGACAAGTGTAATAAGAGACAAAGATAATTACAATAATAAAAAAACTTAGTGCCTATCCTATAATGACAAAATATGTGAAACCATTGTAATATTACCATATCACCTTGTACCACATTTTTAGCAATAAAATTTATTCATTCATTCATCCCGAGATAGCTAGCCAATAACATCATAATGACGTTATTGGTTAGCTAAACACAATAAGATTATAATGACGAGCTAAATTTGAAGTATTTTTTGTGTTGAAATAATTCATTGGGAGATGACATCAAAACGAAAATACCAATTCAAAAAACATCTTACATGAATATTTTCCTGTAAAGAAAGTTGCCAAAAACAGTGATTTATTTTTCTGAAATCGCCATTAAAGGACAAAACTAATAATAAAAATAAACTCAATAAACTATACCCACAACTGAAAAATTTACACTTTCCACACCAATTTTCGATGTAAGTAAAAATTTAAATAATATTATTTAGATTACTCACTAGTTGGTGCTAAAGAAAATTAAAAAAAAAAAGGCAATTTTGTTTATCAAATAACATTCAGGAGGCCAAGGCACATAGGCTCATGCTCGTGTCACAGTCACTCATGACTAAGGAAAATGAATGGATCCCAAAACTAGTGGAGCTTTTTTGATTAAATTACACATAAATTAAATTAATGTTATGAACATTTGTATTTTTTCAATATCATCGGAGCTGAATAGAGCATATTCGGCCATAGCAACCATATTAACAAATGTGATGCTGTATTCCAAAAACAAAAAAACTCTATAATTCCAATCAGTAGACATTCAGAACTTAAATCGAGTTAAATTATGTTTTTCTACTGAATAAACACAAACTATACAGACATTATTTCTGATAGTTTTAAAATACTGAATTATGTAATGCAATATACACCACAACTATATTACAAATATGAGGGACTGGCATCTAAACTGGGCTGTGAGTTGCCTTTGTTTACCAGGCTACCCTCCTCAGAAATTTACATCAGTAATTTATCGCCAACTGCCACTGATAATTACATGAAAAATGTACAATTTAGTAGTTTTTTTTTTCTAATTTATGTTATATCCAGATACATTATAACCAACTACATTAATTTAATACTAATTCCATTTATAAATGTGAAATTAGTTAAGTTTTGAGCATGAGTTTATATTGTACAGGTGAATGTCCTACTTTTCTAACTTCCTCTAACATATATGTTATTATGTTTACTATCTACATAATCTAAGGTATGAACATTAATTTTCATAATGCTTAATGACGGATCATTATAACTTTGTCTAAAAGTAAAATCAAGGTTAATCAGTTTCTTCAAAACTTTGCATTAAGTACCAATTTCTTTTTTTTATCAGTGTTAAATGTCATCACTTCAATTAGATTTTTTTTCAGTATCTTTATTCTATATAGACAAATCAGAGCTCAGATTTCTCATCTTGGTGTATTTTTTTAATTTTATTTAACAGGGCTTGGTTATTGCATACCCAACTAGAAGGTACAGTTCATGACTCTATAATTTTTTGCAAGCTGAATTATTGTATATGGCATACACATATTTCAAGGTCAGCTGCAAGGGGTGTCACTGTGGAAGACTTAGTATCTATTCTTCAAGATCTTTCACATTTCTGACATCTTCGTTTGTTATACGGGAACATTTTCTAGCATGATGTAGTCACATGTTTCTATAATATTTGTTGAGTGATTCTTGTGCATCTTCCGATATGAAGAACTGCGAAATGTTTGATAATGTTTTCTACGTGTAAAAGTATCTTTAAAACTGAAGATGACATGTAATACCATTATATTTTTTCCCTTCAATTATATTCTTGCAATTTCCATTGCGTATTCGCCAAATATTTACCAGCGCGCTGGGAGATTATATATATAGTTTTATAATTGTAATTTATATAAGGAAACATTTGAAAAGAATAAACATAATTTGATGTTACAGACAGTAAAAAAGAAATGGAAAAGTAGAAGACTGATTAAGAAATTCAAAAGCTTGGTTTTGCGAGACTATACTCGAAAGCATAGACTTATTAAAAAAAAAAACAACTTGAACCATAGAAAAGCATACTTTTTTTTTCCTTTCTTATGGCATGACACGAAGTGCATCCGCCAAAAACAAAGTTTGGGAAACAGGATTTTAGGAAAGGAGTTTTGGACGACGGAATTTAGGATAAGGATCAAAAAAGTTGAATAATGGATAATATAAGGAAAAGAACAGATACCTAAATAGATGTTACAATATATTTAACCTTAAAAATATATATGTATATGTAAAGTACATAGACTAAGAAAATTTACAACTTAATATTATTGATAAGAATAAAAGAGGAAATCAAATTATGAAGAGCATCCTATTGAGGGTTTTAAAGATTTTGTCAAAATTAGCTGGCAACACCCATATAGAAGATAAAGTAACGTTAAAGGATGTTTATTCAACATAACTATTTTTTTTTTTGACTGACTTAATTATTACAAAATAGGCTATAATTGGATTATGATAAAATAATTTTTTTAGTATATTTAACTTTCTTACAGCAACACATTTATTGGCACATCGAGTGTTTTCTTTTGGGTATTCTGTGGTTCTACAATTCACAGTACCACAGATATATATTACCACAGTCAGATATATTAAAATAAGCAGTGTAAGTCACAAACTTTGCTTAAATAAATTGTAAACAGAATAAAAAAAAAAATCTTTATTATTTTTTTAGGTTATGTTGTTTGATTTAAGAATTTAAATATGAATTGATAAAAAATTGCTATCAACCTTGCATCGTCAAAGAAATAATATTCATGCCACGTCTTGGCGTTATAGTGTTTACAAGTTAGCATCCATTTTTTTCATAGCAGGCTGGCTGCAAATCCACAATGTTGTTTCTGTGTTTCACGTAAGTAATTTTATTAATAAAATTAACAATTAATTTATTCATTAATATTTACTTAAAATATTTAACGTTGTACTGCAATAACTATGAATGTACTTATCCTATAATTTTAATTTGATCATTCCATATTGTGCATTAAAATATTTTATTTCTAGTTATTTGAAACTGACTGCGACCCATTGAGTGACCGGCATTTGTCCAATAGTGGACATAATACATGGCTATAATATCAAATACTTAGCTTTCATTTTTATATAAGAGCTTTAAAAGCATTAGTTCACTTAGATTTTTACTTAAAGTTTTAAGAGATCAAATCTAGAACTGATATCGTCACATGACATTGATCAGTACCTATCCAACTTAAACAGTATTTACTTGTTAATATAATAATATTATATCTTAATTTAGTAACTTAAATAGAGGAATATTTACGTTATATATACTTGTTAAACATTGGTTAATTTTTTTTTAGAATTTTCTTCATTATACCGTTCATATTTTTCGGCGTGCTACTGTTTGCTACATTTGTTTTGGTGCCAGCTGCCTTCATCTTTGCATCATGGTTCATGAAGATAAAGGAACGCAAGCGTCAACGTAGAAACCGTGATGGTGCCAATGTGGCATTCTTCCACCCATACTGCAATGCAGGAGGAGGTGGCGAGAGAGTATTGTGGGTTGCTATAAAAGCAGTCTTAGAAAGGTATGTTAGAAAATAACTAATTTTGTTCACATTCTTTCACAACTGTCTTTATCCCTGCCATCCTGCCACTTTACCCTTTTATATTAATTTATAAAGTACCTCGTGTATTCAAAGGTGGCAAACAAGCATACGGCCCACCTGATGGTAAGCGGTTACCGTAGCCTATGAACGCCTGCAATACCAGAGGTATTACGCACGCGTTGCCGACCCTGAAGAAACCTCTTTACCCCCCTTTTGAAGAACCCCATGCTGTAGTCTCTCGGGAAAACCTCGGCAGGGAGCTCATTCCATAACCTGAGTGTTCGTGGGAGAAAGCATCTCTGAAACCGCGTTGTACGCGACCATTTAGGCTGTAAGGTATGAGGGTGAACTCCCTGCCGATGGCGAGCCATATGATGATAGAAAGTGGCCGTAGGCATCATATTGAATAATTCCTCTGAGCACAATCCGTTGTATAAGCGGTAGAACACGCAGAGTGAGTGTGTTTGTGTACTAAATTTAGTTCATATCTGTTTAGCTGTCCATGTTTATAATACTAGATAGATTAGAACATTCATGGTCAACATTTTATTAGTAGTTATCTGTCCACTGCGGAATATAGGTCTCCCTCATAGATAGTCATAAGGAATGGAGCAATTCTTTATAGCAGTTTATCATTGGAGGGATTTTATAAGTAGTTGCCACGTTTAGCAAGTGAATTGACAATTACTGTGTGCCTTTTAGTGATATTTTAATAGGAATGCTGCTGCCGGTTCATCAACTCTTAAGATCCCTTAGTGCCTATCACAACACTCACTGGAAAAGAAAAAATAATACAATGAACACTTTATAAGCAACTCATTTGAACCAATTTGAATAAAAAAAAAATGTTATTGGGAAATGTTGCTTATAGAGAAAAAAGGAGTATAAAAGTATTTTATGGTCTGGAAAATATTTTTACTTATTTCTTTTACTAACTGGACTCAGTAGAATAAATAAAATATAAAGAATGTTGCATACAGAGAGGTTGCTTATATACTTAACTATATTTTGTATTATAATCTCTATTTTTTTTTTCTAATTTCTTTCAAATGTTCAAAGGTACCCAAACACAAACATCAACATTTACACAGTTGAGATGGCTGAGCCAAAGACAATACTTGATAAAGTCCAGAACCAGTTCAATGTTCAACTGCACTCGGCCAATATAAATTTTATTCGACTGTCAACGCAGAGGGTGATTGAAGCTAAAATGTATCCGTACTTCACACTGCTACTTCAGAATTTGGGCTCGATGATCATGGGAATGGAAGCATTTATGAAATTAAATCCAGGTATTATTTTATGTCTTAATATGTAACATTTTAAAATAGAAAGTTTTATTTATTTATTTATTCATTAGTACAAATATGTGTACATGGCAGACTTAATGCTAAAAGCATTCTCTCCCAGTCAAACGTAGGGAAGTGTCAGAATACTCGAATGCGGTACTACTAATTATTGATATACATATATACTAAAATTACATATATAAACGAAAGTTCTCAATTTATCTGCTATTTTCTCATTGGTATGGGGATATTTGATGTTATGTCATTGCAATCAATATTGTCCATGCCATTGTATGGAATAATGTGTTATATTTATTGTCATATTAAATTAATGTACATACCCATATCCATTCAATAAATTAATGTAATTTAGGCTTTACTCCACATTAGCTTTATTTAATTTTGCAAGGACTAAAGTTGCCATTTTGCTAGCAATAAGAACTGTTTGTTGTGAGGCAAAATCTCCATATAAATATATGGCTTTATTCTAAATTTATATAGTCACACTGTATCTTATATTTTAAAATGTTTACAATGTAGTAAAATTACAATATACATATATGCTATGTGTAATATTTACTTTTAGATCAGGGGTTCCCAAATTTATTTTGTCTACTGCCCACTTTGAGATTAAATTATTTTATAGCGCCCCCATTTTTTCACCTATTTAAAAACTACTATTACTTCAAGATCAACAAATCACCCCCCAAGCCTCCACACAACGCCCCCATTTTTTTCTGAGTCTCTTACCGCCCCTCTTTAAGCCTGTAGTGCCCACAAGGAAGCATTATTGCCTACTTTGGGAAAGGCTCTTATAGATAGATAGTCTTTATTACCACCAATAATAGTTAAAAAAAAACAACAATAAAAAAGGAAAAAAGCAATTAATTTTGCTAGTAATAGGAGCCTATGCACTAATGCTAAGAGCTTATGCGGGTATAGATTAGAAATGAAGTCATTATTCATATATATATATAATAAATAACAATAACCTTATTATATATTACCATTATAAATTATTCCTGAATAACTTTTAACTAACTTTTACCTGCAACTTTGTCTATGTGACCAGTATATGTTACTGATCATCGTCATCATCATGTCAGCCTTTAACTGGTCACTGCTGAACATAAGCCTATTTGGTGGGTTTTGTCAGTAGTTGCCACGCTTGGCAGGCGTATTGGCAGCCACATTCAGGCTTTAGAGGTGTTTTAAGAGGGACGCTGCTGCCCATTCCTCGCACTCCCTTAGTCAGCGCTTATGACACCAACGGGATAGTAGGGGGTGGTTTATTCAATGCCGGGACCACATCATATGTTTACTGGTCGTGGTGAAAAGTAGCCTATGTCCTTCTTCATCCCGTTTAGTACGTGTTTAACAAATTGCATAATAATTGGTTAAGCTGTTACGGCAATATAAGGTAACAAACAAACTCACTATCAATATCACTACATAGTATAAAACAAAGTCGCTGTCACTGTCTGTCCATCCCTATATACATAGGCTTAAGACTTTAAAACTACGCAACGGATTTTGAAGCGGTCTTTTTTTATTAGATAGATTGATTTTTTTTAATACAACTTAGAATGGCAAACAAGCTGATGGCCCACCTGATGGAAAGTGGTAACTGTCGCCTATAGACATGAGCGGTATCATGGACATAACAGAGTATACTGTTTCGTCCATAATACCTCCCATGTGTTGCCATACCTGAGGACTCAGATGTTATTAATCTGTACCCTGTAAATTCTCGCCATATCCCACCCTTCAAACCGAAACACAGCTATGCAAATATAACTGCTTCACGGTGGAAACACGAATGGGACAGAGGTATCCAAGCAATCGACTTTTGTACAAAGTCTCCCTATGGTAAAATGAAGTGATTCAAGAGGAAGGTTTATATGTATAATACATGCATAATATTGTAGAGAAACACTGATAAATTTATAGGTTTTTAATGTGATGTCGTAAATAAACGCATTTTTTTGCGCTTACATTGCAAACGCTGGCTGAACCCCACGAGATAAATCATATAAATCAAAAAATTAAAATGCAGGGACATAGCGGTGCGGTGGTACCGGCCGGCCAGCGGCGCGTGCCTATAAATAGTACGTCGAAGGCCGCGCTTCGCCCTATAGCATTTTATCATGTTTGTATTGTCTAATGACAAGAAAGCTGTAAAAATTGTTTATAAGGGCATTCTATAGTAGGTAGGTGTATTTAGTAACAGCATTGCACCCGTGCGTAGCCGGGGCGGGTCGCTAGTTTATAATATTAATATAAGAATAAACAATTTGTTTCTAATCAGATATATACATTGATACAACCGGATTCGCCTTCACCTACCCCATATTCCGATACCTGGCGCAGTGCCCGGTCGGCTGCTACGTCCACTACCCGACCATCACCAGCGCCATGATGAGGAGGGTCCAGCACAGGATAGTGGCGTACAACAACTCCAGTCTCATAGCCAGGAATCCACTGTTCACATGGATTAAATTACTCTATTACAAGATCTTCGGATGGGTATGTATTTCAAAATTAATTGTTGAGTTAGCCTCAAATAAAATATAAAAATATTATGTATTTAAAAGTTGATATTAAGAGATAAGACCATCTTTTTTTTATACTACTGAGGTGGCAAACAAACATACGGCCCACCTGATGGTGAGCGGTTACCGTAGTCTATGGACGCCTACAATACCAGGGGTATAACGCGCGCGTTGCCGACCCTGAAGGAACCTCTTTACCCCCCTTTTGAAAAACCCCATGCTGTGGTCTCTTGGTAAAACCTCGACAGGGAGTTCATTCCATACGGACCATCCATTCAGATGTTTTCTGTTTTTAGAAATGTTTTCTGAATGTTCATGGGAGAAAACATCTCTGAAACCGTGTTGTACGCGACCATTTAGGCTGTAAGGTATGAGGGTGAACTCCCTGTCGATGGCGAGCCGTATGATGGTAGAAAGTGACCGTAGGCATCATACTGAATAATTCCTCTGAGCACAATCCGTTGTACAAGCGGAAGAACACGCAGAAGCAAAACCTTTCCTTGCGAAGGACGAATTTCCGCGCCCAGCAGTGGGACTTCTAATTAACTGTTAACGTCAAAACGTATTATCATCGTCATATTAGCTAATAATTATCCGATGCTAAACATAAGTCTCCCCCTTTGGGGGTTTTGCTGGTAGCTACCACGCCTGGTAGCTGGGCTAGCAACCGCAGTTAAGTTTTAGTGAGGTTTTAAAAGAAATACTACTGCCCATATTCCTCAACTATTAAATTCCCTTAGTAGCTTCTTACTACACCTGCGGGAATGGAAGTTTTTTTTTTTATTGGATAATAGAATGGTAACCCCGCCTAGACGCCTGCGCTAACAGTATACGCTGGTGGGGTACCAGTGAAGGATGATAGGTGAGAATGAAAAGGCAGGTCAGTTAGCCCATTGTAACTAATACACCTGGAATTCAGCACAATGGTTTCCAGGGAGGACCACGGGGAGGTCGACCTGATAAGGTATATTGCTAGCCATGGGACTGGTAGTCCATATTACTAACAACCCCTCCCCCCCCTGGAAAGGAAGGAGTGACTTATTCTATAGTGAGACCATGCAGTATTTAACCCTTCCTTGCATGTTTTTTTTTTTGTTATTGGTGAAATAAATCAATAATTCATGTTCAAAATTAAAGTAAAAAATTTCAAAAAAATTTTTTGACAGCCATGTTTTTTTTTCTGCAATGGACATTAAAAAGGTATTTAGACACGATCAACTTAAAATGAAATTGTTCTTTTATATAATTTCTTGGCATTCAATGTTATGATGGAAATTTCCACCATTATGCAAAGAAAGGTTAAAAAAGAATTAATAAGTTTAAAATAAAAATTCCAGCTGTATGGCGTCGTGGGCCGCTGTGCGGACGTGGTGATGGTGAATGGCTCGTGGACGGAGGGCCACATCGCGGAACTATGGGCCGTCCCAGACAACACCTACAAGGTCTATCCACCATGCGAGGTAAGTGGCTATTATTTATTCACGTTATAACTTTTTTTTTTTATAACATACTAACCATCCGCCCAGGCTTCGTACTGGTAGAAAGTTTATAGTATTTTATATTGTAATGTAATGTAAATTGGACTCACTTTTCCGTACTTAGCCTTTCAGTATTTTATATTACTATACGATACACACTGCTAGCAACGACTGCCAACTTGTACAGTTATTGAAAAATAAAAAAATATGTTATAATACCTAATCAGAGTGATGACTCATTTATCATCGTTGTGGCGAACGTAATGCTCGACGTATCCAAGTTTTGCCGAACATATTAGAATGTAACGTTTAAGGCCGGCAGCACGCCTGCAATGCCGTTGGTGTTGCGGGTGATCATGGGCGGCGGTAGTCACTTACCATCAGGTGAGTCGCATGCCCGTTTGTCCCCTGTGTTGTAAAAAAAATGGAAGCAGGTATGTAGGTACTATTTACCTGTAAAAGCTTTTACATCACTTCAAGTCCTGATAATGTATTTAAAATATATAGATTTAATAAGATTTTTTAAGATTGATGAATGTGGAAGAAGCGAAAGAGGTTTGTTTGAATCGAAGCATTTGGCGTTCCATTGTTTCTGCCTACCCTGTATGTATGTAGATTTAATGAAATTACAGGTGTTGGAACTGAAACGGTTGCGCTCGTTAGTGAAGGACTCGGATCCCATAAACATCCTGTCGGTGGCGCAGTTCAGGCCTGAGAAGGATCACCCGCTGATGCTGCAAGCGCTGTATGAGTTGAGGAATTTACTCATCAAGAATGAACTGCTTTGGCATAGGGTATGTTTAATTTCTAATATATATTTATTTATATTTACCAACTAAGGGTACTTGACAGTTTCCCAATTCGCTCCCTTAGCAATCACAATATATACAAACATAATTTACATTTAATTTCTAAATAATTTATTGTTATTCTGTGAAACTCGATAAATTTAGAAGACGCAGTTGAGCAGAGAATATATTTATATTTTATTATAAGTAAATATGAGTTAGGCCGTGTGGTCCCGGCGTAGAATAGGCCACCCCTTCCTTTCCCGTGGGTGTCGTAAGAAGACCTTTTTATTTATTGAATTAAAGGAACTTAATGGTTAAGGGATGGGCAGCAGTGTCCCTCTTGAAACATCACTAAAGTCTAACTGCAGTTGTCAATCCACCTGCCAAGATAGGCAACTACCGGCGGATCCCCCAATAAAGGGTAGCCTATGTTCAGCAGTGGTCAATTAACAGCTGATATGGTAGGGTATGGTATATCTATTATATATATATATATATATATATATATATATATATATATATATATATATATATATATATATATATATATATATATATATATATATATATTGCAAAAGTCTATATTACTGATTATTTAATTAAAATTTATTTTCATTTCGCTACCATTAGTATGTACATATGTTACTGCCATCATTAGTATGTACATAAGTTCCACAAACTACCATATTAACCATCAATATCCGACCGCCATTTTATTCACGCACGTTTTGCGACACGTGTTTCACCTCTAAACGAAGCATATTTTGTCCTATAAAAATATGTCAACTTTACTGTATTCGGTACTAGATAAAGCTTATCCTGGTGGGTTCGTGCCGCAACGCGGAAGACGAGGAACGCGTGCGGAACCTGAAGGACCTCGCCAAGCACCTGTCGCTGGAGGACAGCGTGCAGTTCGTGGTGAACGCGCCGTACGCGCAGCTGCTGCGCCTCTACCAGACCTCCACCATGGGCCTGCACGCCATGTGGAACGAGCACTTCGGCATCAGTACGTTGTTATTCATTTATTCTTTATTGTACAAATGGTGAGCTTTTTTATGGGTGAAAATAGCCCATCATGACGAATTCAATGATAAATTAGTCACGATAGTTTCCAGGGGGAACCACGTGGAGGTTTTTTTTTATACAACTTAGAATGGCAAACAAGTTGACGGCCCACCTGATGGAAAGTGGTAACCGTCGCTTATAGACATGAGCAGTATCATGGACATAACAGTGTATACTGTTTCGCCCATGCCCCCATGCGTTGCCATTCCTGAGGACTCAGGTGTTATTTCTCTGTAAATTCACGCTATATCCCACCCTTCAAACCGAAACACAGCCATGCAAACACAACTGCTTCACGGTGGAAACACGAATGGGACAGAGGTACCCAAGCAATCGACTTTTGTACAAAGTCTCCCTCTGGTAGGATAGGATATATTGACAGCAATGGGGACTAATGTTCCCATTACCAGCAATCCCTTCCCCCCAAATAGCGAGCTTAATACCGTATGGCGTTCTCTACCAGTTATCACATCAACCATTAACTACCTACTGCTGAAGATAGGTTTCCCCCATAAGGGGGGTTTTGTTAGTAGTTTTCAAGCTTGGCGGGCGGGTTGACAACCACAATTAATCTTTGGTGATCTTTTAAGAGGGATGCTGCTGCCCATCGCTCGACTATTACATTCCTTAAGTTGACTTTTTGTAAATAAGACAACTGGAAAGGATTTACTCTTAACCAGGGGACCTTAAACCATAGGATAACGCAAATATATATAAAATGATAGTATAAGACAGGATCCTTTCGAGAAACCTTTATTAGTCATTAGTCATTAATTCAAAAAACAATGTACATTGTGTCTGAAATAAGAATAGATCATTAGTAATAGGAACTAACCTCCTCATTACCGGGAAAAAGGGATTGTTAGTAATGGGGAGTTAAGTCCCCATTGCTATCAATATACCCTATCAGGTCGACCTCCACGCGGTTCCCCCTGGAAACTATCGTGACCAATTTATCATTGAATTCGTCACAATAGGCTAACTGACCTGCCTTTTCATCCTCACCTATCACCGCTCACTGGTACCCCGCTATTCTATACTTATAGTGCAGGCGGGGTAACCATGCCATTTTCACGCATAAAAAAAAAAACAATTTATTTTTTTATAAAATAAGGAAGGGAAAAAATTTTTGTTAGTAAGCATTTAATGAGACTACCGGTGACCGGTCGATTTTCGAGCGTACAACCGGCAAAGAACAGTGGTTGTCCGCTCGAAAGCGGTCTATGGTCGATATGCCCATTTTACTACCAGTCCCCAGTCGTCCAATCTTAAACTATGCTCCCCTAATGTATTGCGCCTCAATTAACAGAGTACACCCATCAGAAAAGGCATCCTGTCACCCGTATCCAATAGCAAGGATGGGATGCCTAAACAAAGCACCTTCAACGGCCCAAAAAAAAAACATTAAATGAACAAATAATTAATATATGTATAATGTAATTAATTTAATTTTGGCTGTTTAAAAATTGTACACTGCTGTATCCGCTGACATTGATGCTCCTTTCCACTTTGGGTGTTGCTGGAAGAAAACTCTATCAGAGTTAAGCTCGCCTTTGTACTTTTGTTTACCTCTGTCATATTTTTATAACTAATGTGTACAATAAAGTATTAAAATAAAAAATAAAAAAATATGTGCAGGCGTAGTGGAATCCATGGCAGCGGGCTTGATAATGGTGGCCCACCGATCGGGGGGGCCACTCAGCGACATCGTGAACACTATGGACGACGCCCGCACTGGCTTCCTCGCCACCGAGCCTGATGAATACGCGCGGGCCATGCTCGAGGTCATTGCCTTGTCACCCGAGGAGAGGAGGACGATCGTCCAAGCGGCCAGGTATGATAGAACAATGTTGTATCAGCCACTAACCTTTCTTTGCATAATGGTGGTTTTCCACCATAACGTTGAATGCCCAAAAATTATATAAAAGAACATGTACACTTTAAGTTGATCGTGTATGGATACCTTTTTAATGTCCATTGCGGAAAAAAAAAACATAGCTGTCAAATTTATTTTTTAACCATTTTTCTTTTAATTCTGAACATGAATTATATCACCTTGATTTATTTCAACAATAAATTATTTCAACTGTGTTTCGGTTTTAAGAATGGGATATGGCAGTGAAATTACAGCGTACAGAGGAATAACACCTGAGTCCTCAGAAATGGCAACGCATGGGGGGTATCATGGGCGAAACAGTATACTCTGTTATGTCCATGGTACTAATGTCTATAGGCGACGGTTACCACTTTCCATCAGGTGGACCGTTAGCTTGTTTACCATTTTAAGTTGCATAAAAAAGTTAAATATGGTATTTTTGTTGCAGAGCGTCAGTAGACCGCTTCTCGGAGGCGGAATTCGAGAAGTCATTCCTGAGAGCGGTGGAGCCCCTTGTGAGGATAGACTAGCCTATACCCACATTTAGCTATATGCAGTATGACAGAACTGCACAATTATAATATCGTATCCACGGAGACAGTTGTCTTACATGATGGTTTGTTTGTAAACATGGGTAATGTGGATACAGATCCAATATCTATATATTGGGCCCTAAGGGCCTACCATTAAATGTTTTCCGAAATTTTGGAGCCAAACGAAACACAAATTTGATGTTAAAATTACATAATACATGCCGTTTGGAAATATTAAAAATGTTAAAATATTATTTTTTTAAAGTTTTATGACGAACGAAATGTTAAAACTCCATTTATTGGTCCGATTTTGGTATAAACGAAAACACAAAATTGAGTCCGAAATTTCGGAATTTCATTTCATGGTAGACCCGCTAGTCCTCTAGACATTGATGGCGGAAAGTACATCACTCATTTCAATATCGCCCATATCGATCGGATATCTGTTATTCGAACATGTCGAAAGTCTGTTATAATTTTTTTTTTTTTATAACAAACTTTAACATATTCCTTATTGTACCAAATATATATATATATATATATATATATATATATATATATATATATATATATATATATATATATATATATATTGTAACTAAAATACACAGATATTGCGACTAAAATACGTAGACAGATATATATTACCTATCCCTATTCATTTGCAATTGTTGGATGGACATTGATCTATTAAAAATTGTTACCAGGTTGAAAAATATCAACAACCGAAAGGCAGGGTTACGCGTGAAAATATTTTCAAAATGTATCGATATAATAACTAGTTCTGCCACCACTGAAGTACATGTTTTTTGTGAAATAAAATGAACATATTTTTTATTTGGTTTCGAAATTTCGGAAAAAAAAAATGTAGGCTGATGCTTGTTCAGTGATTTTAAAATTTAAGCTAACAGGGGGTCTACAATGAACTGAAATTCCGAATTTTCGAACTCATTTTGTGTTTTCGCTCATACTGAAATTAGCAAAGTAAATGGAGCCTTACATTCGTCATAAATCCTGCCATACAAGTTCTAAGGAATAATATTTTAACATTTTTGATAATTTTAAAAGGTATTATGTAATTCTAACATTAAATTTATATTTCATATTATTTGCATTTCATATGGTAGACCAGGGCCGTAGCTAGACCCATGTTTAAGGTAGGGCAAAAAAATTTTTCGGTAGGGCAGAAGTCATAATTAAGTGACTTCGAAAAAGTGAATCTGTCTAATTTTCTTGATGCCTTTCGTTTTAAGGTAGGGCATTGGACCTTTTAAAGTGGGGCCTCAATGCTGTCTCCCCCTCAGCTACTGCCATGTGATTTTCCTCTATAGACCCTCTGATTTACAGATGTGAGCCTAATTATTTTTTCCTATGTCAGATAGTTCGCTCAGAGATAAATTATGTTAGATTCACAGAAAGTTGAATTGATTACGAGTGTGTTAACGGAAACAGTAAACTTGTTCGAAGGCTTTTTAATATACAAATAATAATGTTATCATTCCATAGTTTTAAAATATTGAATACCTATAAAAATGTATTTTGGCCTAAACATTTCATATTACCATGCAATATTATTAAATTAAATGCCAAGCAGTTGGCAACATTAAGAGCGTTCATAACAAAGTATGGCAACATTGCTATTAACTGTCAATTTTCAAAAACAATCGAACTTTTTTCAAAGTTTCTATTTGATTATTTAATAGGTTCTCCGTTAGTGAACTGAAATTACAATTTTTTTTATACGACTTAGAATGGCAAACAAGCTGACAGCCCACCTAATGGAAAGTGGTAACCGTCGCCTATAGACATGAGCAGTAGCATGGACATAACAGAGTATACTGTTTCGTCCATGATACCCCCCATGCGTTACCATTCCTGAAGACTCAGGTGTTATTCCTCTGTACCCTGTAAATTCACTGCCACGTGCATTAAAATTCTTATAGAAGGAATAAAGAAGAGGGTAAGAAGTCTCTTTGCGTGATAGGATCCGAAACGAGGATATCCGCAAAAGAACCAAAGTAACCGATAAAGCCCGAAGGACCTTTTTAAATAATCGCTTTGGAATTATAATTTTTGTTTGTTTAAATAAAATCCGTTATTGGCTATATTCATAAGAGATTTAGCATTTAAGTTGTGTTTTTAAGAACTAAGATTTTTGTATAAAATAAATAAATAAATAATCAATAAAAAAATGTAGAAAAATGTTCAATTGTTTTTGAAAATCGAATGTTATGAACGCTTTTAATTATAATTTACGCTATTGTCAATAGCACATATGCTTTGTCTGGTCAAATTTAATCTCTAACCATAGGGCCTAGGGTTGTCAATAAATTTACGCATTATAATCACATTAGAATAACTCGAGATCGTTCTTGTCATATAATAACTTCTAAAATACATGACAATTTAAAATTGCTAAAATGGTTTGTAGCTATTACTATTTAACTAAATTACCATGTCTATTTATTTAAATTATTTTTTAGTTTTAATATTCCTTATCTGAGAAATTAAGGTATTATAGGGCTAATATACCTGAAGAAGTTAAAAGCCCTTAAAATAAAAACAAAATGTTATAATAGTGACGTCACGGATTCACAGTACTGATTTAAAGTAATGAATAACTGGTGTATTGTAAAAGTGCAACATTTTGTTTTTAGAAGAGAAAATTCGAATATTTGTTGGATACAACGCCATATTGAAATCGCTAATAGACGTAGACTAGAAATCTGACTGTAACGTCATCGTTTTATATTTTTTAATTAAAAATAGATAATAGTGACGTTGTGCGTTAAAATTGTTAAAAATTGTACATAAGTTGACAACCCTGAATTTTATTTTTTAAATAAATCGATGTAAATATTGTTCGAGCGTGATGTTAAGTTGTAAACTTCGTTCCACTAGTTGTAATCATTATGATATTTGATTTGCAATAAAATTTACCAAAGTTGTTACTATTTATTTATTTATTACTAGCTTTTACCTGCGTCTTCTTCCGCGTGACCGGGATAAAAAGTTTTTTTAATGGAGGTGATAATGGAATGGTACCACGCCTGCGCTAACGGTATACGCTGGCGGGGCACCAGTGAGGGATGACGGGTGACGATGATAGCAGTTCAGTTAGCCCATCGTGACGAATTCCGGGACCGCGTGGAGTTCGACCTGATAGGGTGTATTGCTAGCAATGGGTCAATTAGACCCCATTACTAACAATCCCTTTCCCCCGGGGTAAAAACTAGCTTATATCATTCTCCATTCCATATAATACGTGTTTACCAAATTTCATAGTAACCGATTGGTGAACCTTGCCTCTTTCTATTAGATCAGCGCAGTCTCTTGCCTCGCTTCGTTGTTCAGGGAGAATAAGAGCGGAATGTTGTTGTAAAATCTTTATTACAATTTATTGTGCTATCTCTCTGCTGTGTCTCTGCTTTGACGTTACTATGTGTGATTTATCTTGATCAGACGTTTAATATATGTATGTTTTATGTATTTTATTATTTATATTATATATGTATGTTTATGTATTGTAATCTTATTTTTATATTTAGAATATTTTGCATTTTGTTTGATTCCTTTTATGTATTTACTGTGTCTGACTTGCGCCATCTACCTTTCTCTCTGTACTTATCCATTCTTTATGCCAGGTTGTCTGTAAGAGATCGCTTCTAGCGATAAGGCCGCCTTTTGTATATGCACATTCTGTATAAATACTCCTTGTATACATCTCTATTGTGTGCAATAAAGAGTTTATTATTATTATTAAGGCGTTATAAGGTAGCAAACAAACAATTTTACATTTATAATATATATTAGTAAGGATTTTAAGTTAAAATTACTAATTGTTTTTTGCAATGGATGAAAATGGAATGGTAATATTTATTGTGTGGTTTAAGCGAGTGATATATTTTCGTAATGGTCCCAGTGGCGTAACTATACTATTTGGGGCCTGTGGCAAATCCCCACACTGATGGGGCCTATACGTAAAAATAAAATACTCAGGTACAATGTATAAAAACAAATCTGAGCTCGCGGCCTCTTGAGCCGGGGCCCGTGGCATTTTGCCAGCCTTGCCACCCTATTGTTACGCCACTGATTGGTCCCGTAGAAATTAAATATTATCAAAATTGGTTCAACCCTCTAACCGAGCATCCCGCGATTTCCGCGTGCAGTATCTACTAGTTTACGCATACCGCGATTTCGACGTGCTCGCATTTTCAATGTTTATTGACGTTGTTATCCCGCGGTTTTGGTTTCGGTAGATTGATATTGTTCCTCGGATTCTCGCTAGATGGCTAAATACTTTTTTTTTTATACAACTTAGAATGGCAAACAAGTTGACGGCCCACCTGATGGAAAGTAGTAACCATCGCCTATAAACATGAGCAATGCCATGGACATAACAGAGTATACTGTTTCGCCCATGATACCCCCCATGCGTTGACATTCCTGAGGAGTCAGGTGTTATTCATCTGTACCCTGTAAATTCCCGCCAAATTGTACTACTATTTGTTGTCAAAGCGATGTTTTTTATTGTTGTAAAAAAAAAAATACTAAATCTAAATAACTGGTTTTATCATTATTGAAGCCAGTGACTTCTTTTTTTTAATTTTTTAGTACAAAATTTATTAATATTTTTAATTGCTACCTGTGTTTATATGCTGCTAAATTAAATTTGCAATATTAATCATAAGATGGCATTATATTTTTGCAACATTAAAAAAATTACTTCACGGGTATATCATTATTTTAGCCGTTAATTGCCCACTGCTGGACATAAGCCTTCCCCATAGGGGAAGTTTTGCCAGTAGTTGCCACGCTTAGCAGGCGGATTGGCAACCGCGGTTAGACTTTTTAAGAGGTAGGCTGCTGCCCATACCTTCACAATAAGCTCCCTTAGCCGCCTCTTACGACACCCACGGGAAAGGAAGGAGTGGCCTATTCTATGCCGGGACCTACATGGCTACAGTCTGACCGTTCGTGGGAGAAAATTTGAAACCACACTGTAGGTGACGTTTAAATTATACGATGTTTATATATTAAAACATCTAATGCATATATATTAAAAAAAAAGGACTTCTCGAATATATAATAGAGTTTAAAAAGTAACAAATTACGCTGGTAGTGGCGTGATCCGTGTAACATAAAATAACTGACATTTGCGGAACATGGCACTATAAACGTAAGTACGCAATACTTAGTCTATGGTATTACCGTAACAATAAAGAACACCAATTGAACTTTCTTATAAAAACATTTAATTACACATAAAATATAATAATATAGATTTAAAATATAAAACGTCGCTTACATTAAGGGAATGTTTAGTATAATTTTGTGCCTAAGTCGAGATATGTCCCACCCTGTCCCTCGGGATGAGTCGCAGCTCGGAGCCGTGCTTTAGGAATACATTACCTGTGACAAAATCCAGTTATTAATTTTAATATATAAAAATTCCGTGTTCTGATGTTCATTTATGCTAATCTAGGAAATCGCTTAGCCAATTTTAACTTTGTAAATATGTATTGTTTTGTATCAATTTTGAGAAATAGGATGAGTTTAAACCTTTTTAAGGGGGGTGTTCACTTTAGATGTAATAATTGCATGGCAACATTCTCGATAATTCAGAAAAACATTTATTCTTGTATGTGGCAATTAATAATTTTGATAATATAAGATAAAAAAAAACGTTGGTGTCGCTTAAATATAGAAACAGAACAGTTTTGTTTGTCGCTCATAAAGTTTTTTAATAAGTATAACATTTAATTTCACAATCGTGAGACTTTAGTTTTTGAATTTAATATTTTTGTTTTATAAAAAGACATTACCTGTGACAAAATCTCGTGTCGTTCTTAAATATTTAAAATATAAAAATTCCGTGTTCTGAAGATTCATTTAAACCCTTAGTTGTTATAACATTTACGAAACCTCAGGTAACTTTAGCATGCTTTAGAACTTTCTAATGTTGTAAAAGGAATTTTCGCTAATCATATGTATTTGTTTTGAATCTATTTTAGAGTACTTTTAAAACAACTGAGTTCTAAATATTTCAAAGAACTTATCGTGTCCACTTTATATTCTCGCACAGGGGGAAAAGAGATTATTAGTAATGGGGTCTAACTGACCCACTGCCAGCTATACACTCAAAATAATTAATCACGATAGTTTCCAGGAGGAACCGCGTGGAGGTCGACCTAATACGATATTAGCAATAAGACAGTTTTTTTTATGAAAGATAATAGCATGGTAACTCCGCCTGCGCTATCGGTATACACTGGCGGGGCACCAGTGATAGATGATAGGTGAGGATGAAAAGGCAGGTCAGTTAGTCCATCGTGATGAATACACTTGGAATTCAGCACGATGGTTTCCAGGGGAGACCACAGGGAGGTCGACCTGTTAGGGCATATTATTAGCAATGGAACTGATAATCCGCATTACTAACAATCCCTTCTCCCCCTAATATAGGTCAGTTAGCCCATAATGACGAATCCAACGATAAATTAGTCACGATGGTTTCCAGGGGGAACCGCGTGAAGGTCGAGCAGATAAGGTATATTGAAAGCGATGGGGACTAACCTTCCCATTACTAACAAACCCTTCCCCTCAATGAGTCAGTTAAACCCTATTACTAACAACCCCTTTCCCCCCATAAACTGATACTAGGTATTATTGTTGGATACATACCGGCAGTTTGTTGCGGATTGATTCCGATGCCGTCGTCGGTGATGATGGCACTGGTGGCGGGCTCCACCCTGAATTCCTCCGCCGCAAACTTGAGCACCGCCGTGAACGGCGTCGCCTCCGGAACGCTCAGACTGGTGGAGTCACAAAGATTTTTTGTTATGCAAGTTTGAATGGCAAACAAGCTGATGCCCCCCCTCGTGGAAATTGGTAACCGCTGCCTATAGACATGAATAGTATTGTGGATATAACAGAGTATACTGTGTCGTCTATATTACCCTTCATGCATTGTCATTCCTGAGGACTTAAAGTGTTTATACCTGTGTATCCTGTAACTTCACTGCCTCACTCCTTCAAAACGAAACACAGTCAATACAAATATTTCGCAGTAGAAACACGAATGGAACAAAAGTACTCAGGCAAACGACTTTTGTACACACTACCTTTAGGAATAAAATGCCCGGTATTAGTCCATTCCCGACCTGCTCTCGGTCTGATAAAATATTATTATGTAAAACAGTGTGTATTGTCCGATTTCAATCAATCTCTAAACTCCAATATGCTAATGGGTCATACTTGAATTTTAACAGTCTTTTTTATTTAAATTTCATCTTGTCGGGGCATAATTGTTAATTCATGTAGTCTCTTCCAGCGAGATCTATTTTTTTTTTTTAATAGTAGACAATAAAAAAATATCTTTTAATCCATTATAATATTTGCAAAAGGTCATTGTTGAAAACTGATTTTAATATATGAATAATTTGTTTAGATTATTAACTATACTGTTGTTTTACTGGTATACCAAATGTAAATTAACAACAATCCTACACTAATTATGTTAAACAAATTTAAAATTATAATTAGGCCTGTGACATTATTAAATACTTTTATTAAAATTTTGTATGTTAGCTACACACTAGGTTTATAACATTGATTTGGCTTTTGCTGTCATGTTGTAATTATTTTTAATTAATAAATAAATAAATTATATGTGTGGCCAGAATAAAAAGGAACCTCTGTCCCTCTACATCCCAAATATTATTTATGTTTTGTAAATATCATATTTGTTTGAGTCAAGAAGTAATAAACAAGCTCATATTTATAATACTAGTAATAATAGATATATAAGACTATATAGGATTAATAAAGTCAATAAAAACTAACCCATAAATTAAAAAGTTTTATTGCTATTTAAAAAAAAAAATCTATCTTGACAAAATTAGTATGAGAGCAACATGGGAATATTTTTTTTTTGATTAAGAAACAAACAAAACAAAAAATTGACTATTAAGAAATAAAAGTTGTCAAATAGTATCATGATAAAATAATAACAACAGTGAATAATAAACATGTAAAATTTAATATAAAAAATATATAAAAACATAATAGGTACATCACAATGTCATATCCAGCCAAAACGGGTCATCGTTAACAATATTTAAAAACTCAGTTCGTAAATTATCATTAGAACATATTCTTTGCACAACACTAACTAGTTGAGAATATGTAATATCTATATAAAAATATTCCGATGACATGTTCTCCCTCAACAACTTACTGCAGTCAACCAAAGAGATTACAATTAATTTAAATAAATCTGTATGATCTAAACATAATTGAATAAAATGTTTATCATCCACTTTAAATAGACACTTCCAAAATGATTGACTACTATGATTTCTACTTAACATTGCTTCTTTAAATACACTGGCAATACTAGTTACAGTGTTGCTATATTTAACTTCTTTATTTAACAAACATGATATCAATGAGTCAATTACATCCTGATTAGAATTAATGAGCATTTCAGAAACTATATTTTTTGTGTTCTCACATTTGTGCAATTCAAAGAGTAGTATTTGACTTTTGAATGCAACTACTTTGTCTTTGGGAATCTCTTGTGTTAAGTTCCGTAAAAGTGTCTCCTTCGATGCCGCCTCCAACATTAAATCAGTTAAACTATCTTCTAATCTCTTTTCAGAGAATAACTGAAGAAATAACTGAAATCCTACATCTATTTGGCTAACTTTGGCATTTGAGTTGATAATTTTCTTCAATATATATTTAGGAGGATCTCCTAGGCATGTTTTAAGAAAAGTACTTGAAGTTTCCTCATTACTATGTAAAAGAGATAAAAATTCATCAATAATTTCATTTTTTTGAAACCTGTCCATACATTTTTCAATGTGTTTTGAAATTAAAAAAGCATTTTTAAGTTCAGCCTCAGTGGTGTCATTGTTTGGCCAGTTTTCCAACTGGCACAAATGAAGAAAATCTTGGAAATAGTCAAGGAATTGCCGTATGACAGCTGTATCCATATTATTGCGGTGTAACTTCAATGTAGCGCCCAGGGATATTCAGCATCTGTTAAAATTAATACACTATATTTCACATGGATTTTTTCCATCAAATAGGAATAAAAGTGCGAACTACCTACGTTGAAGTTACTCCACGAGGTGTCTATGTGTCTTTTAAAGAAAATTAAATATAAACTCACACTTTAAAAGGCAGTTTTGGATCCGATGTAAGCGTAATCTTGAATGTTACTTTCGACCTGAATAGGAAAGATATTTTGTAAGAATAGTATGTAATATTTATGTTTCAATGATTAAAAACTTAATAATATGTTAACGAAAACTTACATAGCGTATATCAATATTTCGTTAATGAAAAAAACAAGAAATGCGAATCAACAATTCGCCAGCAATATTTCAAGGTAAATGAAAGTGACACGAATGAATGACGTTGACTTGTTTGACGTTTACATACATAAATATAAATATATTTTTTTTTTTTTCATTTATTGTGACTTTGGCGAAAGCCATCAGCCAAAAAGTAACAATTACAAGGTAACAATATAAAATTACAAGACAAATTACAAAAATTATTATAGTTATAAATTAATTATAATATACTAAGAAAGTAAGTTAAGTAGAAAAGTATAAGTTACAATTACATATTTAAATTTCACCAATTGATGAAGTAATATAATTAAAAATTTCTTGGTACAAAATGGTATGTTTTAGTAGATCCTGCACTGAAGTAGGAATATTTTGACATTTTATTAAATCTTGACATTGACAAATAAAAAGTAACCGTTGAAGCGAGAATTTAGGACAAAAAAAAAAAAATATGATCCAAATTAGAAAAAATGTTTTGGCAGTATTTACAGATAGAATTATCCAATAAATTAATACGTTGCAAATGTGCAGGAAATTTACAATGACCTATCTGCAATCTACTTAATATAGTATAACCAGACAATTTACAGATTTTGTTAGAATCAAGCCAAGTTTCATTTAGTAAAATGATATCAAAATGTGATGTAAAGTTGTAAATAAAGTTTTTAAATTGAAATATTTTAGACAGAAAGCGTCTTGAGTAGAGATGGGCAATCCACCTGGGTGGGTTTAAAGTCTGGTGGGTAAAAACCGGGTGTTTTGGGTTTATTGGGTTTAAACCCCATAAACACCCAAATTTTTGGGTGTTTATGATTTTGTACTTCATCATCGTCATCTCAGCCGCAAGACGTCCACTATACTGGACATAGACAATATTATTATGCAGCCTACAGAATAAAAAACTTTTAATTTGATTTTGAGTTTATTAAGAAAGAGATGAAAGTAAAATGTAAAACTACAGTCAATCACTGTCAGATTCAGAGTTATTACAAGCGATGAATTGTATAGGTTCGATAGGCTCTATTTCGTCTAAACTGTTATGTTCATTTACTCGCTCAATGAAAGCTTCTAAGGTATTTTCTTCATTAAACTGAATGTCCTCGCATTCAGCTTTATGTTTAAGATTCCAGTTATAACAAATGAATGAAATTTTTTCAGTTCTTTCAGTTGTAAGTCGATTTCTTTTGTTATTATGTATGTAGCCTTGGATACTAAAGGAACGCTCAGTGGCTGCCGAAGTACAGGGAGCTGATAGAATACGAATCGCTACTTTGCTTAACTCAGTGGAACCACAAATACCTTTCCACCATATTAGGGGCTCAATGCTATCTAATGAGCTCCATACAAATCCTCCGGCCCAAAAGTTTTCTTTAGCTTTATAACACGCCAAATCTGCCATTACATTTGACAAACTTAAGTGTTGGCTTAAATTGTAGATAAACTCCATACCCTTAAGTTCTTCCTCTTGAGTAAGTTCGACTCCTAGAGTCCTGGGGTCTAGAATATATGCTGCAAAATGTATTGGCCTCATTGCCATATTGCATCTTGAAGATACTGATGTTAGAATCTGCTGTTTGCTTTCTTCGCTCAATGTCGAAATCTCATTTAATGCAAATATCTTAGCTTGTACATCTCTAAATGTAATGTATGTGCGATGCAAACGATTCTGGTCGCTCTCTAAGTAAAATATGCTTTCAGTGACTGGTTCCAAAATACTTATACATTCCCCTGTCTTCGTCCAGAAATCATCACTTAGAATTAAATCTTTAATATCTCTTGAAATTACCACATCTTCTCTAACTGTTAATATTTGCAAAGCTATCTTATTTGCTTTCAAACTTTTTAACGAAGTAACATGACTTCCCCATCTTGTAGCACAAGGCAATTTTAGTGTTTGTGTAGAATCTTCACCCTGCCTTGATTTTATCAACAAGGAACTTAATCGTTGACTCCTTTTAACAGTTTTTATTATATTTATGGCTTGCATAATAAACACAGTTACTTCTTGTATCTTTACAATATCTTGGCACAACAAGTTAAGGATATGTGCACAGCAACCGAGAGGAACAACATGTATTTGAGTTTTGTTAATTCGAAAAAGGATATTTGAGTTTTGTTAATTCGAATGCCTTTTGTATATTTCTAGCGTTATCGCCAATAAGTACAAGAAACTTATTTGCTCCATACACTTTCATTACTTTTTCAACTTCTTGGCTAAGGTATTCACTAGTGTGAGGATTACTTTCTGTATTCAAACTTTTAACGTATGCAGGTTGAGGTTTTGATATAAGAAAGTTTATTATTCCTTCATTTCTTAAATTAGACCAGCCATCGCACTGAAGGTGTAAGTAACTACAAGCATTTAGTTCCTCATTTAACTCAAAACGCATTTCTCTATATATTTTATCTAAGTATTTTGTCGCTAAAGCTTTACGTGAAGGTATTTTAAATTTTGGTTGCAATTTTTCGAAAAATTGTATCCATAAAGGATGTTGCACCATCGATAATGGCGTCCCTGTTACAAATATAGCTCTCGCTAATTCTGTTTTTATATGATCATCGGTGTCTTGAAACTCAGCATTTATTGTAGTGTTAGCAGACGACGAGGGGCTTATAAAAGAATCATTTGTCTCTATCTCTGATTATAATTACAGATAGTATGAGTGTTCAGTCCAGACATTTTGGTTTTGGACGAGCTATCTTTTATAAGTTTCATAGAGTCTTTTAATGTTTCTGGAGATTTTGGACAAGTGATAAGATGTTGAAGCATTTTGGCAGCATTACTGAATTTGTAGACCTTATTACAAAGCTTGCAAGAAACAGACTTGTTTGGTAAAGTACGGTAGTGCTCCCATATGCGTAAATCTTTAGGTCTCCCCATTGAACCTAAAAAAATGAACGATGATTAGTTGGTCTGACGAAAATTCAACAATAGAGTGCCTATTTTTTTACAATGATTATTTCTTGTTATTTACAATAAATTTATTAAAAAAATAATAAAATAAATACAAAAAGCCTTTGTAAAATTACATCTCCTCGGAGGATTAAACGCAGACGCTAGTTTATTATCGTATTGTTCTGTATTTTTCTCAGCAACTTCTTTAATTCGATTAGGTACTTACGCATATTATGTTAAAAATAAATATCTAGTACACATCTTAGGCTATCCACCATTATTATCCAATGACGACTCTCAGCTAACTATGCACTATCATCCAAAATAAACGTGTATGGAAAATTTTATCCCAGTCGGTTGAGGATTGAGGATAATTGCATCAACATACGAACATACCTACATACTTTTATTTACATAACGCAAGCTAAATAAAAGCTTGTAATAATACATCTAATTTTAAGTTAAAATTGTTAAGTGATCATGATATAATTGTATCATTCAAAAATCCACTTACCTTTAATTATTTCTTGTTAAGTATAAATATTATTTCAAATCTGCTCCCTTAATATGCACTTTTTTACTGCTTTTCCTACCTAACACGTTACCAGGAAGTCACGTTACCAGAGTCAGAGTAATAGTGAACACGTTTGACAGTGATTGTCGTCGCCTCATATTCAGCGTCGACGAATAGGGGAATCCCCAGTCATAATGTATTGCATGCGTGGCGGTCTTACTTCAAATCCATAAACAAAGAGATAATTACAGAACTCTATACTAGATGGCGCTGTTTTTGTTTGAAGAAAGTTTGCGGGCTAAAATACATAGAATTTCATCAATGACTTCCACAAAGAACAACATTTCTGTTTTTTCTAAGTCCGTATCTCTTCCGTATATTTCATAAGATATAAGCTTGGGCTACATTGTTATGCAACGTGATTTTGTCGCTGTCTTGCTAGCAGGGTTGACAGATATACGATTTAAATCGTACTCATACTATTATTTGTCTATTTTTTAATGTACGATCGTAAAGATTATGATCGTAATTCGCACAAAAACATACGACTTTTTGGTTACCTGGCAACATTTTTATTATGAAACGAACATGCTCACATCATCAGTCACATGCAACAATTTATTGGGGATTTCCCCTTCACATCTGGCAGTCCTGCTTGCTAGAATATAGGTAAGTCAGCCACAGTTACTGACGATCGATATTTAAAGGGTATTGTTTTTGTGCTAAATATTTCATAAAAACGTTATTTAATACTTTGTGGATTATTAATTTAGTTGATAATCACTGGAAGTAAAATGGATGCTAATTTGAGAGATCAAGATCTTCGTATAAAACAGTTAATAAAGAAAATCTACGTAAGTACTCTTTTTATACCTAGGTAGGTAAGGTATAATAAACACAAAAGGTACTTAGATCGCGTGTGTTCGAAGCATTTATTCTAATAAATTTAATTTAAAATTGTAGAAAGAAAAAAATGTCTGCCAAGCCGTAGCCGAAGCCGATCTCCAAATATATTTGGCGATAGTGAGACCCAGTGTCCAGATGATTTACCCAGCGTCGTCGCAACAAAGAAAAAAAACGAGGATAAAGTAAAAGAAAATTTACTGAAAGAAGAAACAAACTGTTCTAAATGCTTAATTTATGGAGAAGAGGATAAAAGAAATGAGTATTTCGGACTGTTAGTGGCTCAAGAATTTAAATATATACGGCCATGTGTGCGAACGAGGTGTTATGAAGAAATTTTAAAGTATCTACGGGAAGCAAAAGGCCAACATGTTGATCAACTGCAACATGAAAACACCGAAAATTAATTACTTTCATTTTATTATATATAGATTTTTAAAATTTCCTGAAATATTATTAGTTAACGTTTTATTTAATATTGTAGAATTGATCAATACAATTTATAAAAATAATTTATTGGTATTACTTACATATTTTCAAAAAAATACGTAAAAACCTATTTTTTTGGGTGATTATGGGAGTTTATGGGTGTTTATTGGGTTTTTACCAAAGCACCGGGTTTAAACCCGGTGCTTTGCCCATCTGTAAGTAGAACCCATAGTACGAATATAGAATACACCAGGTACAGTCCTCAGAATAGAATTGACTTGCAATAAGTTTACATTGTTGCCCTCAATAGGAGACAACAGGATAAAATATTCATTTTTAGTAGTGTCAGAATATAGGTAATTTTGATCTTTAAACAGTCCTCTTTTTGAGTGAGTAAATTTAATACTCATCTTAGCATCTGGCTCTTCATCAGATATGGAAGTATTTTTTTTTCTTCTTTTTAACTTGCCTCCGCTTGACTCGCACATATCCTCTAACAACACACGAGGGCTTAAATTGGAGAAATAAGTAAAAGAAACTAGGAGAAGCAACAAATATTAAACAAATAAAATGAATTTAAAATTTCCGCCCTCGCGTTACAAGTTTTCCCGCCTTTTTTTCGTGGCATAAACCTAAATATAAATACTATTCCTCATTCCTGTCCTCAATATATGCATATACACATCTCGTAGAACAAGAACAAAGAGTTTAATACCTAATTATTACTTAATCTATATCAAAGAAATTTTTTATCTTTAATTTTTTTTTAATTTTTTAATTACTTATCTCTAATATAATATATTCCCTAATAACAAGGTGAATGCCACAAAAGAAAATTAACATACCTAATCTTTATAGGTATATCATCATCATTATATCAGTCATTATATGTCCACAGCTGAAAATAGGTGAAGTTCTAACGGGGTGTTTTTTTTTTATAGATTGATCATTACTATTTAAAAAACTGATTCATGATTAAACTTTACTATGTTTTCTATAATGGTAACACAGTCATAACAGCTGACTATGACAGTTTTGTAGTCTACCATAATATCAGATTGAGAGACTGACATTATAGATTGACATATTGCTCCATGCTCTATGTATGTGTGTGTAGTTAACAATTTAACAAAACACAAGTATGAAAATAACAAATCGATATTACTGAAATATTTGTAAATTGAAATGTTTGATTTTTACATATTATGAAAGAAAAATGTTGTTAAAAAGGAATTTGCTTGAAACGCTAGCGATAGTCTCGTGTGTAGGCACTTTAATTTGTGTTTTGCTCAATTATTTAACAAATATATCACCGATTACCGGGATTTGGTTTACAGTTTATTTTCTATTCGTTTTCATACTGTCAATACTATTTAGTTTTAAGTTTATACAGTGGCTGTTGCATTTAAATAAGCCTATAAATTATGACTTGGAAGATCTATTGAAGATTTATCCTCAATTTTCGTTTTTAACTCGAGTTTTACCGAAGACTAAGAAAAAAGTTGCCAATAATGAGTTTAAAGAGTATGATACCAACGAGCTCAGTGTTATATCCAGTGTGTTGGAGAGGAAGCTGGTGTCGTCCTGGTATGTACCGTATATATCGGAGGAGATTGGATTTCCGTTTGCTTGTAAACAAATGTTGGATCAAATGATTGGCAAAACATTCCAGGTATGTATTACTTATTTTAGCAATAAGAATATTAATCGAAAAACGGTTATAGAGTCTTAAATATATACTTTAACCCCCTAGTCCAGTAGTAGGCCTGTACATATGAGATTTATTTTATTATAAATCTGATTTCTAACTACTATCATTCTATATTTTTTCTACACCTTGGAATGATATTCAAGCTCATTATGTTGTAATATGAATTGGTAACTATCACTAAATATTAACAGTACCATTGACATCATAGGATATACTGGGTCACCCATTGTATGCCATATTTTTAGGTATAACACTTTGTAAGCTGTTAGTTTTTCAATCATTAATTAAATACTTATTATGTTTGTGTTGTATATGTAGAAATAATATTTTATATATATAAATATGTGTGTATTTTGAATGTAAGTATATAAGTTAGTTTTTATTTAGGTAAGGATATTTATTATTTCTTAGTAGAAACAATTATACTGTTTCCTCTTATTGTTTCCACACTGTCTGCTGGCTCCTATCTACTCAGGGTTTGCTGGAAGAGAACAGTTCCTTGCTTGCATTTTGTATATCTTTATTCAAAATTTGTGAGATCTGTATACACCTTTAATTGATGTGTTCATATGGCCTTAAGCTTGGTAGTGAGGAGTGAAATATTTTTGTTCAAGTAAACTTAGATTTAAGCATTTTTGAATAGTAATTTTTCACTTTTACTTACTTATTATACATTGTCTGATTAATTATTGTGAGCATATTGTTAGTGTGTCTTTTATATATAAATAAATAAAATAACAATGTAATTTTTGTGTACAATAAAGTGTAAATAAAATAGAATAATTAAGTTCACATTTTATTTTATATTTTCTATTTATTTCATTTTAGATCTGTAACAAGACTGAAACAAAAGATGTGTACATTGACATCTGTTCTATCCTAGTGAGCCACTTGAAAGAGTATAAGAGGGCTCTAAAACGCCATGAGAGTGCACCAAACGAACCAATCGAATCTCTGTACAAGAAATCCCATTCTATTTGGAATACATCGAACAAAGTCCAACCTGCTGATCATTGTGCTAATATTTTACGGGTGCTTCTTAAGGAGCTTGTATCGTGGGAACTCTGGGAGACACCACACTTGGAGTTGCTAGTCAGAATTCTGGCTAAGAAATTAGATAACTTCATCGAGTCTACTTTAGCAGATCCTATTTGGATAAATGATAAATTGATGAATGCATTAAAATGTAAAGAAGGCAAGAAAGAATATAAAGATGAAAAACCTGTTGAGGTTAAAGAGGAAATTAAAGAGAAAAAAGAGGCAGCAAAAGATCTACAAGAGGTAAAAAGTATAGTTAAAGAACTACAAGATGTTAAACCAGAGACAACAATTGAGAGTGCATTATCAACTGTCATTACAAAGAGTACGGCTCCAATATTGCAGAGAGCTATAAACGAGAGTATTGATGACGAGGTAAAGTTGGGAAATATTATAGAAGAGGTGCCAGTTACATCCAGTGAGCCAGTGGACATAAAGTCATCACCCGTATTGAGACAGCGGCGAGGAAGACAGGGCAGGAATGAGGTGAAGATCTATGACAGGATTATTGAAGGTAAAGTATTGATTATCTCCCCAAATGATTTGACAAATAAATATGGTAATTTGTTATACAATTTATTGCTTCATTAATATATATATATATATATATATATATATATATATATATATATATATATATATATTGACACACACACACAGAGACACGTGTGTGTGTGTGTGTTTCAATTTCTTAATTTTTTTATTAGTAAAATGCAAAGGGCATTTGTTTAAAATCTATATTTTAGTTTGAGTAGTTCAGGTGATCTGCTTTACTCTCCATCTCTCATAACTCACCACTACAAAAAAAATATTTATGCAAAGTTAGAACTTAAAGGACTATATGCACTCATATTTTTTTATTAACTCTGCCCCTTTTGGCATCAAAATGCCACTTTATAAAGTTCATTTTATATATTATATTTCACAATTTTAAAGTCATGTTACGCTTAGGGTTTGGAATGCCCTCAGTACTCATCCTTTATCTTGACGAAGCTGTAAAGACCAGCTACAGCCAAATTCTTTGTCAGAGGTATTTATTACATTGGTTTTGTTTTTTTTTAATAGGCAGTGTGAAAACATGGGAATCAGATATGGATTTACAGTGCATTAGTCTCGGCCAGGACCTGTTGGCTAGTCTCGACGGAGAGATCACACTGAGTCGGTTGTGGGGCCAGGATACGGAAGCTGATGGTAGCCCCAATCCACCGCGAAGCAAATCACCACAGACTTTGTGGTTTGGTGAGAAATTTTCAACATATATACCGTTACAATCTATTAATGCATCACTAGGTATTTATACATATAAAATTAACTACCATGTGATGATGTCAGGTACATCAGCTTATTGATAGGCTTTAAAAAGGTACCTGGTCGCTCCATAGGTCGCTGGTTCATATCCGGCTCGAAGGACCATTCATTATGTTTGTAAAATAATAAGGACCACTAATTATATGTTTATAAAATATGTTGGTTCTTGTTATGTATATATATTATTATTTATATTATATTATTTGTAAGTAAAAATGCTGTCTGTTGACTTGCTGTATTGTATATTATTGTATTTTTTCAATTATTTATAAGTATTCTTTTTTATTATAAAAAAAAAACTATAATTGTCAAAATATATAAAAAGGTTAATTTCGAACACTAGGAATAGGTCTTTTTGTTAGTAAATTCTGTTATTTTCAAGGATATTGCTATAGCCCTTAGTACCTCATTGATATTTTGGAATTAACATGGATTTCTTTCTGTAGGGAGGTGTTATATTTCTTTTTAAATTAATTAAAAAGGAAATGGTAACTCCATCTGCACTAATAAACCAGTAGCATTGGCAATAAACCAAAGGGGGGTTCAACCTGTAAGCGTTAGTTAGTAGTGAGGTTGCTAATCCCCATTACTAGGGCAGAAAGGGATTGTTAGTAATGGAGACTGAGAATCCCATTGCTAGCAATATACCCAACCAGGTCGACCTCCTCGCGGTTCTCCCTGGAAACTATCATGATTAATTCCTAATGAATTCATCATCATGGGCTAATTGACCTGTTTTCATTCTCATCTATCACCCTTCACTGGTGCTCCGCCAGCGTATCCCGTTAGCGCAGGCGGGGTTACCATACTATTTTCACCCATCAAAAAAATCCCCATTACTAATAATACTCACCAAAAAAGAAGTAAGATAGGACAGGACAGTCAGACAGGCTTACCAATAGGTAATATTATTATTTTCTAATTTCACGTACAACAGGAAACTTTATTTCTTTATGTTTAATTAATAACAAAAATACTAGGTGAAGAAGACACCATGGATCTAGAACTAGACACCAGCCCAAAGGAACGGAGCCCCGTAAAGAAAGAGCAGAGTCCGAAGCCAGCCGATGCCCTGCTAAAGGACCTGCAGAGCACAGTGCACCAGGCTAAGACTAAGATAGGCGACCTACAGGTCACAAACACTGCCAAAATAGATGTGCCCCCCAAGCGCTCCAGTGTATGTTCTTTGCACGTTCTATCAGCTTTTCTCTTTTGTATCTCTCATTTTGACAATCACTTCAATTCTGATTCGAACTATTTAATCATTGAAATCATAGACTCGGATGGAAGTAGATGACGCATGTATTTCTATTTTAAAAATATTTCATGAAGTATGTTTTGACATTAATTGATGAAACTTGACATAATTTGTACTAGTAATAAAATAACATGAAATAATGTAAATACGATTTATAAATATCTAAAAATAATGTAGATCAGTTTTATGTAATGTGTAATATTTAAAAAAAAATTGCATGGCATAAACGGCCATAGAATTTTTTGATACATTTTTAGATAAAAACATAATAGTGTCTAAAAATCTATACAATTAATATTTATCTATCTATGTTTTTGCAAAATAAATGATTTGACAACATATTAACATTAGCTCCTAGTGGTTTGCAGTGGTGTTACAAAAACTATTTATTTATAACAAACCTTTTCCTGCACAATATTCAAAAACACCAGATGTAATCCTGTTTGTATTAATCCCTTTAACATTTTTGGACATAAATTTCATATAGAAACTTAATATTCGAGTTTAAATAGCCTCTCTTGTGTTTATTTGGAAGTCAAAAATTTATAAAGTATTGCGACATCTATTTTTTATCTGTATCTATGGTTAACCACAGCACATAAATGCTACAATACTCACAGCAAGCAAAGATTATTAAATATTTATATATATATATATATATATATATATATATATATATATATATATATATATATATATATATATATATATATATATATTTTTTTTTTTAATTTTACATGTTCTGAGAAGATAATTGGCTACTTTTAACTTTATTGACTCGAACTTTATCTCTGTCATTCCTACTTATATGCTCGTAGAGAGAGAATACCAATAGGTAATATTTTTGTATTATTATGTTTTTTGTTTATCGTATAGTGTAAAAGTGACAGATAACTTTTGTCTCCTTCTAAACCTTTATAGTACTGGAGACCATTCATACTATATTAATTGTATGGGAAAGGGATTGCTAGTAATGAAATCTAATTAACCCATTACTAGCAATATACTCTAACAGGTCGGCCTCCACATGGTTCCCCCTTGAAACCATAATTGTTTATTCTGGTTGGATTCGTCACAATGGGCCAATTGACCTGTTTCATCCTCACCATCGTCAAGCGTAGCTACTAATGGCAAAACCCCCCAAATATAGGGGAGGTCGATGTCTAGAAGAACGATCCTGACCTATCTCTCACTAGTGTCCCCCCCCCAGTGTGTACTGATAGCACAAGCAAGGCCACTATTTCATTATTACCCATTAAAAAAAAAACGTTAATTTTCATTACACCAACAATCCTTGCAATGTTACATTAAGGCTGTCAATTTGTTACTTTAAATTTATAGCCGTCATTCTTTTAATGTATATAATATCGAATGTTATGCAGAGCAGTTGTTGGGGCGCAAATTTAATGCTGTTTCATGTAATATTTTTTTTATAAATGTGTTAATTCGTAATCTGTTGCCTTGCTATAAATAAATAATAAATAATGACAATTAATCATATAAAATACATAAATTTATTGTATCTCAGAACACAATTTTTGTGTTTTCCCACACAGAGACTTCCTTCAGTGACTTTCCCTCTCTATCTCTCTCTTCCTACCAATGTATTTATGTGTTTTTTTTTTTAATTAATGATAATGGAATGGTAACCTCTCTATCTCTCTCTTACCTACAACAGTGTATTTATGTGTTTTTTTTTGCTAATGAATGATAATGGAATGGTGACAACCCCCCCCCCGTCCCCAGTATACACACGGCCGGAATGTTCACCAGTGAGGATGTCTATTTTAAAATGAAAGAGCAGTGTCAGTTATCTATTTTTAATTACAAAATAACATGACTAAATACAAAATGAGTTTAGCACTGCAATCAGTTACAACTAGTTTTTTTCCTGCGACTTCGTCCGCATGACCAGGATTCTATGTCGGGACCACACGGTCAATTTATTTATTTAATTAAATTCCATTAATTATGTAATATCCTATTTGCATCGATATTTCTTTTAATTAACTTTTCAATATCTGAATTCTTAGTTCGTCTTTTAATATTATATAATCAGAGGGCCTACCATGAAATGTTTCCCGAAATTTCGGAACCAAACGAAACACAAATTTGATGTTAAAATTACATAATACATAAAATATTAAAAATATTACAATATCGCTGCTCTGGACTATTATAGTAGGATTGATAATAAGTAATGGATGAGAATGGAATGGTAACCCCGCCTGCGCTAACGGTATACGCCGGCGAGGCACCAGAGAGGGATGATAGGTGAGAATGAAAAGGCAGGTCAATTAGCCTATCGTGATGAATACACTTGGAATTCAGCACGCTGGTTTCCAGAGTGGACTACGGGGAAGTCAAGGTCAACCTAATAGGGTATATTGTTAGCAATGGGACTGGTAGGCCGCGTTACCAACAATCCCTTCCCCATGTTAAACTTCATTTACTAGATCGATTTCGGTACGAACAAAAACACGAAATTGAGTCCGAAAATTCGGAATTTCATTTCGTGGTAGACCCTCAGGTTTGTTACAAATTTGTATCGCACGATAGTATGTTTCGAATCTATTTAATTATTAAACAAGTATGAATAATGACACAATTTCATCGCACGTCTTGTGTAAAATGTTGCATGAATTGTTTTATGCAATGTGCATGCATTCCGTAAGTGTATTGCGCATTCTCTAGCAAGTCGACTAGTATTACTAATGTTTTTTTTTTTTTTATTTTAATAGCAATGGATAACATGTTGATGGTATTTGGTAACTATTACCTATAGGGGATTGGTTATATTCTGAGATATGGTTATCACTGGATATACCATGAGGCTCACGGTATTTCTCTTATTAAGTGTCGCCATTTCTAAAGACTATGGTGCTATGTCTCCGTATCCTGTAATTTCACTGATACATACCACCTTTCAAACCGAAACGTAGCCATGCAATGATATCTCTTTGGTGGCAGTAACATGATGTGGACAGAGGTACCCAAACAGACGTTTTTTATCCAATGTCTCTTCCTCTGGTAAATAATTGGCAAAGTTATAGCAAAAGCTATATATTTTATTGTCTATGAAGTGGAGTGAGGGGGAGTTACCGATGGGGATAAAAGATTTTTGAGTGGCGACCTTATATAGGCAAAAGGCAGTGTAGGACGACTCCCCACTAGATGAAGTGACAACCTCAAGCATATTGCAGGTAGTCAGTAGACGCAGATGACTCGGGATCATTGTTATATATATATATATATATATATATATATATATATATATATATATATATATATATATATATATATTCTATATAATAAAGAGTAAATAGTAAATAAGTAAATTATTAAAATATAATAAATAAATGATTGTCTATATAATTGTATTTTATTTAAGTTTAAAAATACAGTTTAGTTTTTCTTCTTTTTATAAGTTATTTAAAAATGAATATTGGAATATAGGACGAGGCAGCTGGTATGATGGAAGGATTGCTCGACTTCGGCATAGCTGGCCTGAAGAAGGGACTTCGGTTTACCGGTCTCAGTGACGACTCGCAAGTAAGTTACCCGTTTTTGACATGTCTATATGTTATTAGAGAGTAGAAAATAATTTGCCAAAAAAAATACCGACCAGGTAAACGATTTATCATTCGATTCGATTTACCGAATTACATAAGCACTTAACACCATATAGCATTATCTCCGAATTATATAACACCATAAAGCGTTATGTACCAGTCGGCAGGAATAACAGGAAATATAATTGACGGTGGAACGTAATGACAATATTAAATTTAAACAGTAACTATAGAATAGCATACATATAATACTTACACTACCTACATTCTAAATACACACACACACACAAACAGCGAGCGCGTGTGTATGTGCGTGTGTGTGTGTGTGCGTGTGTGTGTGTGTGTGTGTGTGTGTGTGTGTGTGTGTGTGTGTGTGTGTGTGTGTGTGTGTGTGTGTGTGTGTGTGTGTGTGTGTGTGTGTGTGTGTGTGTGTGTGTGTGTGTGCGCGTGTGTGTGTGTGTGTGTGTGCGTGCGTGCGTGCGTGCGTGCGTGCGTGCGTGTGCGTGTGTGTGCGTGTGTTATGGATTCTAAATAAAAATAACGTAGAAATATGAGATTATTTTATGTACAGAACCCTTCAAATTCAAAATATCTTTATTCATGTAGGTCTATTACAGCCTCTTATGATATGTCAAATCTACCGTCAGTTCGGAATGATATCGAGATGAGAAGAACTGACAAGAAACTCAGCTCGTTTTCTTTTCATTATTTTTCCTTGGTGCGTTAATCCAACGCACGCTTGATCGGTTTTTGTCTTTGTAAACAGGACAAGTCCCCGTCATCCCACAAGGAGCGCGGCGTCGACAAGATCTCGCCGGCAGAGATCAACAAGAAGCCTGAAAACAAAGAGGCAGCCATACCTAATGCTCCACAAAAAGGTTACATCACATGTTACCATCTTCCATCATCGTAAAAACAGAATAGCATAGATATGCTTTGAATGAATTCATTATGACGTCGTGTAGTCCCGGCACAGAGTAGGCCACCCCTTCCTTTCCCGTGGGTGTCGTAGGAGGCGATTAAAGGAAGGGCGAGGGATGGGCAGCAACGTCCCTCTTAAAACATCTCCAAAGTCTAACTGCGGTTGTTAATTGTTAAGTTGTAAATGGCCACATGTTCTCGCGTGGAGAAACCATCCAGATAATTTGTATCGGCTAAAGACGGACTGACCAAAAACTGAATGTTGTTTGCCAGAATGGCAAACAAGCTGACGGTCCACCTGATGGAAAGTGGTAACCGTCGCCTATAGACATGAGCAGCACCATGGACATAACAGAGTATACTGTTTCGCCCATGATACCCCCATGCGTTGCCATTCCTGAGGACTCAGGTGTTATTCCTCTGTACCCAGTAAATTCACGCCTTCAATTGTGAAGAAAACATTTATTTCGATTTAAAAACTAAACTATTGAATCAATTTTGATAAAATTCCTATCGGACCAAACTGTATGTTCTTCCTTACAGATAAAACATGTTTTTTTTTTGTGGGACGCTTTAATTATTTTTTTATTTTACTTCAGCTACAGACCTTCGTCAAGGAATTAAATTATTGTTACAGATGACGTCAGCAGCACACAAGCGCCACCTTTATTGAAACAACAGAGAGTTATTTCTCAAGACAGTCTAGTCAGTGCACATTCTATTTTCAAACGACTTAAAAAAAAAGAATGTTCTCAATTCGATTGTATTTTTTTTTATGTTTGTTACCTCATCGGTTTACAACTGATGGGAGTTGTAAGCTGATCTGGAAAATTCTGTTTTTTTTTTTTTATTTATTTAAACTATATTGACCAGTAAAATGTGGTACAAAAGGCGGGCTTAATGCTATAGGCATTCTCTATTAGTCGACCTTTAGTATGTGCAGAGATACTTGATGGCGGATTAAAAAAATATTTAAATTTTAGTGTAATATGGTAAATTACATACATACAAACATTCATACCAGAGGGAGACGTTGTACAAGAGTCGATTGCTTGGGTACCTCTGTCCCATTCGTGTTTCAACCGTAAAGCAGCTGTGTTTGCATGGTTGTGTTCAGAGAAATACCACCTGAGTCTTCAGGAATGGCAACGCATGGGGGGTATCATGGGCGAAACAGTATACTCTGTTATGTCCATGTTACTGCTCATGTCTATAGGCGACGGTTACCACTTTCCATCAGGTGGGCCGTCAGCTTGTTTGCCATTCTAAGTTGTATAAAAAAAAAAGAAAAAAAAAATAAGGGTGGAAATTTTTAGATGATCTAGTCCCTCTAAAGATTTCATCTATATGTTACTTCTTCGATTTAGCCAATACACGTCAGTATGTGCCCCCAGCCGTCGCAGGCGAAGCCTATTCCAGCGGCGGCGGGGGTGCCCCGTGCTGAACCGCCGCCGGTGCCGCTGTGCGACAGCCCCGAGCCGGAGTACGAGGAGGCCGCCGACCTATCCACCAGCATCGCCAAGCTGCGCTGTCTGCTGCAGCAAAGAGCCGAAGCCAGCTCCAGGTATCACTATTCGACGCGACGTAGTAAACATCCAGCTTGACATAGTCAAATATTTAATTTTCTAGTAGCTCTAAACTCTAGACTCGAAAGATATAGTTCAGTCAAAAGCTATATTATAGCAAATAGGAAAAATTTGTATGGGAAAAGGGATTTTATGTTTTCCCGGGAAAATTTTCCAATTTTCCATTCATAAGAACCTTCCTCGAATTTCAATGAATATTGGCAAAAAAAGGCTGAATTGGTCCACTCGTTCTTTAGTTTTTAAATAACCTAATATTTAGTAAATATTTATCCTGATAAGGGCACTTCGTTTGTTAGCGAAAAAACGATATTTCAAAATTTCTTTCAAGAACCCCATGCTGTAGTCTCTTGGGAAAAGCTCGGCAGGGAGCTCATTCCACAACCTGAGTGTTCGTGAGAGAAAACATCTCTGAAACCGCGCAGTACGCGACCATTCAGACTGTAGGACATCATGATGAACTCCCTGTCGATGGCGAGCCGTACGATGGTAGAAAGTGGCTGTGGGCATCATATTGAACAATTCCTCTGAGCACAATCCATTGTACAGGCGGTAGAACACGCAGAGTGAGGCAAAATCTCTCCTAAGACTTAAGGGTTCGATACCGCTTGTGAGCCTGGGATCATCGACAATTCTCATAACTTGTCGTTGCAACGAGTCGAAAATTCTTTATTCAAGAGTCTTTAAGCGATAGTACGGCAAGCTACGGTATTTATTTCGATGTTCCGAAATTTACCGCCGTGTGGTTCCAGTATAAAATAGGCTACCTATTTCATTCCTTTAACGGTAGACGGATGGGCAGCAGCGTCCCTTTTAAAACATCATTAAAAGCCTGACTGCAGTTACAAACCTGCCTGACAAGCGTGGCAACTACTGGTAAAACTCCCCTTATGGGGAAGGCTTATGTCCAGCAGTAGACACTTAATGGCTGACATGACGATGATTCCAAAAATATATTGTGATCAATTTCAAACTTTATTTTTTTTAATACTGTGCGTATTTCTTTAATTAAAACAAACTGTTCCATGCAATTGCTTCATCTATCTCGTATATGATCTAAGAACTTAGTGTATGGTAGTTGGAGTATTAAGCAATCGATGTTTATGCGTGTGCCCCGTCAGGCCGGAGGAGGTGTGGTGGGAGGGCGCGGAGGAGACCCGAGGACGCAGCGCTAGCAGCACTCGGCCCGGACCTGTGGACACAGCCGCGCTCGCTGGTACGTGAGTCATGTTGGAAGAGGAGACGTTGTGGTGGAAGGCACACACCACAGTGAGGCAATCGCGCTCGCCGGTACTTGTATGAGGTCGAAAGAGGAGGAAGGATCGTGAGAGGGCACAGTGAGGTAGCCGTGATCACCTACCGTCTTCCTTGCACTACGGAAAGATACGCAGCGAATGTACACTCCTCTCCTCGTAAAAGGAGAAGTATTAAATGGATAGTGTCCTACTGTTATACCACGCTGACCAGGCGCTTCTGTATCAAGTTTTGATTCAGGTTTTCCTTCTAAATGAATTAGTATACTCACGACTATCATCTTTAATGGGGTAATCGTACTCAAAGTACTAGGGGGAAGGGATTATTAGTAATGCGGACTACCAGTCCCATTGCCTGGAAACCATCGTGCTGAATTTCAGATGATTCCATCACGATGGACTAACTGATATGCCTTTTCATCCTCACCTACCATCCCTCACCGGTGCCCTGTCCGCGTATACCATTAGCGCAGGCGGGGTTACCATTCTATTGTCATCCATAAAAAATATCTATAAAGTACTATGGAAAGAAAATAATAAAGATATAATGATTTATTTCAGACGAGTACGACATGAATGCAGATAGGAATTCGTCGCCCGGACAAACGTCAAACAATATGCAAAGACTGGACAAGTGAGTGTAAATTGAAATTGCCGTCTCTAAAGTTTTTTATTTATTTTATACCACTGAGGTGGCATACAAGAATACGGCCCACCTGATGGTAAGCGCTTACCGTAGCCTATGAACGCCTGCAATACCAGAGGTATTACACGCGCGTTGCCGACCCTGAAGAAACCTCTTTACCCCCCTTTTTGAAGAGCCCTATGCTGTAGTCTCTTGGGAAAATCTCGGCTGAAATGAGCTCCCATTCCATAACCTGAGTGTTCGTGGGAGAAAACATCTCTGAAACCGCGTTGTACGCGACCATTTAGGCTGTAAGATATGAGGGTGAACTCCCTGTCGATGGCGAGCCGTACGATGATAGAAAGTGGCCGTAGGCATCATATTGAATAATTCCTCTGAGCACAAACCGTTGTATAAGCGGTAGAACACGCAGAGTGAGGCAAAATCTCTCCTAAGACTTAAGTCCAATCTGCGGTTTCATTTTGGCTTCCAGACTAGTTTGTTACTTGTATATCACCGTCGTTTGTACCCATTACGCACGTACTCACGCATACATGCACGCATTCATGCACTCTCGTACGCAAGAACGTGTACACACGCTTCTTTTCACGCTCGCACGCTGCAACCAAAGTGAAAGAAAAGTGCCCTCCGCTAAGTACCTAGGCTTATGGATTCGTAATCTCGGTACTGTGTAAACTGAAGCTAGGAAAAACCATCACTGTAGAAACATTCCGAAGCTTTATTCACACGAACTTGATATTTAGCACTGAAGGTTTTTCAATGAAGCCATCTCGTAGAATCAGAGATTCCACGGTACGCCGGGACTCGTGCGTGTCTGGTCTTGAGCCTGCGGCTAAGCTCGAGGGATGCATAGAAGACCGATGTCCTCTAGACCTTTCGGAGCACTTGTCTAGTGCAAACCTATTTACGCATCCACGCAAGCATGCATGAATGCACGGCCGCATGCTTCTTTATATTCCATATTCATAATTGTTACTTACATTTTTCCAATTAATAAAAAATAAATTTGTATTTATTGGTATCTATTTTGTTGTTGTTTACTTTAATAACCGGATTTTTTTGAGATGATGAAATCGTAATCCTATCTCTTCTGTCAGTACACAATGAAGGGGCACCAGTAAGGGATGACAGCTCAAGATAAAATAAGCCAGTTAGCCCATCATGACAAATTTAGAAGAATTGCTTTTTTTTAGTTAATTATTCAGGGGGAACCACATGGAAGTCGATCTACAGGGTATATTGCTAGCAATGAGGCTGCTAGTTCCCTTTGCTAGCAATTCGCTTCTCCCCAATTTCTGGGGGTAGTATATAGCGATACTACTTATGGTTGCTATAACAGGTTGTTCCAACGCACCGTCACCGGTGTGTTCAACTCTATAAAGACGGCTGTGGGCGCGGAGGGCGCTGAGGTGGCGGGCGGTGCGGGGGTAGCAGCGGGCGGCGCGGGGCCAGTCGGCCCGCCGGGGGTCGAGTCGGCGCCGCAGCAACAGTGGACCTACGTCTGCACCTCTGGCGGACTTAGTGTTAGTACAAAGAACGGAGTTATATTTGGAAAAAGAGTGCTTACTGGTCATGATGCTATTAGAAATTTAGACAACTTTTTTTTTATGTCTTAAAATGTAGTGTCTAGCACTAAAACTTGACTATTAGGTAGAATGAAAAAATATATACGACGACGGTGAAAAGGGGAATATAATACTAAATTCTCTAGAGAGTTTAATAATTTAGAATTTTGAATTTTTAAGAACTTTCTAAAAAAGGAGAATAATAAAAAAATCTTTTAAGTAACAAGTTTCATTTTTAATAGAAAATTTGTTCGTATTTGGATGTGTGGAGTGAGCGCTGAACCTCGTCTGTTGTGCCGTAGCATGCTGCTATGTAACGCGTTTCGGTTACTTGTACTATTAGATTTACTCGTTTCGGGGTTAACTATGACGCTTTGCAGGGGAGTGGGGATTGAGGGATTGCGTAAAAGTCATCCTGTTACAAATATCGCTAGTGATGAGGTTGCTAGAGTTGACGCCCACGGTCCTCCGCCGTGGAGCTGTAGATGCGTGTGTGGCGGCGCAGGTGTGCGGCGCGGTGTCGCGCGCGGTGTGTGCGCGCCGCGCGCACGCGCACGTCGACGCCGCGCTCGACACGCTGCACGCGCACCCGCACCACCAGCACCACCACCACCACCAGCACCAGCACCACCACCAGCGGCAGCAGCAGCACGCGCGGCAGCCGCGCGCGCTGCTCGCCGCCGACGACTTCGGTGCGTACGATGATTTTGTAACAATATACTGTACACATTGTAGCAATACAAAATGAAAATAACAGTTTTTATTATTATAAATGTTTACTTAATTAAGAACTTAACGTCTAAACATATGTGTAGAGGAGTGCCTGTGGTGCCGGTGGCGCGGGTGGTGCGGCGCTGGCGCAGCCGCGGCGGCCGCCGGCCTCGCCGCCTCGCACGTGGCGCAGCGGCTCGCGGCGCTGCTCGGCGCCGGTGAGTACACTCGCCCCCCGCCGCCTCGCACGTGGCGCAGCGGCTCGCGGCGCTGCTCGGCGCCGGTGAGTACACTCGCCCCCCGCCGCCTCGCACGTGGCGCAGCGGCTCGCGGCGCTGCTCGGCGCCGGTGAGTACACTCGCCCCCGCCGCCTCGCACGTGGCGCAGCGGCTCGCGGCGCTGCTCGGCGCCGGTGAGTACACTCGCCCCCGCCGCCTCGCACGTGGCGCAGCGGCTCGCGGCGCTGCTCGGCGCCGGTGAGTACACTCGCCCCCCGCCGCCTCGCACGTGGCGCAGCGGCTCGCGGCGCTGCTCGGCGCCGGTGAGTACACTCGCCCCCCGCCGCCTCGCACGTGGCGCAGCGGCTCGCGGCGCTGCTCGGCGCCGGTGAGTACACTCGCCCCCCGCCGCCTCGCACGTGGCGCAGCGGCTCGCGGCGCTGCTCGGCGCCGGTGAGTACACTCGCCCCCCGCCGCCTCGCACGTGGCGCAGCGGCTCGCGGCGCTGCTCGGCGCCGGTGAGTACACTCGCCCCCGCCGCCTCGCACGTGGCGCAGCGGCTCGCGGCGCTGCTCGGCGCCGGTGAGTACACTCGCCCCCCGCCGCCTCGCACGTGGCGCAGCGGCTCGCGGCGCTGCTCGGCGCCGGTGAGTACACTCGCCCCCCGCCGCCTCGCACGTGGCGCAGCGGCTCGCGGCGCTGCTCGGCGCCGGTGAGTACACTCGCCCCCCGCCGCCTCGCACGTGGCGCAGCGGCTCGCGGCGCTGCTCGGCGCCGGTGAGTACACTCGCCCCCCGCCGCCTCGCACGTGGCGCAGCGGCTCGCGGCGCTGCTCGGCGCCGGTGAGTACACTCGCCCCCCGCCGCCTCGCACGTGGCGCAGCGGCGCAGACTTGTGGCCCTATCTGTTGTATCATATCTATATCTGACGTCAGTAAATACGTTCGTTTTCCTCCATATATCGTTCTCCTCCATATACCTGCTCGCCTTCCCACCTCCTCACTCTAACACTCACCTAACAGGCAGAGCTGCTTCTCGCTATTCTATGCGCCGCCGCTCGCTATACTCCCTTCTCTCTCTATACTTTCTTCTCCCGATTCTTTCTGTACTTTCGATGGACTTCTATCTACTTCCTTTTCCCTCCCCGCACCTTGAACTTGCTACTAGTTACCATACTCACCTCGCCACCTCTCAAGTTGCATATCATCTCGCTGCTCTACTAAGCACTGGTCGATATGCTCCCTACGCCTCCAGCTTCTCCTCATCATAGATATTATCAAATTTCAATTTAACGTTAAGTAATATTTGTATGCAGACCTAGCGGAGTCCTTGATAGATGCGTGGCTGGCGGAGCTAACCACGTGGCTCCGGCAGCAGGTGTTCGCGGTGTTCCGGAACATGGCCCAGCAGGCCGACCTCCCCACCTCTACGCAGAAGGAGCCCTTGATGGAGTTCAACAAAGAGGAGACCGTCGCCGCCATATTGGAGAGAATGCCAGGTACGTAGTTGTATTCATTTATTCATTACAATCTATATTGTATACAGAGCATTCATAAATCATCCATTACTGAACATAGAGCATTCATGGCTCATCCATTGTTGAACATAGAGCGTTCATAGCTCATTCGTTATTCGACATTGAGTGTTCATCTCAAAAATCTCCCGCTAAATTTCAAAAATGGAAATATCCAAAAGCACTTATCGATTAATTTAAATTTATTGACCACCATTTTAACTGGAAATAATAATTATGCAAGACATATAAATATGTATATTATAAAAAAGATATGTCAAAAAGCATATAAAAATACAATAAAATTGTGTTTTCCTTTACCAGCTCTATATCTATTCGGTGAGGAGACACTGTCGCGCGCCGTGACGCTGCTCGTGTCTAGTTTTACGCACAAAGACGTGAACAGGGACCTCGCGTTCCGCACCTTGGATGTACTGGCGCTGCACTTCAAGAAGTCGGCCGCTTTGGGGAGCATGTTCTTCGATGGAAATTAGTTTTTTTTTTTAATAAGGTACTCTAATTGCCATGAGGGTGATTGATGATGAGCGAATCACCCTTGATGGTGATGAACTTCAAATTTTCATGATGGGTAGACTAAGATTAGAGTTAAATTCGATTCAGTAAGTTTGTTGTAATTCTATAACCGTTTATATTGACTGTTTTTTTATTAATGTGAAATGTACATTTTGGTTTCAACATTCCATGCGTTCTCTTGCGAGATGGAGCGATACGACCAGGTTGATATTGACCGTGTCTTTCAACTGAATGACAATTGACTTTTTTTAATCAAATTTTTGTTGAGGCTTTAGTACACCGGAGTGTATATGCCAGCCTCATAGGGATTGTCTTAAAGTGGGTCTGTCAGTCCGTCAGGGACACCTTTAGCCTCGATTGTCTTTCAACCGACTATTAATATGAAATAAATCTTAATTTATACACTAAGTAACAAACCCCTCGTCCGACGACGCGAAGCTGATGTATGATATGGTTGGATGTAGGTTTTAATGTAGATCTACCTGCTTTGAGGCCTGCATCGGACCATAGATTATTGTTTTTTTTTTTTTATTCCACGACATTCCTTTCATTCATTTTATTTGATTTGGTGGTATTTTTGATTGTTAAAAATTCGTAAAATTGTGAACTTTTAATTGTTAAAATATATACAATGATGTCCTAAAATTGATTAAGGTACGACGGGACTGACGTGCCTAAAAGGACAAAGGTCCCTAAACAAATAAAGAAAAAAAAAAGTAACAAACAAAGAAAATTAAGATAGAAGTGGTGAGCTGATCGTTAAGTTCCCTCAGTCTTACGGCATCCACGTCAAAGGAAGGGGTGGCCTATTCTATGCCGGGACCACACGGGAAATATACACTTGTGTTATGTTTTATACATTATACTGGCATTGCATCCGATCTGAACACTAGAAATTATTCACAAAATTCACTTTGAATTCGGATTCCAATAAGTGTATAAAAATTCAAGTAAAAAAATGTGCATACTCAAAAATCGCCTACTTGTATTTATTCGACGGGTATCGAACCCAGATCTCAAGGTCCTAGACCGGAAACCATTAGGCCAAAGTTATTAAATTTTCGCTTTAATCTTATATTTTGAATTAAATATATATTATTTTTATATTATATAATTTACTACAGAGATCTATATAATAAACTTAATTGACTATGTACTTAGTTCTGTAAGAGATTATACATATGTCGTTACATTTTCGTACATAGTTTTATATAAAATTCTCGTGTCACGGTGTTTGTTACCAAACTCCTCCGAAACGGCTTTATCGATTTTTATGAAATTTTGTGTGCATATTGGGTAGGTCTGAGAATCGGCCAACATCTATTTTTCATACCCCTCAATGATAAGGGTGACCCACCCCAAAAAAATTTTTTTTTATTTTTTTGACAAATTTTTCCATTTGTATTTTATTATGATTTAGCATTGAAAAATACATATAACCTCAAATTTTCATCGTTTTACGATCAACCCCTGTATTTTAATCGCAATTTTTATATTTCGCAATAAGTGGTAAAACAACGTTTACGGGGTCAGCTAGTTGTTTTAAATATGAACTATTTTGCATTTTTTTATAAGGTTAACTTACAGATATTAGTTATAAACGTTGACGTTCAACTCAGGTAAGATGTTAATAGAATCTTATCTAAGTTGATCTCAATTTTTTTTTGATGGGTGAAAATGGTATGGTAACCCCGCATGCGCTAACGGGATACGCTGGCGGAGCACCAGTGAAGGGTGATAGATGAGAATGAAAACAGGCCAGTTAGCCCATCATGATGAATTCATCAGGAATTAACCATGATAGTTTCCAGGGGGAACCGCGTGGAGGTCGACCTGGTTGGGTATATTGCTAGCAATGGGATTCTCAGTCTCCATTACTAACAACCCTTTACCCCCCTAAAATATTGTACAGGTCATTTCTTTCAGCATGGTGTGTATATGTGGGTAATTCAACGATTTTTCTTGCGTTAATTCAGTAACTCGGGTGAACTCCACTGCGCCGTCTCATTAACTCAAAATTGCGTTGTGTTTCTCCAAGCTCATTTCACCAGAGGGAGACTTTGTACAAAAGTCGATTGCTTGGGTACCTCTGTCCCATTCGTGTTTCAAACGTAAAGCAGTTGTATTTGCATGACTGTGTTTCGGTTTGAAGGGTGGGATATGGCGTGAATTTACAGTGTACAGAGGAATAACACCAGAGTCCCTAGGAATAGCAACGCGTGGGGGGTATCATGTGCGAAACAGTATACTCTGTTATGTCCATGGTACTCCTCATGTCTATAGGCGACGGTTACCACTTTCCATCAGGTGGGCCGTCAGCTTGTTTGCCATTCTAAGTTGTATAAAAAAAAAATATAAATGTGATAAAAACAAAGCATATTCCGTAAACCATCAATTTATTTAAAATTCTAAAAAAAAACAACACTTTTAATATCACAGTGGTCGCATAATACGTTCACGAGATTCTAAATAGCACCTTATTGTTACAACAATAGAGTTTACAATTACATGCATGTACATGGATAGATATTTTGTAAAAATCTTCCTAAAGACGCATAAAGTGATTCATATTAAGTGGGCTTTGTATTGTAACCTTTAGTAAATTTTTGGGTTTAAAAACAATGCACCTCTGAATCCCCCCTACTGTAAATCCACTTTAATGTCATTTTTCAAAGAATATGAGTTTAACAACAAAATAAAGATGTAAAAAAATATGATTTGTAAAATTGCGATGTTTTTTTTTTAATAAGTTTCATTTTCAAATTTTAATTTTTCAATAGACAAACATATATTTTTGTGTATTAAAAAAATTTGTATTTAGAAACGACAGGGATCATTACAGACATCACGTAAATGATTATTTTAACATATAAAATCTCTTGTCACAATGTTTGTTCACGTTAATCTCCGAAACTAGTTATAAATGAAATTTTCTTAATATCTATTGTTTGTAACTTGAGAGTAGGACATTTTTATCAATATAAGAAAATACAAATCCAGTAGGTGGCGCTAGGGGGCAAATAGCGTTTACCGGTTTAGCTAGAATTTATATATAATTATATTATTATTTTTTTTTTAAATAAATACAAGGTAGAAACAATAAGATCTCAATTGTTTATTTCTTACAAGATGTAAAACTTGCATTAATTAATTAATAGTGTAACAACGAACTGCAAGTTGGCCGTAAACTCGATTTTAAATCTCCATGTAAATTATAATTTATATAAATCACACGATTCTCAAGTACCTAATGTAACAATGTACCTATCTAATTTTTGGATAATAAAAATATGACAACAATAATCTTTTTATTTTTTTATTTTTAACCTCCTTCTATTTATTTCTTATGATTAATTTAATACTAACCCTAAAATTCTTAAAAGTCGATTTTGAAGATTGTTTTCTTTCTGCAAACGCAATGTGTTCGCGTCATATGCTTGTTACCATGCGAATCGCAAACGAATCTATCGGCAAAAATTATTTCAACAGAACTTAGCAAAGGTGACGAAATTTTCTTGAAATTGTCATTAAATTAAATCGGCAACAAATTGAAACATTCAATCGATTAATCATTTTTTATTTCAGTTTTATGTGTGTTAGGTCAATATGTTTATATTTTTCTCAAATTCTGTTGATATAGACTATATGTATGTATATATGTGTTCTTGTTACTGAATGTATGGGAAAGAGAAGCTTCATGCTGCTGTCTGTCTAAATTGATGCCACTGAAAATCGGCGTCATGTTCAAAAGAGCATGGCATATAATCGAGTGACACCATTTTAGTGTATTGTTTTCCATTTTGTTTATTGTTAAATATTTTTGTAATTAAATGTGAAATTAAGTACTAAATAAATATTCTTTCTTTCCGGCCCATTTATATTACATACGTGTATTTTAGCTTATCTATGTATAAATTTGTGTGCTACTTTCTAGGAGTCATGGTTGGCATATTGTAAGAAGTTATTAGTGTTTAACCCTTCTTTGCATGATTTTTATTTAATGGTGAAATCAAAGTCATATAATTCATGTTTAAAATTAAAGAAAAAATGGTTAAAACATTAAATTTGACAGCTATGTTTTTTTTTTTCTGCAATGGACATTAAAAAATTATCCAGACACAACTTAAAGTGAACTTGGTCTTTTATATAAGTTTTAAGCATTCAATGTTATGATGGAAATTTCCACCAATATGCAAAGAAGGGTTCATTAGTCTGCATTGAACGTTTTCAAACTAAACCTATCTATTTGCTTTTGCTTTCTATAAATAATATTCTACGAGATTTTTGAGCAAATAGGAACGACTATATTTGTGCAAATTACATAATTTGGCACAATATATAATCCATTTTTTCTTCTTCTTCTTCACTTTGTCAACTTATTTGTCTTAAACAATTTTCCTCGGATTACATTAATTCTCGTTTCAATACATATATATGCATTCAAGGCGTGGATAATATCTACATGTTGTTTATAATTAAACTTGTGTTTCACATGTAATATTAAGTCTAAACTTTACATGTAAAATACAAGTCTAGTTCATTCACATTATCCAGACATGTAATACCGACATGTTTTCTATAAGATTTTTAAGATAATGATAACCTACTCATTTTTTACATATAATATTTTATACTTCTATTGATATCTGTTTTATATATATTTATTTATTCATACCAGTGAAATAAATATATGAAAGAGTCTTAGCTTAGCTTAGCTTACTTTGGTGTTCCGTAAAAATTTCCGTAATATTTTCACTAAAAGTTTTAATTTTAAAGTTTAAAGAATGACACTTTAAAATTGATATAATTTCACGATTTTTTATATTCTTAATTGTCACAGCCCATGTCTTTTATAATATATTTAAGACGAAGTTTTTCTACACCATACAAAAGGATTTGCCCTTGAAAAATCGCTCTTGTTTTTGAACAAGTATGTTGTATTTTGACGGAGAAAAATGTGACCCGAGGATTATCATTTTGCATTGATCTTAACAAATATTGTGCGTAGACTATGAATAGCACACAATATTTGTTAGTGTTATTTCATAATTATTTATCTTAATGGTAGTAAATTAACAGCTTATGTCATAATGATAAATATTAGTGTCAAAGCGAGGTCACTGTTTCCAAGTCGTCAAAGTTTTGTCGCAGCGCCTGCGGGGTGGGCAGCGGCTCCAAATCTACCGTCTCCATGTCTATATCGGCCTTGTCTGTGAAGCTGAAGAACATCTGAAATAGAAGCAATAAATATGATTACCATGGTAGTGTAAGAATGATAGTGCTAGGTAGATTATGACGAGTATGCTTGTCCCACAGCTATGGGTGCCTTAGATAAATTATTCTATAGAACCAAATCTTTTGGGTTTTACTTGAAAAAAAGTACTGTAAAATTTTATATTCTGTGCCTATTAGTGAAACCTGTATAAAAAGATATGAATTATAAATATATGAAGCAAAATATATATACAAAGGATCAAGTAGAGGTCTTTTGTGTTCGGTTTTTTGTTTCATTATCGTTTTTCATTATATAAATGGGCCTTGATACTCCTTTCGTAACAATATTTTAAGTTCCCCTAACAATGCAGCAGCGTACCTGGTCTAAAGAGCTCTGGTTGATTGTGTAGTCTTCTATATCGAAGGTGCCTTGCAACTCCGCCATTAGTCGGAAAATATCACTCAGATGCGTTACCACTTCTTTTTTATTGACTGAAATTATATAATGTTACTTTAAATAATTAAAGAAGGAATCATTTAAAAAAAATATCATCGTCACATCATTTGTTCCTTTTAAATTAATTAATTACTCATGTGAGTATTTCATGTGAGTCATTTTAAATTAATATAATAATAATACAATGTTGTTTATACATGTTAAATACAGTAATTCCCGTAAATACACCGTGTATACATGTCAGGTGAAGTTACCAGTAGCATGTGTGGGCACGAGGAAGTGCAGCGCGGTGCGGTGCAGCGCGCGCAGGGCAGCGTGCGGGACGCGCGCGCGCACGCCGCGCCACACCGCGCGCGCGGCCCTGCACGCGCACTCCACCACGTACCCGCCACCGAACCTGGACATAACGCAAATATTTCATGTGCTTTCATGAAAAAAAAAATTATGGCCAACGTGTTTAAATAATAAGAAACGTGCTCTGCAATAATGTGAATTGCTTTGTATTTATCGCGCTCTCATAAGTGACGCATAAGTGTAATATGTAAAGTGATTACTAGAGAAGTTTACTATTGTTGTAATGCATAAAGTTAAAAATATCATAGCGATGGCCTCCGCGGGTCAGCGGGGGCAGCAACGATAGCAGTAGCAGGCGGCTAGTTACTTGTGCAGACAGTGCCGCAGGTCTGCGAGCGCGACGAGGCGGCCGGCGCGCAGCAGCGCGACGCGCGCCGCCAGCCGCCGCGCGTCGCGCAGCGCGTGCGTGCTCAGCAGCACGCCGCGCGCGCCGCCAGCACGCGCAGCGCACACGCCGCGCCACACGCACGCGCGCGACACTGGATCCATGCCGCTGCAGACAATAGTGCAACAGATAAGCTCGTGTGCGGCCCTCATATCGGTTGACAAACGTACCGAGGATAGACGTAGCACGTTAGGGTACGCGCGCACTCATTATGCACGGTCTTCCACGCACCGACTAAGAAATACCGCGCTCGTAATAAAGCTATACACTGGTACAGTGTATATATACTATAGAAATGTACTATTTTAAAGTAAAAAGTATAAAACCACAACAAGGAATATCTGAACGATTGCTATGCCGATTCTATTGCTAGTATCATGTAAGGGCAAATCTCAAAAAATCTAGAATACAAAATTAATTATTTTTGTAAGACATTTTTCCCCTTTAGTTCCTTTACATTTAGTCCCTTAAATACGTCAAATTTTATCGATACATTCTATATTAGAAGTATTAACTAGTGAGAAATGTAAAGCGAGACCTGGTGGGCTCGTCTAGCAGCACGAGGGAAGCGCGCGCGGCGAGTGCCAGCGCGGTGCAGAGCTTGCGCCGGTTGCCGCCGCTGAGCGCGCCCGTGCGCACGCCGGCGTACTGCCCCAGCTCGAACAGCTGTAGTGCGCGGCGACTCACCTGCTCACATACATTTAATTATCAATAAAAACCAGAAAGCGGCTCTGGCAATAAGTAAAGCATCATCACCATCATGATTTCAGCCATTATCCATCCTCTGCTGGGCCTCCCCCATAGACTGCCATAAAGAACTATCCTAAGCCACCTACATCCATTGACTTCCTGCAACGCATTTCAGGTCGTCACTCCATTTAGTGAGGAGGGGGTCGTCCTACACTGCGTTTACCCATACGTGGTCGTCACTCAAGTACCTAAAAAACAGTAGAGCATATCCAAACCAAATTACACACTTATTTGTACATTAAAATCCCAAACTCCAAATTATACATTAAAAACACCCGGAACATTGGTCCTTCGGACCGGGTCAAAACTCACAAACTAAAAGTCCACCGTTCTCTGTTTCTTTTATTATACCTTATCTTTTCAATATGAAAACTTGAAAGAGAAGCAGCGAGTTGACATAATATTCAGACTCATCATTGTGAACAAATTATGCCAAATCAAATTCTTACCTCGTCCGTTTCACTAATGCCGCGCAATTTACAGTAGAATGCTAGCGTTTCTTCCACTGTTAACAGGGGGTCAATTGCATCACTCTGGGGACAGTAACCTAAAAAACGATAAATATGTAAAATAAGTCGTATTTGAAGAATTATATTTAATGATGGTGTTGATAGTGGTATAATATAGTATATTTTATTCTGAAATGTAACAAAATAATGATAAAGCGAATTACTTATGTGCCCCTGGCAGAGGTCACGCCTGCTGGCTGGGTGGTTCGCAAGGTAGATCTGTCCAGCGCTTGGCATCAGCTGTCCAGTCAGCATCGAGAACGTTGTCGACTTGCCCGCACCATTCTGCCCCAGCAGCGCTGTGCACTGCGATACCATTGAAATTTTTACATCATACAATATAAGATAACCATATTAACGTACCTACTAACGAATCGTGTAAATTTAAATGTGGTTTATGATGGAAATTCATTCTTACAAAAAATTTAAATAAATAAATCAGTAATTTATACTCTTTAACAAAACGTGTTTTATCTTTATTCAAGTAGCTATTAACCTGGCCGGGTGGTATTCCGAACGTAAGTCTGTCAACCGCAACCTTGGTGCCTGTGAGTGTTGGATACGACTTGGTGAGGTCCAGACAGGCTGCCACGTCGCTTGCTGTTGATATACGTTTGGTAGACTTCTTTTTTGGACTCTCTTCTGAATCGACGAAACCTGGATGTAGTTGAATTGATTATTAATTGTTACTCTAATACATAAGCTAGAATATTATGTATTATAAGAAATCTGGTATGAGAAACATCTGAATCGTATTTTTAAATAGCGAATGAAATCGAATTGAACAAATATGTAAGTTGGGCTGCAGGTCGAGAATAGGAGGATCATAGGAGTCATGTGAATGGTTGCATGGCTTACTCGGCATCCCGAATGTCTTTTTTCGTCGCCCTAAAAATATTGTCCAGGGGCGTCAAGTAATTTAAAGTCGGGCTTGTTTACCAGCGTTGATATTGCCGATGGTCCTGAGGCGTAGCAGCGGCGGCGAGGCGAGAGTAGCCGCCTGTACTCGCCTGCGCTCCTCGCAAACTTCCACCGGCTCTAACTCGTTGCACGGGCCTTCCGGTCGTACGTCTGGTTTACATCTGCCAACACCACAATCTCTCTGATTATATACAGTTTACAATACTTTGAAAGCGAATGCTCAATCTACTTATTTCTTTGTTTGCTATGTAGTTGGTAAACAAAGTTGTACGCTTTCTCAGGACTGTAACATATCAACTATTATAAAAAAAATTGTTCAAATATGCACGAGTAAGTTCATTTTGTGTTTTCTTTTTTCTTCTTTTATTGTAATTTTAAAATAAAATAATGATGTTATTATATACTGTATATACTCAAAAATCCTACAGCGACCTCCGTATCCAATATAATAACGCAGGGACATGTTGATGGGGCTGTTCAGGTCAGGGATGTTCGCTGAGCATCGTGTAGATTGTTTTTATGCCACGATGCGAAAAAGGTGTGCATCCCTGGTGCGCAGAGTACGTGCCAGCACCAACAGCATCCTGAGTATGATAGCAAGCAGGCTGGACTGTGTGTACGTTAATCACTGCTGCGCAATTTCCAATGGAATTGTGCAGCGGTGATTATCTGTATACTACTTAATATATTGTATGTGTGTATGTGTGTGTATGTGTATTGTGTATGTAAATTTACTAACATTAGTTTTTAAGAATATTGTTACTAATAAATATTTAATGGACCAAAAAGTCTGAAATAAAAATTATTATTATTATTATTATTATTATATAATTGTGTAATCTTAATTTTTATGTTGTTTTATCATATTAACATGTATAATTCATATTTTATTTTTAAAAAAGAGAGTGTATCTAATGAATGATATTAGTTAAAAGTTTATTTAGTGTATATGTAAATAAATTAATAAGCACATAGTGTAAATACAAATTTGTCACATATAACAAACTTGCTCACCTGAGGAGTTCAAATAAGCGATCGACATAGTCATACTCGATGGCTAGATTAAACAAGAGGAGTGCGGTGCCGACGACCACGAGATAGGTGTAGTGATATGCGACAAGGTCGGTGCCGAATGGCGATCGGTACGTGTCCATACCGAAACGGTCTAAGACCTGAAATAGATACACAGGCTCTAATTAAGTGTAAATTTGTCGAACAGTGCTGCTCATATATATGGCGACGACAATTGTTTTTTTATCAAATAAACCGACGGCTTTATTATAAATTGAAAGATCTAGTCAATAAAAACACTAGTCTAGACAACTAAAAAATCTAGTTATAAACAAATAAGTAAATAGTCATGGATAATATATATACCAATCCGATATCTATATTTTAGTTTTCTCTGGACATTTCAATACGCCCATATCAATTTTTAATATGTTACAAGTCTGTTATCCAATATGATTTTTTTGATATTGCTACCACCCCTATAAGTAAGTACGTACTTATCTATCTAGTCATATATCAATACAAACCTGCGCCTGTATAGTGTTCTTGGCGATCTCGAGTAGACCGTCTCCGAGCGCAAACTGCGGTGACAACATGAATATCTTGTGGAGTACCCAGCGGGCGTTGTCTGTTTCCTGGACATAACACAACAAACTACAAATTGCAATAATTTACAATTATAATAATTTACATTATATTAGAATTCTAAATTAAAAATAATATTGCAATATACCGTGTAACATAACCTTTCTTTTTCACCTACATGCTCTGTAGAAATTTGTAGTTAACTTGTTTTAAACATGTAAATTTGTAGAAAACATGTTGCAAATATTAACTGAATACTTTTAAAATAAATTTAAAATTTACTTTTTTTTCGCAAGATCTCACGTTTTTTGTAAAAGTGTGCTTACCTATTTCTACTTAGCTGAAAATTTGTTAAGTTAATAAATTTTATGATTATTTGCATTAGATTCTGGTTTATTATTTAATAATTAAACTTTTATATTCCTACAAGATTACTATCAAACAATTTTACAACATGTATCAAAATTGTAATCTCCATGTGACTTACATGCTACATGTAAGCGTGTGCACATGTAAGCGAGTGCTGGATTTATTAATAGACCCTATAAGTGTATCCTATCGGTAACCTATTGGGCTTATAGCTTATAGGTCATATAGACTTGTGGGCAATAGATATAAAGAGCAGCAGGTTTTGCCAACCAACCAAACAGGTGGACCGTCAGCTTGATTGCCATTCTAAATTGTATAAATAAACCTAAAATTCCGTAAATAATTGTAATTCATATTTTTTATCATTTAACTGCTAATTAATTCATTGTATTACTTTGTGATACCTTCAATACCTACTTGTATCTAGTTATGTGCATAATGAGTTCTCCTCTTCTTTCTTTGACGGGTAGGAGAACGGAATGTGTTCTATACTTTAGAAAAACATAAATGCGACACCGTATACAATACAATACATTGTCTCACCTCCGACTCGGAGATGATGTCCATGATGAGCAGTATGGCGATGCCGATGAGTCCCATGAAGGTGTTCCCGCAGAACAATACCATGTTGGCGATGCTCGGCTCGTTGAACAGCTTCTCGGCCACGTGCACCAGCGAGCTGCACGCGTACCTGTACCATGATAATAACACATATCGTTCAAATACAGCAGATAATCTTGGTGGTGTGGAGACTTTAACACACTGAAACATCTATATACTTAGTCATATATACAGGATGTAAGGGACAGGTTGACCAAAACGAAAACAGCTGATTTAAATGAATAGTCTGAATCAGATGGCAGATTATTTTCCCACCGGAAATGCACTACAACCATATAATTAACGATTGTTAGTTTTGACGCCGCGCAATGTATTTGAAATTTTATGATCCACATAACGCGTGATATCTACAACGCGCGCTCAATAGTGCTTCTTCATAGGTAGTTTTCGCACCCTTGGGGCGGAATTAGTTTTGTGTATGTGCTTCATAGTATTTCACTATAAAATATTATTATTTCTTTATATTATATTATGATATATCATAGATTACATGGTTTTAAATAAAAAAACAAAAACAGGAAAATTTTGAAATTTCCCGGAAATAATTTCCACTGGTTTTCAGTTCAGAATAATGGTTTGATTTCACTGTTTCAGTTTTTGCCAACCTGTCCCTTACACCCATATAGGCTATCATGATGATGATCATCATGCTAGCCATTAAATTAGGTGACTTTTAAGACGGACGTTGCTGCTCAACCCTCGACCATTACATTCCTTTAGTCGCCTCTTACGACACTCATGGGAAAGGAAGGGGCGGCCAATTATATACTGGGACCACATGGCTCTCATAATGGGTTTCTCGCGAACAGAGTCGCGGGAAAAGTCCAATAAAACATCTTACCCATATAATAAAAGGAGTATACAAATGGCCGGCAGGTTGTCGCGAGCCACGAACACTGGGAAGTGGAATGCCTCCATCAGAACCACGGACACCAGCATGTTGATTACAATTATCTAAAAACAATATAATGTATTACCATAATTATTCTTGTTTTATACAGAAATAGTACATTACTGCAGCAGCCAGCAACTGAGGCATTGATGGACGAACGTGTAAATGTGGGCCGAGGCGTAGCTGAGGCACACATACATGAGTCCATCATTGCCTAGTTGTGGCCAAGGCTTGTATAGTACTTTTCTTAAACAATGCGCGGAAATCAAAAACACAATTTTACTTTTTAAGTTCAATGACGACTCACGAACAATAATAATTTTTCACGCGCCATAATGTTCCTTTGTCTTTTTTTTTCAATAAACAGCTTTCTATTTGCAAGCCAGTTCGAAATTTAAATAAAACCTTTTATTAGTTACCTCCTTGGTAGCCATGTTTTGAAGTAAAAGGTCATTCTATTTTTAAAGTACAGGACAGATATGAGTTTACATAGTAATTTATCTGGCCGCAAAACACGACAGATATGGATTTTCATACAACTTTTGCCAGCCGCTGCTCGTATGTATTTGGCCAGTACGGCAATTTTGATTTACCTCAAAGAAGATTGTCAATATAATGCTCACATTTCCAAGCATGTTTGAGAAAAATATTTAATAATATAATTTACTAAATAATTTAATAATGGAATCTTTATAAAAGAAAATTAGTTACAAATTTTTAAACGACACAAATTCTACTTGTTCGTCCAGCCGACTCTATAAAAGCTATTTCACAATTTTAAATGTATCACAAGAATAAGAATTGCTTGTCCGAGTGTCCGAATGTCCAGTGTCCGAGTTTCCAGTGTCCGAGTGTCCAGTGTCCGAGTGTCTAGTGTCCGAATGTCCAGTGTCCGAGTGTCCAATGTCCGAGTGTCCGAGTGTCCAGTGTCCGAGTGTCCAGTGTCCGAGTGTCCAATGTCCGTCTGAGTCCTGTGTCTGAGTGTCCTGTGTCCGAGTGTCCAGTATCTGAGTGTCTAGGTGTCCGAGTGTCTAGTGTCCGAGTGTCGAGTGTCTGAGTGTCCGAGTGTCCAGTGTCATTCGGACATTGGACACTCGGACACTAGACACTCAGACACTGGACACTCAGACACTGGACACTCGGACACTGGACACTCGGACACTGGACACTCGGACACTGGACACTCGGACACTCGGACATTGGACATTCGGACACTGGACATTCGGACACTGGACACTCGAACACTGGATACTCAGACACTAGACACTCAGACACTAGACTCTCGGACACTAGACACTCAGACACTAGACACTCGGACGCTAGACACTCGGACATTGGACACTCAGACACTAGACACTCAGACACTAGACACTCAGACACTGGACACTCAGACACTGGACACTCGGACACTAGACACTCGGACACTGGACACTCAGACACTGGACACTCGGACACTGGACACTCGGACACTCGGACATTGGACACTCGGACACTGGACATTCGGACACTGGACACTCGAACACTGGATACTCAGACACTAGACACTCAGACACTAGACTCTCGGACACTAGACACTCAGACACTAGACACTCAGACTCTAGACTCTCGGACACTATACACTCGGACACGGACTCGGACTCGGACGACTGGACGAACAAGTAGAAACATGAATGTGGTCGGTTTTTATTTTTATGTGAAAATTAACATTCCTTATTGACATATCCCTTTTTTTGGGATGATATTAGTCGTTAGAAATTCTAACGATTCGGATAGAAAAAAAAATCTCTGTAATGTCGCGTTTATATTTATAAATATTGGATGCCATTTTTTTGGTTTTTAGAGATAAAGTAGTTGTAAGCATATTTAATATAAAACACCATCTGAAAACATCTGCAAGATGCAAACGAGTCTTATGAAGTACCCATACAAAGTGACAGTAGGTTAAGGTTCGGCTGGGGTGGTCGTAGACCACCCCTAAGCCGCAACATGATGCACATATAAAAGTGGAAGATTAACTTAACCAACTAGGAACAAGTCTTGTCGAATGAGCTTTTTTTGTGAGGCAGCCGCCGAGTGAACCAGAATCCGCGCAAACCTACTACTGACTTAGCATGTAAGTTATTTTTTTTAAAGCTGTAGATTTTAGTATTAAATAAAGATAAATTAGTATTACTAGATTGAGGGAGACGTTTCCAGATTGGGCTCTGAGCGAGGGCTCTAATGTTGCAAGTATTAATTAAGAAATGCGATGCGAGTCCTTAATCATCAGACGGGTTGAATGTAAGATTGCCATCTGTTGCATAAAAAAATATACACTGACCAGCATATCCCAGGCGAGTGCGGCCGCCCAGTAGAGGGCGGGACTGACGCCCGCCAGTAGCTGCAGGCGCTTCTCCTGAGAGGCCCGCGCGCCCACCAGGTACACCGCGGCGCCCGCGCTCACCAGGCTGTACGCCACCAGTAGCAGCGCTGATATACCAGCATCAGCTACGTGCTGATATCTGCAGGAGCGCAAGGGGTAGTACGTAGATTTATAAAACCGTTTATGATATTGTCAGATGTCAATTTTCAGAATGTATGAAAAATGGTTTTGCTGGAAGAAATCTCTTATCGCCTTTACGTTACGTTTAAAATGAATTGTTCTTAGTATAATTTTTGTATACAATAAGGAATTAGGAATGATTAGTAGAAGCTAATGTTCTGAAATCTTCGTGTAGATTAGCTTTGTTTTATATAGGAAAAGTGGCTAGGGAAACAAAATACAATAAACTTATACAAGGGAAAGAAAACTTGAATAAGGGTTATTATAAAAATATGTTATGACCTCAAGTAGTCTGACCAGGGGATTAAACTTTCCCGTGGGTGTCGTCAGTGGCGAATAAATAAGCTTATAGTGGAGGGATGGGCAGCAGCGTCCCTCTTAAAACATAACTTAAAGTCTAACTGCGGTTGCCAACTCGCCTACCATGCGTGGCAACTACTGGCAAACCCCCCTTATAGGGGAGGCTATGTTCAGCAATGGTTAATTAACAGCTGATACAAGATGTAAGTACTCACACAGTGTCCTTGCTGATCTGCTCCTTAGATATCTTGAGCGGGTGCGAGTAGGTGGTGATTGTGGCAGCGTCGCCGGCCACCGTCCGCAGCAGCGCCGTGTTGAGCGCGTTCAGGTACGACGGCAGGGCGTGGTGACCCTTGTTGTTGTACCACACCACTAGAGCCGAGATGTTGTTTAGGAGGGCGGATGAGTAGCCACCGTACCTACAGTAATTATATTATTTATAAAAAAAATAAATAAAATCTCTAAGAGATCTCTTTTAGAGATAAGCCTACCCTTGCTAACAAGTTGGTAAACTAATCTTTTGTTCAAGCCCAATAAAGTATATATATATATATATATATATATATATATATATATATATCTATATATATATATTACGATATCCGGTAAAAACAGACTTTGAAATATAAATTGCAATCAAATAATGATACCTTTTTTCGATGTATGCCTCTTGTGACGTCACGAGCCAGTGGTTGAGAGTGTCCACGTCTGGCAACAGCATCATTCCGGGCCGAGCTTGGTAAGTGCTGTTACTGCGGTCGCACTCTTGCCTTGTCTCCGTACATTTGCACGTAGGGGAATCCTATATAAAACATACAGTAATAGCAAGAAATTAGTAACAATGTTAGCAAAGGCGAACTAATCTCTAAAAGAGATCTCTTCCAGTCAACCTAACACAGTGGCATAGGAAGTAGTGAGTGGGCAGTGAATGAAATCGGAATAAATAAATTATTATATATTAAAAAATTTACAACTCTCTTATACAGCAAGGTTACAATTGAACGTACAGTTTGAACGTAAACTAGAAGATAATCGCCATCGACAAGGTATTCGTCCTCACACGCTTGAAGCTAAATGGTCGTGTACAGTACGGTTTCAAGGATTGTTAGCAATAGAGTTTGACAGCCCTATTGCTAGCAATATGCCCAATTAGGTCGACCTCTACGTGGTTCCCCCTGGAAACCATCGTGAACAATCTTCGTTGAATTCGTCACGATGGGCTAACTGACCTGCTTCATCCTCATCTATCATCCTTCAGTGGTGTTCCGCCGGTGTATACCGATAGCGCGGATGGGGTTAATATTCCATTATCACCCATCAAAAAAAAAAAAACAAAAAAAAAAATACGGTTTCAAAGGAATTTTCTCCCGCGAACTCTCAGGCTGTGGAATAAGCTCTCTGCCAAGGTTTTCCTTAGAGACTACAGTATGTGACACCCCTAGTGTCGCAGGCGTCCATAGGCTACAGTGGCCGTTTACCATCAGACGGGTTGTAAGCTTGTTTGCCATCTTTGTGGTACAAATAAATAATAATAATCATTTAGCACTGTAGTTGGCGGTAGAGTTGATGAGAAGATTTGTCATTTATTTTTAATAATATTATGAATGTGAAAGTGAGCTTGTTTGTTTGTTAACCGACTTAATTAATCACTAAAAAGATTTGGTACATACGTACTATATAAAATAGAAAAGCAGGTCAGTGACTTGGGAGACTTTGTACAAAAGTCGATTGCTTGGGTACCTCTGTCCCATTCGTGTTTCAACCGTGAAGCAGTTGTGTTTGCATGACTGTGTATCGGTTTGAAGGGTGGGATATGGCGTGAATTTACTGGATACAGAGAAATAACACCTGAGTCCTCAGGAATGGCAACGCATGGGGGTTATCATGGGCGAAACAGTATACTCTGTTATGTCCATGGTACTGCTCATGTCTATAGGCGACGGTTACCACTTTCCATCAGGTGGGCCGTCAGCTTGTTTGCCATTATAAGTTGTATAAAAAAAATATGTCGGTCACGCGGAAGTAGTCGTGGGTAAAAGTTAGTTTCATAAAGAATAATAGGGATGTCAAAAATCCCATATGTACTATAGTGGATTTGGCATTTACCTGTTGTGTCCAATTTCTAGTGTTTTTGTAGAGAGCAAGTGCTTCCATAACTCGAGTAGCAAATATTGGGTCGACGCTGTCCGAGTGTACAGATGGTTTGAGTCTGAAATAAGAGAATATTATAATTAATAAAAATAAACTCCCGTATATATCAGAAATTGCGTTTAATTACAAGAAGATCTCGTTGCGCCATGGTATGTACTTTGATTTGCGTAAACAGGGTCCTAAGTTTAATTCTCGAATGGACAAAATATGAATAAATATTATTCGTTATTCGTCATTGAATTTAAAAAGTAAAATTGTATTTTTGATTTCCGCGCATTGTTTGAGAAAAATACTATACAAGCCTTGGCCACAACTAGGCATTGATGGACTCACGTAGGTCTAAGTGTATGAACAGTTGTTCTGAATTGTGACCCCCAGATATTTATTGACCGGTTTATTTATTTACTAGGCACACTAGCTTTAGAGACGGGAAAAGCCAATTTTAAAGCGTTATTATAATAATGCCGTATGGTTCCAGCATAAAATGGGCCACCAATTTTTTCTCGTAGATGTCGTAAAAGACTACTAAGGGAATTTAATAGTCGAGGGAATGGCAGCAGCGTCTCTCTTAATACATCACCAAAGCCTAACTGTGATTGCCAACCCGCCTGCCAAGCGTGGCAATTACTGACAAAACTCCTACTCGTATTGTGGGAAAGGCTTATGTTTAGCAGTGGACGGTTGATGGTGATCGGTCTGCCAATCGTGATAACTACTAGCGAAATCCCTCAACATTTATTTATTTATTTATATATTTATTCACAATTTGTGTGTTCTATTTAAATTATTTTCACCGGTACCTTTCCTGCACTGGATTACCCAAATTAAATTATTTTCTCTCTAACTACACTGAGTTGGCTGGAAGAGATCTTTTTCAGAGATAAGTCCTCCCTTGCTAACAAGTTGTTAAACTAATCGTCGCATGTATTGTTTAAGTTTAAGCAATAAAGAATATATATATATATATATATATATATATATATATATATATATATATATATATATATATATATATATATATATATATATATATTCTTTATTGCTAATATATATATTATATATATATATATATAATATATATATATATATAATATTAAGAATATATATATATACTTAATTGACTCACATCAGGAATTCCGTGGTGTTATCGTACAACGCCGGTCGCAGTTGAAGCGCAACCTCGTTGTCGGCGGGCGGTCGAATGGTGGAGAAGGCCATCGCTATGCTCATGAACAGGGACGGCAGTACCACCAGCAGGAACAGCAGCCACCTGGGCATGGTTAGTGGGAAAATATAATACCACTTGACACTTACTAGGCTGACACTGACTTAGTTGGTTATATGTAGGTCTCTTAATTGGAGAAACTCGTGCTTTTCAGTGTAAAACTTGAACAATCGTGGCTAATTCCTAGTGAATTTATTTGTGTACTAACTGACCTAACTTTTATCCTTCATTTCACGAGGTTCCATGTTCATTCCATAAAAAATATATTGTGAAGATAAGGCAAGAGGTAGATATTCTTTTAAAATCATGAAAACTTTAAGAGTAAAAAACCCCGAATGTATTGTTAATACTACTACATCCATACCAGTTCCTGGAGTAATGTAAGTATCGGGCATGCATCAGTGCCAGGAATTGCTGGCTGGCGGTGCCCTTCAGTGGACCCTCGCTGTCTACGAGCGGAGCTGACTCGTTTCTGATACTGGAACTTGATGCACTCTTCGATGGAGTATCTTCTGGTACTGATTCTATAAACAGATTTGTTAATTGCAGCTTTTCAAAAGAATCACACGTAAAGTCGAGGTAGAAACATTGTTTAGCTAAGCAGCACGATGAGTTTCTAAATATTACCTTTGTTTTACATATCATCATCCCGATGGGCTGGATTCATTCTTAATTTTTTTTTCATGCAACTTAGAATGGCAAACAAGGTGACGGCCTACCTGATGGAAAGTAGTAACCGTCGCCTATAGACATGAGCAGTACCATGGACATAACAGAGTATACTGTTTCGCCCGTGATACCGCTCCATGCGTTGCCATTCCTGAAGACTCAGGTGTTCTTCCTTTGTATCCTGTAAATTCACTGCCATATCCCATCCTTCAAACCGAAACACTGTCATGCAAACACAACTGTTTCACGGTAGAAACACGTATAGGACAGAGGTGCTCAAGCAAATGACTTTTATACAGTCTCCCTCTGGTAAAATTTAATCGTCAGTGCAAATCAATAGCGCGTGCGAGGTTATAACATTTCATCTCATTTATTAAAAAAATTAACCTTTAAGTCATTAATATCACAATAAAGTTAGGCTGGGAAATTTTGAAAAACTATCTTCTGCAGAAAACCAAGCAAAAGTTCAACCGTGGCATTTACTGTGGATAAACAGTATTGTTACCATATTCAATTCCCTGGTGCGGCGCGTCTGCTTGCTGACATATATTGAAGAACACTTGTTCCAGAGTGCTGCATTCCATGCTGTACTCTGTATAGCCGAGGGCTGTCTGTTTGTTCTCTAATACTGTGCAAAGCTGCAGGTAGCTGTGGGTAAAAAAAAAATATATAACATATTCATTTTGTAAAAGAAACATGAATACACTGTAGACGTAAAAGGATCATATTAGAGTTATAAAAAATAGAAGGCAATAATATTAAGCAAATGTCCTAAATTGGATTGTTACGACGTATTTAGTGCTCTTTCCTTTCCCGTAGGTCTGGGCGAATAAAGGAGGGTGACGTTTGGGCATCAGTGTCCTCAAAACATCTCTAAAGCGTAACTGCGGTTGCCAATCTGCCTGTCAAGCGTGGCAACTACTGGCAAAACCTTCCTAGGGGCAGGCTTATGTTCAGCAGTGGACAGTTAAGAGCTAATATGAATGGAAGTCGCTGTGCTTTGTCAAAGTATCCTTTACTATGGACCTACTACTACTAAGCGGTTTCAGAGGTGTTTCCTCCCATGAACACTCAGGTTGTGGAATGAGCTCCCTGCCGAGGTTTTCCCAAGAGACTACAGCATGGGGTTCTTCAAAAGGGGGGTAAAGAGGTTTTTTCAGGGTCGGCAACGCACGCGTAATACCTCTGGTATTGCAGGTGTTCATAGGCTACGGTAACCACTTACCATCATGTGGGCTGTATGCTTGTTTGCCACCTCAGTGGTATGAAAAAAAAAAACTTAACGTATTATCATCAGATCTTAACCACTTTCTTATAATGAAACTATATTCTGTTATTAACAACATGTACAATGGCAACAATTTTAAAACAGACTATTATTTGTGTGACATATTTTCGGTTTTTGAATATTTTTTGTAAATATTCTAATCTTTTTTTGTAAACAAGCATATTGCCTACCTGATGGTACTACCTGAACGCCTGTAAAACCAGGGGTATTACGCACGCTTGCTGGCCCTGAAGAGACTTCTTTATCACCCTATTGAAAAACCTCATGTCACTTGGAAAAACCCCGGCAGGGAGCTCATTCCATAACCTGAGTGTTCGTAGTAGAAAACATCTCTGAAACCGCGCTGCATGCGACCATTTAGGCTATAAAACATGAGGGTGAACTCCCTGTCGATGGTGAGTCGAACGAAAGAAGCCATGGGCATCATATTGAACAATTTCTCTAAGCACAATCCGTTATACAAGTGGTAGAATACGCAAAGTAAGGCAAAATCTCTCCTAAGACTTAAAGGTTCCATACCGCTTGTAAGACTGGGATCATCGACAATTCTCATAGCTCGTCGTTGCACCGAGTCAAAGGGAATAAAAATAATGTTAACATTTCTATAGAGAACTCACTTGGTGTTAAGCCCATGAGGATCATAGAATGGCAGGGTAATCTCCACTTCAGTACCGCTCACGTCGACCAGGCTCGCGTTCGTCACCACCTCCTTGACTGTAGATAGGAGTTCTTTAGTCTTTTCTTCGAAGTCGTATTCGTCGTCCATCCACTCCTGAGTGTCTGACCAGCTAGTTTGGCTCGGATAGGTGACGATCAATTTATAGCCAGTGCCGAGGGTGCGCTTGATTTCAATTGGTGAGCCAGTTGTGTGGACTTGACCCTGAGATGAAAGGGAACTCATTAATTTGACGCATTCTAAGGTCTGGATAGATAGATCGACTATTATGCAGGTAGACTGTCATAGAATAGCAAACAAGCTGACGGCCCACCTGATGTAAAGTGGTAACCGTATAGGCGATATAGACATGAGCAGTACCATGGACATAACAGAGTATACTATTTCACCCATGATACCCCCATGCGTTGCCATTCCTGAGGACTCAGGTGTTATTCCTCTGTACCCAGTAAATTCACGCCATATCCCATCCTTCAAACCGAAACACAGCCATGCAAACATAACTGCTTCACGGTTGAAACACGAATGGGACAGAGGTACCCAAACAATCGACTTTTGTACAAAGTCTCCCTCTGGTAAATAGGCGACGATTACCACCATCCACCAGGTGAGCCATCAGCTTGTTTGCCATTCTAAGTTGTATGAATAAAATCAAGAATGGAATTTAGTGGGAATTTGTACGTTCATATATACCTTATGCATGATGACGACTTGATCGCTAAGAAGTTCTGCCTCGTCTAAGTGGTGGGTGGTCATTAGAATCGTCCTGTCTTCCTTCAACTTCTCGATCATTGACCAGATGTCTCTGTTGGTATAAAAAAAACATTTTTTTTATGCCATAGCATACGGCCCACCTGATGGTAAGTAGTTACCGTAGCCTATGAACACCTGCAATTCCAAAGGTATTACGCGCGCGTTGCCAACCCCGAAGCAACCTCTTTACCCCACTTTTGAAGAACCCCATGCTGTAGTCTCTTGGGAAAACCTCGGCAGGGAGCTCATTCCACAACCTGAGTGTTCGTGGGAGGAAACATCTCTGAAACCGCACAGTACGCAACCATTGAGGCTGTAGGACATGAGAATGAACTCCCTGTCGATGGCGAGCCGTACAATGATAGAAAGTGGCTGTGGGCATCATATTGAACAATTCCTCTGAGCACAATCCATTGTACAGGCGGTAGAACATAAAAATAATACTTCAATTTTAATCAGGTATGAAATATAATGTATGAAATATAATGACACCAGCCACGAGATGCAGTGACGACCTTAAACACATTGCAGGAAGTGGCCCAGGAACTGTTCTTTATAGCAGTCTTTGGGGAAGGCCTATTGCTAGCAGTGGACAAAATAATGGCAGAGATGATAATGAATTACATTTGTCACTATCTGAACTCCGCAATAGAAGCTGTACTATAAATGCTGGTTTTTTTTGATGGGTGAAAATGGTATGGTAACCCCGCCTGCGCTAACAGGATACGCTGGCGGAGCACCAGTGAAGGGTGATAGATGAGAATGAAAACTGGCCAGTTAGCCTCTCATGATGAATTCATCAGGAATTAACCATAATAGTTTCCAGGGGGAACCGCGAGGAGGTCGACCTGGTTGGGTATATTGCTATCAATGGGATTCTCAGTCTCCATTACTAACAATCCCTTTCCCCCCAAATGCTGGTATTAGAAAATGATTATAGTGATGGATCGTTTAATGAAAAGTGATACATCGTTACACATAAGCGTAACACGTGGTCGTGTGGTCCGGCATAGAATAGGCCACCCCTTCCTTTCCCGTGGGTGTCGTGAGATTTGACTAAGGGACGGCGAGGGATGGGCAGCAGCGTCCTTCTTTAAACATCTTTAAAGCCTGACTGCGGTTGCCAATCTGTCTCCCAAGCGTGACAACTACTGTTAAAAACCCCCCAAGGGGGAGGCTTATGTTCAGCAGTGGATGATGATGATGAAGCGTGACAAGAGGCGCAGTACGTACCTCCTGGCGGCGGGGTCGACGCCCGCGGTAGGCTCGTCGAGCGACACGAGGCGCGGCGCCGCCACGAAGGCCAGCGCGACGCACAGCCGCCGCCGCGTGCCGCCCGATAGCCGCCGCGCCGCCTCCTCGCCCGCCGCGCCCAGCGACAGCACCTCCAGCAGCCTGACACAATACGAGCATTACAATATATACAAACTACGAGTAATACACACTACACATATTCCTCTGTTTCCGTGAAAACACATATGGCAAAACACATTTGTTTATATTCCTGTAAAATGTATTTCGATATTCATTGTGTTTACAAAATTTAAACAAATCGATCCTTTGAGCCGGATTTCTGTCAACCATAAAAGTTTTAACAAAATCCTCTTTAGCTGAAAAAAGTGCATGATTAAAATGCTCGTAAATATGTAAAATACATTTATTTAAACATTGTATTAACAGAAACAGAACGTTTGTGTTATTTAAATTCATGATCACTAATCAACTCAAGAAATGTAATCGTTGATATATCTGAACACAAATACTTAGGTTTTAGTTTTTTTTTTTTGTTTGACAGTTTCTCATATAGATAAAAGGACAAATTGACAATTGGTTATAACAATAATTGTACTACAGATTATAGTTTGACTTACTTTTCCACCTCATCTCGAACCTGGTCCAAGGGCAGCCCACTCTTCAGCTGGGCATATAACGCTATGTGTTCCCTCGCGCTCATGTACTCGAATAGTACGTCGTTTTGGGGGCACACCCCAAGTGTAGTTCCGGATTCATGTTCCGATCTGATGATGATGTGTCCTTTGGTGGGCTTCAACATACCCATTAGGATTTTGCTGTAAAATTGAAACAGGTCTTTAGATTTCTCAAAAATAGTTTGATTTTTCAGAATATTGCACTAAAAAATTAAAATTTATGAATTTTCTCAATTTTGTCTGCAACTCATAATAGCCATCAGCAAATAGATAGATAACCATTTGTTTTCTACAAAACACACATATCTACAATATTAAAAAAAGCTGCAAAACATTAATACATATATATTCTTTAAAGTAACGCAAGAAAATGCAGGCACTTATATTTGTATTGAAGCAACACAAAAGGAATAATAATTCTAATAGAAAAACGATATTAAAAGTCGATAATGACGTTAGAATGAGCTGCAATCAATTTTATTCCATTTTCCTCGAGTTTAGGATGAGTTACAATGAGTCAGATGAATGAATCCGATGTACAAGAACTGTATAAGAACAATTACGTTCTATTATTTATTCCTAAATGTTATTGAAATTATATAATTCTTACGTAAGAGTTGTCTTTCCCGCTCCATTATGTCCCAGTAACGTTGTGATTTGTCCTTTCTGCAGTTCTATGGAGACGTTGTCTAACGCTACCTTGGGTCTTCGAGACTTCTCTCCATAGATTTTGGTAATGTTCACAATACTGACGCCGGCTTTCTCACCAGAAGTTACACAGTTTGTTATATTGCTTCGGAGAGTTTTTGGACCTGAGAATTAAGAATATTGGATAATATGAGGTTTGTTATAAGGTGGGTGTGAGTTATTTTCAATTCGTTTAAAACCTATATTAGTATAAGAAATCATAACTTTTAAAAAATCGATATTTGTTTTTTTAAATTTCCATTGCTATTTACTTCTACTTAAGATTATAGGCGTAATCATTTTTAATTAAGATTTTTCAAAATTATAGTATCTTAACAAGCACGTTATTAGCAATATAAGATCTAATAAGATCTATAAGATCTTATAAAGACAAATCAATGTAATAAATCACTACAAAATTTGCGTGACTTTTCAAAAGCTTTTGATTAAGTAAATCATTGAACGTTTTTGTGTACAGTAAATTCATTACAGATATAAAAGAAACAGCATTAGACTTGATAGAGTTTAATTTAATCAATATGGTGAATAAATCGATATCATAAACTTAACAGAGCAAATAATGATTGAGGTTTCTCAAGGCTTTATTCTAGGACCTTATTTTATAAAGTTAGCCTTTGCCCGAAACTTTGTCTACATGGCCGGCTTATGATTACTGATCAGGATAAAAAGTAGGCTATAGCCTTCGTCATCTCATATAGTACATGTAAACCAAATTTCATAGTGATTGGTAAGCCGTTAAAGATGCTATACGCTAAAAAACGAACAAACTAATAAAAGTCCTACATACCTGAGTAATAAACATGTTTAGTTTTCATACTCACCAAAATATCTGTCTATTAACCATCCTAACATTAAATATATAATAGAATCAACGAGCATCATGGCGGCCGCTGTTCCTATACTCATATCCAACCCTTCTTCGACTGGAGAGCTCCATAGATCAGACCACTTTGCACCCATGCCCATTGCTTCGTAACGGGCTATGTAGATAAATGCGTACGATACAGCAGATGACATCGACAGGCACTGGGGATAATAAAGTATCATTTAGTATTAAATATTTACGATACAGCAGATGACATCGACGTGTTTCAACCGGAAGCAGTTGTGTTTGCATAACTGTGTTTCGGATAATAAAGTATCATTTAGTATTAAATATTTACCTACAACAGAAACTAGTAACAACAGTCGTAAACTAGTAAACTGTAGTTGCAGTAGTACATAAAACACATAAGATTCATGGGATAAACTCATCTACAGCGGTGGTAGACAACAGGCAAGACTCATTATGGGTGCCCTAACTGGACACATGCCAATAAAGCATATACTACACAAGATGGGTCTTGGGACACACTGTGCAGACTGTGCGTGGAGAAATCGGAATCCATGGAACACTTGATGTGCAACTGCGATTCGTTGACAAGTATGCGTATGAGTTTACTGGGAACGGCTTATCTAGAGCCAGGGAACTACAGATATCTTAAACCACGAGATATCGTTAAGGTAACACATATCTATAAAATGATGGTATAAGGCAGGGGGAAGCACAAATCCTCCTAGGATCGTGAAAATAAGATAAGAACACTTGCTAGATGACATTGAATTACAATACTGGTAGTAATTTAACTACTTCACGTACATGTCATCGTCCAAACCGGAAAACTTATATGTATATATATATATATCGGCATATAAATCTACAGAGAAAGACTTTATATAATATTATTTCATTTCAAGACGAAATCTTTACATATTTTTTTAGTTATATATTATATTGCTTTAAATATATGCATATATTATATACGTATAATCCTCAGAAGAGCGAAAACATAAAAGATTTGTCTCAGTGATTATTTCCAAGATTGTTTTAAAGAGAACGCAATTTAGCAATAACGCCTTAGTTTATTATCTCTGTCGTGCTTCTATATATTTTTTGTGCAGGTAGTTCAGGATCGTTCCTTATGGAAGTCTATAGGGGAGGCTTGACTGTACAATAGTGAACGGCTGTTGCCTGGTACGATAATGATGATATTTAGCGAGAGAAGTAATTAAGGTATTCATTTATCAACGTGCATTACTTACAATCAGGATCTTGTAAGTAGTGGAGAGAACGGACTCGAGCGAGAGTACCATCACGATTGGCATGAACGTCATGAGGTACGCGATCGCTGTGCTCACCGCTGCGAAACTCGCCGACGTGTACAGCTTCGACATCAGGTAACTGGGGGAGCATTTGTAAATTTATATCATCGTCGTTACAAAATTCATTTGGTGCATAAATTTTATTGTACTTTTTTTTACGAGAAATAGACTTTATACAAAACTCTTTAGAGGTAACGAGTACTAAAATAGCCATCAAAGGAGACTTTCTGATGTCCGTGGTGCTGGTTTATGTCAAATAGGCAACGGCTACCACTTTTCATCAGGTAGGACGCCAACTTCTTTGGCATTCTAACCCTTAAAAATTGTATTCTCCGTCACTACATGGAAAAAAAATGTTATCTTAAAAATAATATCTTATTATAAACCCTTTTCTTGTGCTGCAAATTATTAAAGAACGATTTTTAAAAAGAACTTACCAAAAGCACAGCACGGAGAAGCCGAATATAATGAGCAGTGTGAATATCAGTAGAGGCGGCGTGTTAGGCAGTACGCCGCCCAGCCACAACACTGCTGCCATGCCCGCGCAAGTCACTACTATCTCGGTGAACGAAGCGATGAACCAGGACAGCGAGTGGTAGAGCAGGTTCACTCCCATCACCGACATCAACTGTACAGTTTATTTATATAATTCCTAATGGCAACAAGTTGGGGGAAAGGGATTGTTAGTGATGAGATTTATCAACCTCATTGCTAGGAATACACCCTATCAGGTCGATCTCCACGCGGTTCCTCTTGGAAACCATAGTGGTTTTTTGTTCAAGTGGTCACTATGGGCCAACTGACCTGCATCATCCTCACTTGTCACCTCTCATTGTTCTTTCACCGTCAACGTAGACCGATAGCGTAGGCGGCGTTACCATTCCACCTTCACCCATAAAAAATGGCAACAAGTCGATAGATACAGAACTATGATCACCATAGAATACAATGCAATACCCATGGTATTTGCAAAATTTTGAAAAGTGTCTCCCTGAATAATTTGGTCTACACATTAAGGTTTTCTATATTATGAGAAATTCAACAATGTTTCCTAAAATGGTCCGATTGAGAAATGATCCCTAAACAGAGAGATCTATATAAAAAATTTACAGTGTTTAATTCAATAATCAATTGATTGCTTACCATAGTGTTACCAGATTCTTTATCGACGACTATAAATCTCACTGCAGATGCGACAGTGAACAGCAGCGAGAAGAAAAACGCTACCAGCAATGATTGCGACTCGTAGAGAGACGTCTGGAAGCTGATAAGTTAAATACTTTAGAATTGCAATGTTCAATTTTGAAGAAACACATATGGGAATGAAATTATTGGTTATTATGACTAAATGAGGAGTAAGCCTTCAAAAGCATGACGCTCGTAAATCATTTAAACACTCCGGCTTGAAGTTACCTGATAATGTTTAAGAGATTCATTGTGATAATCAAAATGGCAAAACACTCGAGTTCTTGCCAGTTCTTTTTAGTTAAATCTGCTTGCTGGATTGGATGATAGAGTTAAAAAAGATCACTACTTATAAGAGACAAAAAATGTCTTCCTTTATAATTTTTGGACTAGATTTGTTATATTTCCTTGTGTGTGCTATGTATGTATTTATATGTGTATGTTTATGTATTTTGTATATATATATATATATATATATATATATATATATATATATATATATATATATATATATATATATATATATATATATATATATATATATATATATAAGTAAGTAGTTTAATAAATTATATGTATTTGATATTTTTGTGCATTACATGTTTTTGTATTTTATGCACGAAAAAATATTCATTCACTCTTGCGCCACCTGCCCTTTTCTATCTGTTCTCCTTTAACTAAAGGTTGTCTGTAAGAGATTGCCTTAGCGATAAGACCGCCTTTTGTACCTTTATGTGTATATTTCAATCTGTATTTATGTTACTGTATTTCACTTTAATTATTCACTTGTCATTGTATATTTTTATGTATGGTGCAATAAAGAGTTAAATAAATAATAAATAAATAAATGATTTTGCTATCTTGAAGTCGTAGTACATTAATTATTTTGTGATTATCATACACAAATTATTTAAAATACTCACAAATCTTTTCTATAACACGGATACGGCGTCTGCTGTGTATACACTGCCCACTTTGGCTCCTCGGCTAGGTCCCTCTTGTGCCTCTTGTGGGCGAGGTCAATGATGGCTTTGTCAATGATGTCCTGTATCTGAACGAACCCTCGGAAGTAGCGCATGTTCTCGATAAAGCTCGACTCGGGGCCCGGGATCCACATGCTGTGTAGGAAATATGACTGAGTTATTTTCTTATTTATAATAGCCACGACAAATGACCATACAGGCCTGCATAAATACAAGAACATTATGATCCATATTTTTTTTTAATGATTTCAATGACAAACAAGCTGATGGTTCACGTGAAATCATGAATGTAAGTTAAAATGTTATTTATTATAAATTCAATTACTATTCTAGGAAGGTTAAAAATCATGAATTAATTGATGTAACATCAATACTACGTAAGAGACTAAATGCATAAGAGATTAAATGTCAATAACAGTAACAGTTATTATTTACTACACACCAGCTATGACAGAGGTAATACAAGAAATTAACTCTAAAGAGTTCTTTCCAGATGGAAAGGAATCAATTATAAGAGAGACAATTTTTAAACAGACAAAATTAAATTAATTACATTATATTTAATCGTACAAATACATATACATATAATACACTTACATATATAGATAACTAATATATGTTCTACATAGTGTTTATTTAACAACGATCTAATTCTTCTTATTGTATCGGTTTAAAACGTATATAGAGATATAAGAAATAAAATTATAGACAACGAATGCATTCAAAGAATACAATTCAAAGAATATTGTATAAAATTTGAACGAAGTAACTACACGTTAAGTACACTTACTAATTTTTTAGTCTTTTCGTAGTGGGTGCGTTTTCGATGTCCATCCTGATCTTGTATTCTATATTAGTTGGAGTATCGCCTTGTTCTTCACTGTTTATGAATACCAGACCTGGATACAATGTAATTTATCAAAATTGCTTTGCAACGAATAACTGCCGAGTTCAGCGTCTCAGGGACAGAAACATAAATACGGTTTAAAAGACCTGATAAATAAATTAATCAAAATAAAGAAGATTTCTCTTTTACTTGTCATTAGCATACACCCAAAACAATACAAAAAAATCCGTATTTTAATATCACATAATTATACCCCCTAGGGACCCTTTATTCCTTCATTCATTTTTAAGAGTTGTGCTTTTGTCTCTTGCCACTCACTAGGATTTTCAGTGAGTCTTTTCAATTCTTGATACAATACGACACCAATATTTTCCTTGATCTGCCTTATGTAACTATGTCTTGGTCCCCCGTTCCCTCCTTTTTTTTTTACCTTCTATTAAGATGTTTATAAGTTCGTATGTCGTATCAAGTGTCCTAACAGTTTCTACTTTCTGATTTTAATAGACTTTATAATTTGGCTCTTTTCTTAGCTTCCAATTAACAGCAGCGCTATTGCTGGCAAAAGATACAGTCAGGCCAACATCCTCCTAGAGAATTCTTCACAGGCCAACTGACTGCTAGTGGAGGGACCATAACATTTGGCATAACAATTGGCATCGTTATCCATTAAATAAAAAAAAACTATGTGGTCAGTGTACTGGCTCGCGCACATATCTACTTGCATTATTAAGTTACACTTGCATACATATAATTTAAGTACCAGTAGGTAAATTAGTTTACGAACAGTAGTCAAACCAAGTGATTTTATTTACTAAAAAAAAACCTAATAATAAATATTGCGAAAGTGTAGAAGTAACATCCACAATCGTTTAGGCCCTACTTGCTTGTCGTGGCGTGGCCGATTTCGAAAGGGGCTCCATGGCACTGCCGTTTATGAGATTGGGAAGTATATCGTCAAGTCGTTTAACCGGCAGTACGCACACGGGTCCTACACCGTGTGGGTTTGCATGTTGCATTTTTCCTAACGTTAAAAAAAGGCCCTACCTGCTGAGAATTCGTTGACGAGACTGAGTTGTGCGGCACGGTGCGTCAGGTCATGTTCATCGCGCGCCGCTGTAAACCTGTCCAGGTTGATGCATCGCAACACATTGGAGGCTTTCGTCAGTAGCCTGCCCACATCCTGGAGACAGTGACTGGATTATTTTCTTATTTTAATTAAAAATAAAGATTAACGCTGACTATTTTGTCTTTCACACCAAATCAGATATCGAAAAATGTATACATTCCGTTATTCTTTAGCAAAAATTAATGAAAGACGTTATTGATATAACCAATAAAATGATAACAGAATGAAGTTACTATTATAATTGATGTGAAATGACTGATTTGGTCTATGTTTCATTAGATTTGATCTAATAAATCATGAAGCATAAGGCTTGGATTACAAAAAAAATCCACCAATTAATTTCGGCTATGTGTGACCCAATTATTAGAAATAGCTCACCTTTAAATCTCCAAATTCATCAAATAATCCATTGACATCAAAATCCGGTAGCTGGTAGTCACCCATCAGTGTTACTCTTATTTCCTGGAAGGCTGAGGAGCTAAGGAGCCTCTTCATCACAGTCAAACCCTCGCGGTGGTCGGATAGTTTGTCAATAGAGGAGAAGGCTCGTGCGAACGAGTGCACTAGACCAGTTAGTTTGATCATGTGGGAAAAAGTGGCGTTTGCCTGGAAACATGAATAATGAAAAATTATGAAAGTTCTTTGTTCTATGTTCATACTGTTGACAAATAAACTAAAAGATAGATACTTTGAAATTATAAATTTAATAAAATCATAAATTATTGTTTGTATGATTTGGAACAACAAAATATTTGATGACCCATTTGATGACAAATGATAAGTATTGACTATGGACATGAATACTATGGTATTGTATGTCCCATGCGTTGTCATTCCTGAGAATCCAATTATTATACTTTTATATCTGGTAACATCACTGCCAAATCTTGTACAAAGCCTTGCAAATCAGCTACTTGGCGGTGGAAATGTGGATAACTTTTGTATAAAGTCACTGGAAAATGTTAGTTCTAATATAAGCCTGATTAGAAGTTAAGGCTATGGGGCGTATTATTTTTGCATGTTAACAATAAAGAGAAGCATATCTGACTTCAGGATCATACAATTATTTTACTCATAATGCATAAAAAACTTTTAAAAAGTTGTACTTGCATCTCACCTTTTCAATGATCCTCTGTACAGTTGGAGTATTTGGTGTGTACAATATCTTCCCCATAATAAGAGGCTTCACGAAGCTCCACACAATCTTACCGCCGTCGATGTTGAGCACGTCTTTGTATAGGGAACGACAGAAGTCCGCTAGTGTAAACGATAAGGAAAAATAACGTTAAAATAACTCCAGCTTCCAGTAACTGCCGTCAGAGGACATCGTATCCAATAAAGGTAGCCTAGAAATTTTTAACGCCAAAGTGAGATACTTTCATACTAATGGGAGGGAAGGGATTGTTAGTAATACGGACTACCAGTCGCATTACTTGCAATATACTCCGTTATGTCGATGTCCACGCGATTCTTTTTGGAAACCATCGTGCTGAATTCCAGATATATTCATCACGATAAGCTAATTTTTTATTTTCATCTATCATCCCATTATTGGTCACCCGCCAGCGTATATTGTTAGCGCAGGCGGGATTACTATTCCATTATCGTCCATTAAAAAGTATCATTCGATTAGTATTAGTAAAAGCACCAAACAGTATACAAGATTGTGTTACTGGAATGTTGAAGAACACTTAACTGTAGTCATGATTGAATCCTATCCAGACCTCTGAATTTTGAAATTCATATTTGGATCATTTAAAAATAATTGTCACTTGCAATGTGCTTCAAAGGGTACGTAAAGCCAATGTGCACAGCAAATTATGTTAGAAACCTTTTTATATCGGGATGGTAACATTGGCGTATTTAAAATTATTTTCCAGAATGGGATTGGCTCCTTAAAAAAGTTGAATATATGTACTCTCAGATCTGTCTTTATACACAGCTAAAAATCTAGCTCTCTTGGAATAACTATTTGATAAATCTGATATAGGTACAACCCATCTAGCCTCTTTTAATACACCTATGGATGGTAGACAAGAGCACCTTTCACAGAATAAATATACTGGAATATTTTAAGGTATTAAATCGCACTAAATTTTTTTCACATTTGTGAAAGTTTCTTATGATGACTTAGAGAACTTGAATGAAATTTTGTGCATATATCCAATCCTGATATGCAATAGATCTATATCCTGGATAAATGCTGAACTATTATTCGCGAACATGATTGCTAGTTACATGTACACTTACTGGGCAACGCGTCGAGGTGTGCCTGATCAGGTTGTCTGGACATGTCCTCCGTCTGCGTTATGACCTTGTAGAACCGGCTCAGGTCCGTTTGGAACGGTTTGCCACACAGCATGTTGCCAGCGCTCGATAGGAACTGGGACGCTGGTGGATGTAACGTTAGAGAATAATTTATTCTATCGTTCAGAAAGCCGAATGACAAAAACTAATCCCTTTGACTTTGAGGTTTAAAGGTGCTCATAATATTTCTTATGCGACTTAGAATGGCAAAGAAACTGAGTGTTCACTTGAAGGACGTGGTAACCGCCACGAAGCTCCACACAATCCGCCGGAAGTGCCGGAATAGACTTGTGTCTGAAATCGAAACTTCACTCCATCAAGTTTCGATCTGGGGTGAACAAAATCTTGTCCAATTTAACCCCAAAAAGACACAAGTCTGCGTTTACCGCAAAAAAGACGCCGTATCTCCTCACTTTCAGACTTTCCTTGATAAAAAGTCGAGTCTAGGTCCGTTGATATATCTTGCGACATCCAGTTTGCGGTCATCTGGAGGAGAAGGCTAAGATAGCCAGTGCTCAATAGGGTGAGACGATATTTCATGCTGAAATTATATAAAGCAGGCCGCATATGGATATAACGTTAGCAGAACAATTTATTCAAAGAACGATAAACGTTCGAAAGCTCGAATGCCAAAAACTATCATGGGGAGTGTTCTGATCCCTGCTGCTGATTTTCACCACCGTACAACCCGCCACAAACTAAAGTTTCATCCCAATCATCTGGACGAGTGGCGGTCTTCCACCGTGCGTTTTTCAAGGCACTTTCTTCCACGCACAACCATTCTTTGGAATCAACTTCCAGCAGCAGTATTTCCGAACCGATACGACAACATGAAAAGCAAAGAACACCTGCAATGCCGCTGGTGTTGTGGGTGATCATGGGCGGCGGTAGTCACTTACCATCAGGTGAGCCGACTCGTTTGCCCCCTGTGTTGTAAAAAAAAAAACCATGATCTAGAGATATGAACAGCACCACATTTTATTGAGACTGCTATTTTTATTTTAAAAGATCCATTATATTTATGAAAAAAAAAATTGAAATTATACTATTTCCAGTATTTAGTACTTACAAGATAAAAGTCCGCCGACTGAATCAAAATCCTTCAGACTTTGGAATAGTGGCTCACTGATTAATGTATCGCTTAGTTCGCCCACACTGCTCTGTATTGTCGGCAGCAGTGCTGCCATCTGTGGCAAATTGTCCAGAACTGTGGCACCCTCTGATTGTGATAAGTTTGACGCTGTATAAAGCAGGGACAGGACCGTGTTTGATACCTGACGAATAATATATTGGTTAGACTTTACATAATACAATATTTCATACAAAAATGGGCTGAATAATGGCTGCCATTATTCCTATGTGGAATGGGGGCATCGCCTGTACTATTAATCTGCATTGGCACAGTACCAGTGAGAATGGATATGCGAGAATGATCGAGGACAATTAATTCATCTCGATGAATTTGCTTGAAATTAACAACGATAAAAATTGCGTGGAGATTACTCTCACAGAGTACTCTTATAACACTTTCTGTGACATTTTTTATTATCTTTAATTTCTTGATCGACTTCGTGAGAAATTAAAGTTTCTGAAGACTTATCGGGGTACGTCTCATCTTCTCGACGTGCTCATCTAAGCACGAAGCCAGAAATAATATTTTTTTATGATTCAAAGAGATTTTTGCGAGGACTTGATCTTGAGACCTCTACATTGAAATCAAGTTCTGTCCGACTGGGCCATTATTGTTGAGGTTACAACTACAATGAATATAAAAAGTGCCGAATCTTCAATTTATTATTTATAAAACCTAGTACCTTTTTAAGTATTCATATATTATCAATTAAAAAGGGTTTAATGAACTTGTCTATTGTTTCCAGTAATTGTTTTAACTCACCTTCTCAAACACATAACTGTAGTTCAAGTTGTCCAATAGTATTGGGATAATCTGCTTCGCCTGTTCATCAGTGATGGTACAGAACTGCTCGACGACAGCGCCGTAAACGTCCTCAGCTGTGACCACGCCCAGATCCCCTGGGAATACAACTGTTGACATCTGGTCGGCTTGGCATACGAAGTTTGCTATGTGGTAGTCGCCTTGTTTTGATGTAAGTACCTGTCATTTTAAGAAACGAGAAATAATCATATGGAGTCAAATGAACCAGAAGCTGTCATGCTGTAGAAAATGAAAATAAAATTAACCATCATTATTATCATATCAGCCGATAACTGTCTACTGCTGAACGTATGCCTTCCCCATAAGGGAGGGTTTTGCTAGTAGTTCCTTGGCAGGTGGGTTTGCAACCATAGTCAGGGTTTTAAATGATGTTTTAAAAGGGGCGTTGCTACCTCTAAGATCGCTTAGTTGCCTCTAGAAAGGAAGAGGTAGTTCATTCTGTGCCGGAACGATACAGCAATGCCAAAGAACAAAATTATATTTTAGAAATTGAAGCATACGGACGCTTAAGGAATATCGTGGATCATCACACCGTATACTATGGTGGCATACATGTTTATAGGAAATAGAAAGTGGCCGTTAGGTGTGCAGTTGTTTGTCACTTCAATAAACTAGTTATTCAATTGCGATCTTCAGTAACAAGATTTACAATGAGCGTTCAAAATCACTAAAACGGCACCTAAATATTTTTGTAGATGTTCTTTTGTTTATCATGTTCTGCGTTTTGTGTCACGTTTGGTCAAGTTTGTGACATTACTTGCTAAGATTATAAGAGCAAAAGTTGCAACTTACTGGCTTGAGATGTATATATCCAGAGTGTATGCGCGGTGCGGCGACCGACCAGAAGTTGGTGTTGTTGATGCCCAGGTTGCCGAATGAAGACTCCACGCTGTCAGCGTTTAAAAATACTTTCTCCATATCCACTGGGTAAAGAAATTTTATGTTAGTATCATATATTCAACTAGCAGTTTATCATGTGATAATGGAAAAGATCTAATTATAAAATATGAGGTGAATCGTCATATCAAGTCCTTTATAGAGTAACTAAACAAAACTGAATGCCAAAATTCTCTTTCTTTAGATCCGATATCTTTTTCTTATATCTGAAATTCTTTCATTGTTTCTCTTGTAGTAAATAGAATTATTAGCAAGAACATAAAAAAAATCGTGTACCTCTTAGATCCTGTTTTTCAACTAAATATGATTTGAGCTGCTGTAAAATAGTTAGACCACGGGTAATTGAACGTAAGTCGTGTTCCAGATCAGTTCCTTGCAGTAGTGGACTCATCTCCTTAAGGATACCTTGTATGCTGAAAATAGAGAAATCAAAATATGTAAATTACTAACACAGTGCAGAATATTATTTTTAAAGTTTATGTTAATTTTTATTCAATGTCTATATAAATATAGAAGATCAATGAAATCACTGCTGTGCTTTGAATTATAGCGACGCGAGACGCTGACGCAAAGTGCTAAATACCCGCTGAAGAAAGCTCCCAGATGAAGCCGAAACAATTGTCGGAAACAACAAAAACATAGTAAGTTCATTAATCTCTGGTATTTATATAGACTGTGCAGAATATGATATCATAGATACTTCAATTCTCATTTGTTTGGATCGAGAGAAACACTTAAATACCTGTACACAATACTGGCGAGGGTATCATCCATTAGTACTTGCATCATCAGGTCCAGAACCGCTGCCAATCGACCTAGAAGTACCCCTGATATATCTATCTTGCTGGCCAGTCCCAAAAGTCTACCGATATGGCTTATCAATTCTTCTGCACGTTGAATAATATTGGATATGAATGTTAAACGCCAAAACTCTTGAGATTGTAGGGCTGGTAACTAGAAAATAAAAGTGGATTTAAAATGAATAATAGAGCACAGAACGATCAAAGATAGATCATAGAATTATATAGATTTAAACTAAAGAAAAAACACAAAAACTGTGTATAAGTTTGTACCAGAATGGAGTTGCTAAAAGCTTTCAAAATACTTAAAACTTTTAGCTATTATCCAGTATTTAAGATATTACTAAAGAAAAAGTAGAAAATTAAAGGAATAAAAAACATGGAATCTTCTTTGGCCGTGAATTGGTAAAGTATTTATCTTGCCGACTCACTTAATGAATATCACAGAATATATTGTATCATCTATGATAGAAAAACAATTCAATAATAAAAAAAAAATAAACATATTTTTTACTTACTTCTTTATCAACTAAAGTCCTATTGATATTTTTGTCAATTAACAAAGCAATCTTTTTACAATTGTATGATTGACAAACATCGTCCCAACTGCGATTTTTCAGAAATATAGATTTCCGTAATGGTTTGAGCGCATTTGCTTTGATCTGGAATATTAAAGAATAGAATAACTTTTAAAATTGTTTGCTCCGTACAACTAAATAGTTGTACATCGTGATTAATTTATAAGGTTACGTTAATATTTACCATTCGCAGATTAACTTCTGCATCTTCAATATTTCTAACAGTTTCAGCATTTATAATAATTCTCAATTCCTCAGACAATGTACTTTTCTCTATCAGATAAGTCTTTAATGGTGCTCGTACATCTAGTCTATGTGCCACTTCTGAGTGCAGACTTTTTAAGAAAGAAACTTCTTTTATTCCATTCACTTCTTGAAGGTGAGGTAGTTGGGATCTAATCAGCCTCGCTGTGTGAGAGAGGACGGTTGCAAATCTGCAACAAACAAAACGATATACTTACAGTTGTGATCACAGATGGTAGCACTTGTATATTAATTTACTGAATAGATACTATATTCTGCTATATATCCTCTGTCCCATTCGTGTTTCAACCGTGAAGTAGTTGTGTTTGCATGGCTGTGTTTCGGTTTGAAGGGTGGGATATGGCGTGAATTTACTGGGTACAAAGGAATAACACCTGAGTCCTCAGGAATGGCAACACATGGCGCATATATATATATATATATATATATATATATATATATATATATATATATATATATATATATATATATATATATATATATATATTTGGCCTTCAAATTAGATCAGAATATGAAAGCAAGTTCTTTAACGGCAAAAAATTAATTGTATAGTTTGGAACTTTTAGCAAGATAATTTTCCTTGCATTAGTAGAGTACAATGTACCACTCCTTTTCATTCCCAAGAAGTGGTAGTAAGAGGTGGAGCAATACACTAGTGTAAGAGAAGGTAATATTAAGAAAGATATACGTTAAGTAGTGGGATATAATTGGTATCTAATGATGCTATTTTAAAATTATCTTGCCAAATATTCTGAATTGTGGATTTATTAACGAAATCTTTATTTACAATGTGGCATTCCCCAGTTCGTTGCTGGTCACGTTGCTCGTCAGACACTGCGCCAGTTTGGTGCTATTCGAGCTGATGTCTTCTAGAAGGTGCAGTTTCACTTGCTCAAACAGTTCCGTTATTGCTTTGTTCATTTCGTACTTGGTATAGTTACGAGATGAGATGAGCTGCAAAACCAAATATTGATATATAAACAAATTTATCAATTTGCTGTTAAAAATCTCGTGTTTATATACTATGGTTGTAACATCAAATCAAATATACTTAATTACGATTCACTATTTACCAAGCCTTAACAAAAAACTGAGAGATATTTTAATGAGCTAGGTGTTATCTTGCCAAAGTCGATATCACTGATTATTAGATTATTAGAATTATTTTGTTCTCGACTTGGATGCCGAACAGTTAATTTCGGGCAGCAATTGAATAATTTGCCTTAACAGGCCTCGTTTAGAGGTGAAACGCGTGTCGCAAAACGTGCGTGAACAAAATGCCAATCGGAGATTGATGGCTAATCTATATACTATACTTATAATAAATCTGTAGAGAGGTTAATTCTGTACATGAAATATATTTCCAAAATAACTATCAGGGGGTGATTAGTGGTCGATACTGATGCCACAAATGTAATCAGTAAATTTTTTGCCTGTCTGTCTGTATGTTTGTTATAGAAAAAAAAACTACTCGACGGATTTTAACGAAACTTAGTACAATTATTCTTCATACTCCGGGGTAGGTTATAATATACTTTTCATTATGAAGTGAAGGGAAATGTTGGGAAAACGGAAGAACTTACTCCATTTTTAAGCTTCTTTCGCGTGTGCAGCCTTAATGGCCACTTTAAAAACGTTAAAATGTTCACCTGTGCAAAGCCGGAACGGGCCGCTAGTATGAAATATTGTGGAACTTCTGGTAGTAATTGTGGTGGTCATTTTCGAATGTTGGCAGTCACACACATACTAATGGTGGTGGAATTAAACAAAATAATTCTGATGAAATAACCAAACTAAGACATACCATCGTGTAATAGGTTAGACCTTGAACGACTCACATCGAAAGTTTAGATTTTAACTAAAATATTGCCAGAATACATTTTTTTTTAATTTATCTTAGGAAAAAGATTTGGGAATAAATCTTTTTTAGAGATAAGTTTGCCTTTCTTACTATGATACTAATAATATACCTCTTTAAAAGCCATATCCCAATGGAAGTCGTTCTTTAGTGCATGGTAAATATCTTCTAAGCTCATGCTGTGCATATGACAGAGCAGGTTGTCATATTCTTGTTTTTGAACAACTGCAGATTGATTTGTTTGAACCAGGTCGTGAACTCTGAGCATAATACGCAGTGGCTGTAACAGAAAGCGTACTTATATGAAATTTAGTCAACGCCAGATTATTAGATCACTACCAGAACATTGCAAGATATCTAGTTTTTATAGTTAAAAATGAGGAGTGACATTATCCATCGAAAGTATCAAGATCCTTCTATTAATGATACTAGCTTTTGCCCGCGAATTTGTCCTCGTAACTGAAAAATATTTTATAAGCGGGATAAAAAGTAGCCTAGATAATGATCAACGGATAAGATGGAGAAGGCTCTGTCCTAGGGCTGCCATGTAGGTGATATTACCGACACCGAATAAACACGGCAAAAATTCCGGACATTTGAGCGAAATATGGTTTTTCCCCGGACACTTCTAAAAAAGTATTTTTTGTAATAAAAACAAAAACATTGTTATATATAAACAAAGTTATTGTGGATGAATTTATAACTAAGATTTATTTCAATTGATCGCCTACTTATAAAAAAATTGGATTTCCCTTACGACAAAAGTGTCCGGGTTACACTTTTAAAAAAATCCTGCTGGACGGCCTCCAGATGCTCATCAAACTAGGACAAATCCGGGGAATTCCGGACGGATGGCAGCTCTACTCTATCCCATATAGAACAGGTATACAAAATTTCATATCCATGTTAACCCGTTAAGACTGGGGGGAAAGGGGTTATTAGCAATAGAGTTTGACAGCCCTATTGCTAGCAATATACCCTATTAGGTCAACCTCCACGTGGTTCCCCCTGGAAACCATCGTGAACAATTCTTGTTGAATTCGTCACGATGGGCTAACTGACCTACTTCATCCTCACCTATCTTTCACTGGTGCCCCGCCGGTGTACACCGATAGCGCGGGTAGGGTTACCATTTCATTATCACCCATAAAAAAACCCGTTAAGACTTTATAAGTAACAATTTCACTCACATTTGTAATATTAGTGAGGATTAATAAATTACATTACAGTAATTTTTTTCGAATCTATTTTTTTTCAAAAAAGTAACTATCGCGGACCTATATTCACATGATAGGTAAGCACCTTTCACTACCAGATCGATTTAGAGAAGTAATCTAAATTAATTAATAATTAATTAATTAATTAATAATATTTCTCAAGCAATAATTTTTTTACCTGCTATTTAAAAACAATGTCCCTGCATCAATAACATTGCTAAGTATACCAAACGACGCCTTAGTTATAGCCTGTTTTGATAGCAACCCTAGGGCTACCTTCCTCAAACTGGACAGGCTTTCCTCGTTAATCCATTTAGGCCTCAGGGGTGTCTTTGGGCCATCCATGAGAAGTCTTAGTTTCGATTCAGTCATAAATATATCAGAGTTGAGTGCTGTGTAGTCGACATCTTTTGATAACTTCAAGGCATCGTTGTAGCCCTGTAGAAAACAACTTGAATCTGTTATTATCTCTAGTATCAAATATAATAAATAATAATAATAATAATATTTATTTAATCAGACTACATAAGGCCCATTTTGTTAGTTACAAATTGACTTAACCTATGTTAGTAAATGAGCGGTCATAACGCTCTTACATTGATAACCTGTCCCACCCAATATTTTAGGATGGGACAGTCCATTTTATCAGCAATTGTCTTCAGGACACTGTTTGAGCTAACACGCACCTTACCCAACAGCGAAACAATTCGTTTGCGCCGTATTGCATAAAGACGTAATAGTAAATTTCTTTAAATTACATTAAAATCTTTAATTTTCAATCGGCTTCAAAAGAAATGAGATTCTTAATTCGGTTGGATTTTCTTTTCATAGTTTTTATCTCATTACTCTGTCAATAATATTTTTTTTATCTGATAAATATAAAAAAAAAATCAATAACAAATTGTATTAAAAAATTTCGTTTTTAAATGAACATAGAAATTTTACCATATTAAAAAATAAATTGTCAATATTTAAATCAGCGGGGCTATCATGTGAACTTCCGAAATTTCGGACTAAATTTCGTGTTTTTGTTTATACCAAAATCGGACCAATAAATGGAGTTTAACATTTCGTTCGTCATACATCCTATTATAAAAGTCCAAAGGGACAATATTTTAACATTTTTAATATTTCCAAACGGCATGTATTATGTAATTTTAACATCAAATTTGTGCTTTGTTTGGCTCGGAAATTTCGAAAAACATTTCATGGTAGACCCACTGAAGTGGCAGAAACGTACGTAAGGCACCAATGAAATCTATGGGTATGATCTCATGAGGATATGAAATCATGAATATACATCAATTTATATTTGTTACTTACTACGCAATCATGAATTCTACTAAATTAAGACTATAAATAATTTTATTTTCTATCATATCAGCCGTTAACTGTTGAACATAGGCCTCCCCCATAACTTACTTTACTCCAACCTCGATAACTCAGCTGTTTCTGGTCCGATCGACTTAAAATTTCGACACGTTTCAAGCAAAGGTTAGTACTCTAGAAAGACCTGGCTACTGGTTTACTACGAGCGCCATCTCTGGGTTAGTCTCAGGACTTATTGATCCATGTGTTAAATAGGGTTTTCTGCCCATCCTTCAATCAATAAGTTCCCTTAGTCGTCTCTTATGACACTCATAGGGAAAAGGGGCAACCTATTCAATGTCGGGATCACACGGCAATATAAATCTATGAGTACATTATTTATACACCAGTTATATATTTTACTTACTAGGTAAACATGAATTCGACTAAGATTCTAAATAACAATTTTATTTGTGATGTTATTTAAATGTCATAATTATACTGTTAAATTAACTCGAATATTTATTTATTCATTTACTTTTAGGAGAACATTACAGCCTCATTCAATCAATACATAGTCAAATAACTTATTAAAGTCTTTATTGCACCAAAAATATAAAAATAAACAATGACATATAAACAATTCAACTAAAATACAGTAGCATGGAGTACAGATTAAAATATACATATAAAGGTACAAAAGGCGGTCTCATCGCTAGAGCAATCTCTTACAGACAACCTTTGGTTAAAGGAGAACAGATAGAAATGGGCAGGTGGCGCGAGAGTGAATTTTTACGTATAATGCACAAAAACATTAAATACATATTGTTTATTATTTAATAATTTTCACATTTGCAATTTAATGTATATTCTTTATTACATTTGTAAGTTATATATAAAATAATGTATTTATAAATGTCGTGAGCAAGGGTGGACTTATCTCTGACAGAGATCTCTTCCAGTCAACCCAGTACAGTAAGAAAACATTTACTTGCTATTATTTACACATGAAAATAATACAAAATACTCACTTGTGATGCAAAAACTAATGGCGGTATTTCCTTGAATATGTCACTCTGGTCTGCAGTGCATACTTGCTGCTTAAGAGTGGATATAGCGCCGGTACTGTCTGGTAGGTAATCAGAAATTGTGATGTTCGATTGGCATAACGCTTCAGTGCTGTTCATGTTGATGTCTCGAAGTAATCGAACTAGCTGTAATTTTTTATGATTCACTATTAATTCAATTACCTCATTTAAATTATTATTACCAGAGGGAGATTTTGTACAAAAGTCGTTTGCTTGAGTACCTCTATCCTATTCGTGTTTCAACCGTAAATCAGTCGTGTTTACATGGCTGTGCTTCGGTTTGAAAGATGGGATATGGCAGTGAATTTACAGGGAATAGAAGTGTAATACCTTAGTCCTCAGGCATGGCAATGCATGGGAAGTATCATGGGCGAAACAGTATACTCTGTTATGTCCATGGTACTGCTCATGTCTATAGGCGACGGTTACCACTTTACATCAGGTGGGCCGTCAGCTTGTTTGCCATTCTAAATTATATAAAAACATCCATGATAATGTTAGTTGATGCAGCGTTTTTTTTAATTGAACATTGATTCCCACAGAACACACTGATTATCCATGACACTTATCGTGCGTATTATTCTTTAGCTGAGAACTAAGATGTTATACATCTGTAACTTTGTTTTAACTGTAAATTATTGTCATAATCAACTAGAAGTATTTTTTCCTATAATAAAATAGATCTATTTAAATACAGCTGCTTAGCTATAGAAACATGAAAGGGATACCAGTGCTGGGACTGCAATAATAGTATGTCGTAAATATATGGATGTAAATTTATATTGTTTTTTTTTTTATACTACTTAAAATGGCAAACAAGCTGACGGCCCACCTGATGGAAAGTGGCAACCGTCGCCTATAGACATGAGCAGTACCATGCACATAACAGAGTATACTGTTTCGCCCATGACATCCCCCATGCATTGCCATTCCTGAGGACTCAGGTGTTATTCCTCTGTACCCAGTAAATTCACGCCATATCCCACCCTTCAAACCGAAACACAGCCATGCAAACACAACTGCTTCACGGTTGATTGTATTGTAATCTTGTTGGTAATCCTAAGTAAAAAGGGGGGAAAATGGACAAGGGTGTGCATGCAAATATTGTTTTTTTTTTTTTAATAAAATATACCTCTAAAAGTAATTCATCGAACTTATACTACTTAATACTAACTAAATAAATATACATTTTTTTTTATTATTTGGAATATAAATTAGAAAATAAATTGATTTCTATACTCACATGTATTTTGTCTGGTTTACTCATAATGTCTTCGGCTATGTCTAAAGATTTTTCAATGATATCAAAGAAAACACTAGCATAAGGTCCGTTATATAAAGATCTCAGTTCTGTCCACCAATCTTCTCCCGATAGAAAACTTAGTACAATGTTGTAATTCTGAAGATTATTTTGCAGATACTTTAAGTAAATAGGCAATCCCAGGTCATACGCGTATTTGATGGAGTACTTTAAAGATTTCATGAGTTGTTTCCTGTAAAAAATAAGATTTGAAAATGGATAGATGCATGTTAATTTCTATTCTTATAATTTGAACTCAACTATAATTATAATATTCAAAAATACAAACATTCTTTTGGTAGATTAGATACTTTGGGTATTATATTTGGTTTAAATATCGTATTCAATAGACTTCCAATATTACCTGTCTTTAAGGAACTGGAATATGTCAATTATTTCTTCTGCATCATCTTTTTGTAGTGTATTAACAAGATTCAATAAGCTGTTTCTAATATCTTCATACAACTCTGTCATAACATTTTCAACTGCTCCATATATTACTTGATAATTTTTATTGCAAATTTGTAATTTCGTTCTTTGATCGTCATTCAAAATATCTTTACTAGTGTCATTGTTTTTTAAATCAGTACACTTTATATCAATTGCATTTGTTAATTTGTAATTGTTATCATTCTTCCATACAATATCAGTTACGAGATCAAAATGTAAAGCAATAATCTCTGTGGGTCTTCTCTTAAAAATCTTTTGAATAACAGACAATTCAGTTGTTAGCTTTTTAAATTCTTCTTCAGAATATTTATCTTTAAATTCAGTTATATTTAAATTGTCTAATTCTTTTGATATTTTATCTATTGCAGCAACGACCCTTGTTAAATAAATTATTCCGTAAAATTGTTTCATATTGATTTCATTGAATAATCTGTATGTCGTGTCAGTTTTGTTTATCATATATGTTAGTATTGTGTCAACTGTATCTTTTAATTTTACTTCTACGCTATTCAGTTTCATGCCCTCTTCCATTATCAAAGTTTCATTCTTTTCAGCAATTTCAGTGAGTAAATTTGATAGTTTAATTGCATTGCTGAATGCCTCTTCATAGGTGCTTGTTAAGTTTTCTACTGGCAATGTATAAAAAAAGTATTGCTAAAAATAATAACATTTTTTATTATAACAAACCCACAAAATAATACTTTTATTGTCAAAGTAAAGCTCCTTTAGATATTTTTATGTTACTTACGGGTTTAGAAACTAAATCGAGAAGAGTGTTATCACCCCTTGGTAAAGAGATCCAGTGTAGTATTGAAGGACAAATGAAAGGCCGGACTTTGTGTATTACGGTAGAGTTGATTCCACTACCAGGTAGGGGTAGTAAAGCGTCAACTACTGCATCACAATCCCAAAACTCTGTGGTAGTAGCTCGACGGATCTATTAAAGAAGTATGATGGTAATATTGAAAATCATAAAATAAGTAAGTACATAGAGGTAGGATAAATACATAGTATGACTGTATATATTAATGTAACAAATTTAGGATTAGTTTCTATACTAATCTAAAAAAAAATTAGACAAAAAGAAATAGTAAGGTGACTGTACCTGGCTCATAAAACCGTAGTCCCAATATGAATTGATAAGTGTACCAACGAATTCTGGAAACTTGTCGTAGAGTAAATATAGTCCTGTGTTCTTTGTAAACCCAAGAAGTTGCAGTATATTTGAGTTTGGTTCTGTAATAAAATTGAATTTATCAAAAATCCTTCATAATCCGTAAATGAATAATGAAAGTACTGTTACTAGCAGATAAAAAAAAAAAAACGAATAAAATTTATTAATTGTTTACCCAGAGGAAAATTACTGTTACAGAAAATATTCAAATTTGTAACAAAAATAACTTAGGGCAATGCAATTTTTTAATGATGAAACATTAAAACTATAATTAATAATAAATTAGAATGACCTTATTAAATATTAGAAAGAAAGAAAAATATTTACTTAAATGCTTAATTTCACATATACATATATATATTTGTCTTTATCATTCATTTTCATTTAAGAGTTTCCTCTTGTCGGTGCAACTAATTCATGCATCTTCCTCCAGCCAGCTCTATCCCAGGCCATATCCTTTATCTCTCTATACGACATGACGCCTAGTGTTTCCTTTATCTGTCCCATGTAGTTAATCCTCGGTCTTCCTCTTCCTCTTTTGCCCTCTATCTTTCCTTCTATTATGCTCTTAAAAAAATCGTCATGTCGTATAAGGTGGCCCAACATTTTGCCTCTTCTATTCTTTATTATTTTAATCAATGTTCTCTTCTCGTTTACTTTTTTTTGTCTTTATACTGAACAAATAAATATTTACCAGAAAATACTTACCGTTGACCTCACTGAAGTAAGTTGTCAGATCTGCAGCCAAGTTTTCAAGCATTACAGAAAGAAACTCAAACGTATATTTCCATGCTGCCCTGCCAAGACTTTTACACTCTCCTTCTATTATTGACCCATTGATACATTTGGAATACTGCTCCCAAATAATATTGATTGATTCTTTAGGCGCTGATGTATTGATAGAGCTTAATACTGTATCCACTTTTGAGAAGAATTCCCTAGAATATAATACTGTGTTTATAAAAATGTATACCCGTCCTGATAATATAAGTTTAATATTACTGCAGCGATATTTCTACTACAAAAGCGCGGCCTTCAAAGGTATACCTCAAAGTGATATTCTTGTCTGTAGCATTGAAGACATCTGCAGCATATCTCCAAGCGCCGATTATACTCAAGTATCCTCCATCTGCATTAGTGTTGTTTAATATATCATTTATTGTATCCCTAATACTAATTGTATCTTCTATTAGGGATTCTAATACTGAGGAGAACTTTAGGAAAAGATGTGGTGTGGATTCCTGAGAAACATAAAAATAACGAATATGATGAATACGCGAGACTGAGTTTATAGTCTGATGGATAACACGGATTTCATTGCTAGTTATGCTATTTCAAAGAGTTTAAAATATAAGCTCGAATACAAGAATTGTTATTTAACTTTAGCAATTAAATAGGCCACAAAAAAATCAGTTTAGTCTACCATATTGCACTGCAGAACATTTCTCTTTCTAATAGATCATTAAGAAACAAAAAGGGATCTATCCCGAGCTACCTAAACATATCAATTTTGCAAATCTTATGAATCCGTTGCTACATCTAATGTAGAATCTGCTCTATTTATAGAAGAAATTGCTAAATGGTAGTCCTATACTGTAATGCCAACAGTAATAGTTAATACAGTTAAGAGATACTCATTCGAGTCTTGTTTGAAAATTAGATTATGTAATATATTGAATAAATATACTCACGTTCAATAAATGCTTGTCCAAGTATTCAAGCCATTCTTGCTGTAGCTCCTTGTCCATACACAAAAGAGTTTCCATACCCTTCACAGCTTGGCTCGAGTTAGTACTCAAAAGGATATATTCTGAGATACTGTTAACGGAACATGGCCATGGAGGGTCGGCGTTCATTAGAGATATTATTGGTGCAATCTATAACATTACATAGACTAGGGAATCAATAATTTATATTATGTCTCTGTACCTCGGAATTTCATTACAATATCCTACCCGTTAGACCAAAACATAGCCATGCGAGCATAGCTGCTTCACGACAGAAACACTAGTAGCACAAACTTAATTTTTATAAAAGTAGTGTAAAGTTGAAAGTGGTACATGTATCACATCAAAATGTTTTGCTATTAGGTACTGCAAATGCTTAGGAACATAAATAAACTTACATCAGTATTCCCATTGACTATGACGTTGGTAAAATCTACCATAAGGTGAGGTATGTTTGGCAATATCGTGCTCAGAGCTAATGAGGTAGTGGGTGGTAACTTGGCCGAGATGTTGGCATTCTTCCAAAGACCTGAAATTACATATGAAAGTGTTTTCGATAATGATTTTACAGAGTGCAAGTGGTGTCGAATTAAGCAATGCAGACTAATTGATTTACATTGAATTAACTATGATTATATACTAAAACTAATAATATAATAAGAATGTTTGTGGTTGACAGTTTACCAGTGACATCCACGATAACGTCGTTAAAAATTTCTAAAGATTTGGTAGCGGAGGCAAATATTTGTTTAGTCTTTAGCCAAGCCTGATCTGTGATATCGAAGATCTCCCGATCCACTAAATCTAAGAGACGGAAGAGGAGTTTGACACTAAAAAGAAAAAAAAAACAGTTGCGTATTTTTTTGGGTTATGTGAGAATCAAGTAATATTATTTTTTATATACCTATCTGTTTTATTTATTATAGAATCTTATTACCTCAAATGAACGCTTCTCTCCAAGTTGGATATACTAAACCAAAATTTCTTAGCTTCATTCAACATCTTTTCAACTAGATTTTGTGTGTCATTGTCCATTCCGTAACTCTTGTACTTGAACAAGTACGGATATTCTTCATCTAACTTTAGATAAAGACCTTTTATATTATTAATAAGTTTAGTCCAGTCTACATTGTCAAAAAAGTGTGATGAATTTTTAACCGTGTTTAGCTGCAAATAAAACACTTTACATAAAAATGTCGAAATTGAAAATGACGATGAAAACGTCTGCGAGACGTAAATAATATAGTAGGAATGAGAAGAACATAATATGCTAAGATACCTTAGAATACTGGAAGTTGAATGGGGTTTACACATAAAGTAATTATAATTTAAACAAACAATGAAAATTATGTTTTTTTAAAGAAATAATAATAGATCAAAGTAGATTGCATATTATATTAAAAAGGAAATTTATTATACCAATATATTCTTTTATAAAGGAATAATTTTTGGATAACATTAATAAAAAACTACTTGTAAATATTGTGTAACTTACAGCTTTGGCTACTAAAGAATCACGTTGTAACCCTCTCTCGATTTCGACAGCTGTATCGCATAGAACGCTGAGTAGTGCTTCCTGATCTACATTTTCAGGAAATTCGAGGTAGCTTGATGCATTTTCGATCCCATTACAAACTATATCCTCGCTAGGTGTCGACAGAGTCTTGTACGTCTAGATAATTGATAAAATTATATATTACTTTTTCATATTACACTTTTTACCTTGTATAGATTTACATACAGACTGAATACACTACTATTGCTACTGCTACATATAGATTTACACAGAGACAGAATCAAAAGAATAACCAAATGCTCCAATTCAAACCTCTATCGTTTTCTCCAAATTTACTAGCCTATTTAGCAGCATGCCGGTTATGAGTAGTTTTAACTTAGTCTTTTTTCAACTATATCTACTTGAGACGCATGTTTATTCATCTGTGATAGCTCCTACTCATATTTCCACTCAGATAAGTCTAAACGTCTCAATATCTCTTTCATAATTCTTCCTTCATACATTCTTTCAAAATCAAATCACATATATGTACACTGTAAAATCAGTTTATCATTTGGAAAACTTGTTTCTATCTTTAGTATACCACTTTAAAATTCACATTTCCTCGATCAAATTTTAATATACATATATTTCATTACCTTATCTTCATCAAGCATAGTTTTCAACATTGTCTGTATTATATCTGGATATATTTCTTTCAATCTTTTAACTAATTGTACTGAAGGAGTACCAAGCTGTTCATTTATGGCTGTTACCATCGTGGTGATATCTATTAGTGTTGGAGATATTTTGTACTCTAGTAGAGGATTTTGTTTTACCACTTCTTTCGCTAATGCACCATGCACCGTGATCCTGTAATAATATAAAAAAGATTGCATGGCAGAGAAATATTTTCGAGTGGCGAACTTCTATAGCGAAATATAAGCTTCAATTGATGTATGTGATGTTTTTTGTGGGTTCTTATAGATAAATTAGTAGAACTAATATTGTCAATCAAAACTTCATTAAACTACTAGATTTTACTTGTTCAAATATAAAGAACAAATATTCTTCTTTGTACATATATGTCATGCTTAAATTATGTAAACAATTTCATGAAAATTTTATCAAACACTAATAATATGTAATAATATACAATAATATGTAACTGAGTGACTTACAACATCTGTTTCCCCAAATGTCCTTTCTCTCGTACAATTTTCATGAAATCCGAATCTTCTGAGACATTAAATAACTTATTCCAATTTAAATTAGTTTTTTCCACATCTGTATTTATTTTAGTTAATGTTTCAGTAAAGTTTTTGAGTACATCAAATACTTTGTCTGTGCTATATAATAGTTCATTTACATTTTTGCCTATAGTCTCTTGTATGACTATAGATGCCATTGAATTTATCTGAGAACGAAACAATCTGTAAGAATTTTCTATCTTTTATGTTGTATAGGTAAAATTATAAGAAGATAGATTGGTAAATGTAAAGAAAAAAATATATGAAGCAAGCTATGTAAAAAGTAATTAAATTATTAAATATAAAGCAAGAGATTATTGTAGATTACGGTTTCAGTAACAATGATATAAAACAATTAAAGATTAAATATAATTCTTGTTTTTATAATTATAAAAACTAAAAATAATGAAAATAATATTCCTTACATTATTTTTAACATCGTAGATACTAAAGGATCGTATCAAGTCGGTAACGTAATTTTTCCAAGGATTCGTACAAAGTTGACCTTTCAGCGAGTCTGCTTCTTCTTTGGAGACCTTAAAAAATCCCGCTATCCTATTGCTGTCACAGAACATTTGTCCCGGGAAGTTAACCTTTGCTGTAAGTATCTAAGAATAAAGAAAACTTTTGGGTAAAAATTGACAATAATAAATTTATGTTTTCATTTAGTATATATAGTAAAAATACACATTTATTTCTTATATTTTAATTCGATTATGTTCTTTATTATGTAATTTGTATGTACGTGCAATTAATTGAAACTTTTAGAATTTGGAAGGTGTATCAATATACACAATTGTGTAATCACAACAATTGCAAATCATATAATATAAAAGAATTATTTTGACTAACCTGTGTTCTTTCAGCATCAGTTAATGCTTCAAACCCTTTTCCTATAACAGATGCTGGTAATCCTACTAATATTTTAACCCCTCCGGGGTTCCTCAAGGATACATTATAGGCCATTTCCTGTATGTGGGTGTTGACTTCTATAACTTGGATAGCTCCTTCCATTAATTTAGCTAATAGTGTGGAGTAAAATGAGAAATCGTGTTTCATTTCTTCTGGTAGAAATTTGTAAACGATTTTTGTTAACTGAGCTATTCTAAAATATAAATGATATCCTTACTTATAATATCACAAAAATATAGTAGTTAACAACTATATTAAATTCAGGAAATTCTAAAATCGATTTTGAAGCGCTATCTTTAAAATTAAAATTAAATCGTTTAGCATAACTATATGTTATGAACCATCAAAACCTTATGTTACCAGAGCGAGACTTTGTACAAAGTTCATATATCGTGTGCGAAACAGTATACTCTGTTATGTCCATGGTACTGCTCATGTCTGTAGGCGACAGTTACCACTTTCCATCAGGTGGGACGTCAGCTTGTTTGCCATTCTAAGTTGTATAAAAAAAATGTAAAACGGTTATTTAATTACTTATATTGGCTTTACTTAATAGTTCATATAATTACTTATTTGTTTTATTTTTAGTTTATAACAATTTTATTGCGTAAATATTAATTTAACTGCATTTTTAAATATAGAAAATGGTGTTTCATAACTGACGCCATTGCGTAGAAATTCAACTGCAACTGATTAGTCGATATTTTAAAATTTCAAGAAAATAACATTATTTATAATTATGATGAAGTTGATTTCTTAAAATACTTATTTTTAAATACTTACATATTAAAAATACTAACTGAGGGCGATTCATTATCTATTGATTCCTCAAAAATCTTCATTGCGTTATTGAATATTTTCGACGATGACAAAGGTAAATTAACCTCGCCATCAGATTTAGTCACTTCTGCATGATTTATTACTGCATCATCGGTGTTTACTTTGGAATCATTAATTAATTTGTTTAAATACTGAACACCCATCACAAAAGCATCAGTGACATCTCTGAGAGTTTTATATATATCTGTATCGCCAAACGTTGGTTCGTATATATCCATTAATCTTTGTAACCTGGAGAAGAAACATTTTTTGGTATATATATATGCAACGTAGTTCAGATGCGAAATATGCTTAACAAAGAGATATTATAATAAAATTTAATTTATTTTTATATTGTAATGATAAATCAATAATATTATTTATAATGCTTTTAAGTTTGGCAGATATAATTAAAATATTGTATAATAAAATATAAGGGAACCTCCCATTGGAACCTTATAATTTGTAAAAGATAATTGTGAAACCTAGCTGCCTGTGGTATCAGACGAACTACTATATCTATAACATTTTAGTGACAAAAGAGCAGAAAGAGAATACGGTCACGGCCACGGTTTAAGGACAGTACCTGACTGTCTTTAAACTTTAAACTGAAGCATCTAATTTTTTTAAAAAGTAAATTTTTATTTTCAATGAATCAAGTCATATTAGTAGAAAAGTTTGTAGCGAGTTTTGGTTTTTAAATAAAAATGTTACTTTTTTTTAAATTATAATCTATTTATAACATAACATTATTAAAGAATTGGAGGAAGTAAACGATGATAGTCTACATACAAACATATTTTGTTCAAAAAGCCTAAAATTTGCGTATCTTAATTCATATAATTTGTTGGTTACTGATCGTATAATATTAGCAAAAGTACCTTCAAATTTAATAAAGTTTACATGTCAAAGAAAGTAAATAGGGTAAACTCACACAGTGACATTAAAGTAGTTGAAGTCCACGTCCCCATCGGTGAAGATATTCACCAGCTCTGAAGGCAGGAAGCTCTCGGAACTGAGCATATGTAGTACAGCAGAGACCATGTCTCCCAATTCTAAGAGTCTTCTATCCCCTGATAGTTTATAGTACATGTCGCCGATCTGTGAAAATTGTTAGTTTTAGACTCTCTTTTTTTATACCTCAAAGTTAGATAACAGACATACAGCTCGTTTTATTGTAAATGATTCCTGTAGCCTATGGATACCCGGATGCAACACGAGGGGAGGGGATCATGTACGCGTGCCGGTCTTGATTGAAACCTTAATATACCTTTTTTTGAGAAACCCATACTGTAGTCTCTACGGAAAACTTCAAACTGTAGAGAACTCATTCCACTGCCTGAACCTTCATTCAATATGCACGATCAAATTAAAATAGTTTTCTATGATTTTTTAATAAAACTTAATGAAAATCTAATTAAACGAACATATGACCCGACCATAAGACAGTGCTTGATGATACTCAATCATAACAAAAAGAACAATAAAAAAAAAAAAAACAGATTAATTGATACAATTTATTACTAATTTTATTTAGAGAGTGTTCCTGTGAGTGTTCTTGTAAAGTAACACCTAAAAATGTACCTTATTCCAGCAAATAAATGATTTCAATTTCAATTTCAAAATTTCTGCAAAACTTGATTTCTTAAGTTCCAAGTAAAAATTTAACATTTTTGCAAATGTGAAATATTAAATGATTAACGACAAAAAATATGGGTTTCTCGTACTAACTTAACAGCCTATGTTAGTACAATTAGACTAGAATTTTTTTCTCGTGTTTCTTTGGTGAAAATGTTCAGTTTCACTTTTCATTTAATATGAAACAAAAAAACTTACCATTTCGCTGTACTTGCGGAAATCTATCTCACGCAGTAAATTCATAATAGATTGTACAATATCACTTTTTGATAACGAACACAGTCTTTCTGCAAAGATCACTGCGTGTTCATCGCTACTTATTCGCAAAATCCTTGATACAGCTTCTGCATTGCACTTATCTGTGTCTCGTTTGAAGATCTGTAAAGTGTTTTTTTTTTATACAACTTATAATGGCAAACAAGCTGACGGCGCACCTGATGGAAAGTGGTAACGTCGCCTATAGACATGAGCAGTACCATGGACATAAAAGAGTATACTATTTCGCCCATGATACCCCCTGTAAATCGACTGACATATCCCACCCTTCAAACCGAAACACAGCCATGCAAACACAACTGCTTCATGGTAGAAACACGAATGGGACAGAGGTACCCAAGCAATCGACTTTTGTACAAAATTAAGCTAAAAAATAAAATGTACTTTGAAATTAAATTTGCAACTTTTACTCTGTAATGTCCTTGTGCTTTAATACTTATAGGCAACAGTTATTGCGTTTCATTAGATGGCACGTCAGCTTGTTTGCCATTCCTACTTTTTTTTTATTAGAAGGTAGTCAAACAAGATGAAAATAATTTAAATCAATGGCGTAATTGCTGATATCATCATCATAATCATCATCATATTCGCTATTAACTATTCACTACTGAACATACCCTTATTAGGGGGGGGGAAGGGATTGTTAGTAATAGAGACTAAGAATCCCATTGCTAGCAATATACTCAACCTGGTCAATCTCCGCGCGATTCCCCCTGGAAACTATCATGGTTAATTCCTGATAATTCATCATGATAGGCTAATTGGCCTGTTTTTATACTAACTTATCATCCTTCACTGGTGCCCTGCGAGCGTATACTGTTAGCGCAGGCGGGGTTACCATTCCATTTTTACCCATAAAAAACCCCTATTAGAGAGTTTCGTCAGAAGTTGCCACGCTTGGCACGCGGATTGAAAACCGCATTTAAGCTGTGGTGATGTTTTAAGAAAGGCATTGCTCCCCATTTTCCTCGACGATTAAATTCCCTTAGTCGCCTCTTACAACAGTCATGGAAAGAAAGGAGTGACCCATTCTATGCCGGGACCACATGCAATATTGCTGATAAACAATACTGTAATAAACTAACGGACGAATTTACACTATAGTGTTCCTTATATTTTTTAGTAAGAAAAAAAAAATAGAACTAATCAAATAATGCTTCGTTGCCTGGCACCCCAGACATTTTTTTTAAGAAATGCATGTAGATAGTAAACTTACACCTTGGAAGTTTAGTTCTGCATCCATAACACTTTGAGCCACGTCTTCTCCAACTCCCATGTTGGATACCAAGTACCGCTTCAGTCTACTTGGGCTTCTGAATAGGTCTTGGAATTTCAGACCGTTTTCTGCAAAGGCCAAATAAATATATATCTAATATATAAAATTCTCGTGTCACGGTGTTTATTACCAAACTCCTCCGAAACGGCTTTACCGATTTTCATGAAATTTTGTGTGCATATTGAGTAGGCCTGAGAATCGGTCAACATCTATTTTTCATACCCCTCAATGATAAGGGTGACCCACCCCTAAAAATTTTTTTTTTATTTTTTTGACATTTTTTTTTATTTGAATATGATTTAGCATTGAAAAATACATACAACTTTAAATTTTCACCGTTTTACGATCAACCCCTGTATTTTAATCGTGATTTTTATATCTTGTAATAAGTGGTAAAACAACGTTTACGGGGTCAGCTAGTATATGTATATATGCAAAAAAGTTCACAGATATCATAAACTTTTTGATTTATTTACTCTATTCACCGAAAGGAGTTCTGTTTATATAAATTTGGACAATACTAAAGTTGATTTTTCTGTAGACAAAAGTACAAGGTCCCTAAATTTTTTTAATGTAGCACTTCTATAATGTTCGTGGGTAATTTATCGTGTATTAAACACAAAGGTCCAACTGACCTAACTTCATTCTCACCGTGAGGAATGGAATTTTAGTAACAGGGACGTTTAATGTTATTGCTACAAAAATACCCTATTAAGTCGACCTTAACATGGTCCCTTCTGGAAACCATTATGATTAACTCTTGATGAGTTGATCACCGGTTGGTGGGTTATCCCACTTTCAGTTCAGTTATCTTTTTTTTTTATTTAATTATCATACATAAATACATTAAAAAAAATTGGATTTTTAATACCACTTAAACCTCTTGGGCTTGTGTGTGATACTTTACATTCGGTTCTCAAATATCACTATTTACATTAATATTCTGCTGTTTTAGCAAGGTTGGACAGTAAATAAGCTCTCAGTTTTAATTTTATGTTTTTGACAGTGATATTGTTTCGCAAGTCGGTAGGTATCTGAACTGGTTTCATTCTCACCTATCACTCTCTACTTACTAGTACCTCGCCGGCGTATAACGTTAGCGGAGTAATCATTCCAATATCATTCATTAAAACAACCTCATTCTCTCCTATCGTCATTCATGGGTACGAATGAATGACGATAGGAGATCAGCGTGTGCTAATAGCGCAGGCAGGCATTTCAAAAAATAATTCTATGAGGCGTTCAGAGTTAAAGATTCATTAAAACATTAGCTTGTTGAGGAGTCCTTTTACAGTGTGCAAGCAGTTTTTGATACAAGAAGGTAAACAACCTGCTTGTATTACCTATCGTATTACAATGCAGCTGTCATCAATAGTCCATGATTTGACAGTGACATTTCCTTCGTTTTTTATTGTTGACAAGTGTCAGACATTTTTGATGTATTTTTTTTTATATAACATTTCGAATTTTAATGACTTATTTAACATTTATTCTTTTTAAGTTTTAATATTTGTATGCCTAATTATGGCGAAATATGAGGACTTATACTTATTGTAACATCTATACACTTACCATGTTTCTTGTAAATAAATAAATAAATAAAAATAAATAAGTTAAATAAAAGATTTCCTATAATTTTTAGCGATAAGTCTGTTTATTGTTATCTCTATCACAAGCGTGATCTTTGCTTGTAATTCTTGTGTTTTCACAAAAGTACTTCAATCTTTTGTATTAAATAATAGAGTATTTATATGCATATTTTACTTACTACTTATATCAACGAAGGTGGGCTGGTCAGCAATGTCAGCGAGCGTGGACAACAGCTTGAGGGCATTAGGGACGGAAGCCGCCACGTCCAGGACTGTCTCGTTGTATATCAGCGGGGAAAACTGACGTTGCAGTTGGGTCAATCTGAAGACGAAAAACTGGTGACAAACTTATTTAAAAAAAGTCATTGTTACTACTTTTGTGTTACTATGGCACACGCATGAAGGAATGTTAACAAAGGAGATTGTTAGATTATGTATTTTGTTTTTGTATTTTTGTTTTTGTATTTTTGTTTTTTTATTTGTGCTTTTTTTTATTTTTATTCTTTTGTCTCTTTTGCTGTGTATTACGTGTATGTTTTTTTTTATTGTAATTTGTGTGCTGTAAGTAATGCAAATAAATTGTCTATCTATCTATCTATCTATCTATCTATCTATCTACTTTAAAAAAATACATATTTACAAATTTTTTTTTATGCAACTTAAAATGGCAAACAAGCTGACGGCCCACCTGATGGAAAGTGGTAACCGTCGCCTATAGACATGATCAGTACCATGGACATAACAGAGTATACTATTTCACCCATGATACCCCCATGCGTTGCCATTCCTGAGGACTGAGGTGTTATTCCTCTGTACTCAGTAAATTCACGCAATATCCCACCCTTCAAACCGAAACACAGCCATGCAAACACAACTGCTTCACGGTTGAAACACGAGTGGGACAGAGGTACCCAAGCACTCGACTTTTGTACAAAGTCTCCCTCTGGTAAAATAATAATAGGTAAAATTAAAGTCGGTCGAGCGATTTCGGAGAACAGCGTTAAGGAACATCATGGTATGGAATTTTTATATATTAAGAAAATAAATGCTGGATGATTGTTCACTCACTTGGAATCCTCATACGTGGGTATCTCTTGGTACTTGTCCATTGGTAAGCACTCATTGTTGACGCTGCACACGAAGGACTGCAGGAATGTCAATAGGCCTGCGCTGGGCAGCGCACGCGCAGCGAACTGGCCTGTAACATGGATTAATTTTCGTGTAATTTGTATTTTTTATACAATGTAGAATGATAAACTAGTTATCGGCTTTTATCTTATAAAGAGTGGTAACCTTCGCCTTTAAAAATAAACAACACCATAATTATTATAGAAAAGACTGTTATATCCATGGAATTCTTCTATTAGGTACTTTTTTATTTAGTTTTATAATAAAAGTAGGTAGGTATACGATAATTTTCAAAACATTAAATATGAATTGAACGAAACATTCAAGCAATTTTTTTTTATACAACTTAGAATGGCAAACAAGTTGACGTCCCACCTGATGGAAAGTGGTGACCGTCGCCTATAGACATGAGCAGTACCATGGACATAACAAAGTATACTGTTTCGCCCATGATACCCCCCATGCGTTGCCATTCCTGAGGACTCGGATGTTATTCCTCTGTACCCAGTAAATTCACGCCATATCCCACCCTTCAAACAGAAACACAGCCATGCAAACACAACTGCTTCACGGTTAAAACACGAATGGGACAGAGGTACCTAAGCAATCGTGTGTCAACCGTGAAGCGGTTGTGTTTGCATGGCTGTGTTTCGGTTTGAAGGGTGGGATATGGCGTGAATTTACTGGGTACAGAGGAATAACATCTGAGTCCTCAAGAATGGCAACGCATGGGGGGTAACATGGGCGAAACAGTATACTCTGTTATGTCCATGGTACTGCTCATATCTATAGGCGACGGTTACCACTTTTCATCAGGTGGGCCGTCAGCTTGTTTACCATTCTAAGTTGTATAAAAAATAAAAAATAAATATGAACTTCTGTAAGTTAACAGCTAGTTTAGTAAAAAAATTCAGTTTACTCACAAGTGGGAAAATCTTGATTGTCCACATTTATGCGTACTATATACAAGCTGAAGACCACCGCCACGGCCCACACCACGCCCGCCAATGTAACCTGCGATGAACATTGTTGTATACAGAGGGGAGTCTTCTTATACAAGTTAGAACAGCAAACAAGGGGAAAGGTATTGTTAGTAATGGCGACTGAGAATCCCATTGCTAGTAATATACCTAACCAGGTCGACCTCCTCGCGGTTCTCCCTGGAAACTATCATTGTTAACTCCTGATGAATTTATCATGATGTGCTAACTGGCCTGTTTTCATTCTTATCTATTACCCTTCACTGGTGCTCCGCCAGCGTATCCCGTTAGCGCAGGCGGGGTTATCATACCATTTTACCCATCAAAAAAAAACCGAATGGGGAGGGGGGAAAGATTGTTAGTAATAGAGTCTTACAGTCTCATTGCTGGCAATATATCTTATCAGGTCGACCTCCAAATGGTCGCCTTGAAAATTATCATAAGTCTAGTCCATCATTTATTTATGGTGTTGGAGCAGGCGAGGTTACCATTCCATTTTCATCCAATAAAAAGAATTGAATAGAAAGTGGTAACCGTCTTTTTAGACATAGACATATGAACAGTACCATAGATATCATACAATATATAAATATAAAAGCAAATCTGTATAAAAAAGTATGTGTAAAAATGCAAGGAACTAGCATCGGTCGGTCGCCAACGACTTACTCCTCTCCATCCAAAGGTTGCTTGGAAGAGATCGTTTTCAGCGATAAGGCCATTGTTTTCTCGGTATGAACATACCTTGTAATTGTTTATATTCATAATAAGTTTACTATTGTAATTTTGTGAAGGAAACAATAAAAAATTATCTATTTATCTTTCTATATTATTAATTATTTGTGATTTTGTCTATGTAAAATAAAAATATAATGAAAAGAAATAAGTATTAGCTACTTATAAGACAATTGTTCTTTCATAAGCCTACGTAAGGTATCTTAGATTATATGTATAGACAGAGCATATAGCCTCAAAAACGAGTCAACTTTTTGTCAGCTAATTATCAAATTAGATGACTCTTTTTTTTTTATTAGTGTTACATATATACTTACGCATACAATGTATCTTGACGTATTATTTAATAAATAAAGTATTTACGCATTAAAAAGATACAGAAATTTTAAGACAAAATAAATAGAGGAGTTATAAAGGAATTACTCATAACTGTTTATCATGCAAATTTGTAGGAAAAAGTTGAGCCGCTTTTCTCGAAATATTTGTATGGGGACACTGTATCTATATAATATAAGGTAGGTATATATATACCCATTTCCGTCGTCTAATAAGGTAGTCCTTCCAAAGCAATAGACGGAGCTGGTGGCCCGCCATCGCGCGACCGAGCCGCGCCTGCGCACCGGTGCATCACTGTAACAACACATAATGGTTTATAATAAGACTAGCTAATTCGACCAACTTGAACGGGGGGGGGGGGTTGTTAGTAATGCAGATTACTACTCCCAATGCTAACAATATACTCTCACAGGTCAACCTTCCCGTGGTACTCCTGGAAACCATCGTGCTGAATGTGATAGATGAGAATGAAAACAGGTCAGTTAGCCCATCATAATGAATTCATCAGGAATTAACCATGATAGTTTCCAGGGGGAACCGCGAGGAGGTCGACCTGGTTGGGTATATTGCTAGCAATGGGATTCTCAGTCTCCATTACTAACAATCCCTTTCCCCCCACCAAGTGTATTATTCATCACGATGGGCTAACTGCCTTTCCATTTTCGCGTATCATCCCTCATTGGTGCCCCGTCAGCGTATACCGTTAGCGCAGGCAGGGTTACCATTCCATTATCATCCATTATAACAAACAGGAACACCCTAATCACTTAGCGGTATGAAATATATTTTACAACCTATCCTCATACCTACCACTTTTACATACATACATACAAAATATTTCATAAAAATCAGTTGTGCCGTTTCGGAAGTATGCGACTACACCTCTCACCAGAGGGAGACTTTGTACAAAAGTCGATTGCTTGGGTACCTCGGTCCCATTCGTGTTTCAACCGTGAAGCAGTTGTGTTTGCATAGCTGTGTTTCGGTTTGAAGGGTGGGATATGGCGTGAATTTACTGGGTACAGAGGAATAACACTTGAGTCCTCAGGAATGGCAACGCATGGTTGGTATCATGGGCGAAACAGTATACTCTGTTATGTGCATGATACTGCTCATGTTTATAGGCGACGGTTACCACTTTCATTCAATCAGATGGGCCGTCTGTTTGTTTGTCATTCTAGTTGAATAAAAAAATAAATAAAAGAATTCACTGGTCGTGACTTAGTTTAAACGCCAGTGCCACGCTACACTTGCGTGCTACTTTACAGAATACTTGATCAATGTGAAGAGTAGCTTTATAATCAGCAGACACTGTGGTCACGCATCACCTGTCATATATGACGGGTCCGATGACAGGAAATGACAAACACATAGAGAACGGGGTTATTATGTGGTTGTGTGACCAGTTATTACCGGTTCGAATCTGCGAAGGACGCGCGTGAACTAATGAGTGTTGCTTGCACCCGAGGTCACCAAGTTCGAAGTTCGTCGATGCTGGAGGTTGTAATGGCAATTAGTTGTAAGAATTGTTGCTTGTGTTCTTTCAATATAATTATATATTATATTGCTTTTAATGATTCTCGAGTCGTGACCTTTGTTATGTGGAAAATTGGTTTTGAACGAATGAATTACAATTTCCGTGAATACTATTTTTAAATGTTATATACTCTGTGATTTATGGATGTTATGGGTATTTTTTTAATGGGTGATAATGGAATGGTAACCCCACCCGCGTTATTGGTATACACCGGCGGGACACCAGTGAGGGATGATAGATGAGGATGAAGTAGGTCGGTTAGCCGATCGTGGCGAATTCAACGAGAATTGTTCACGATGGTTTCCAAGGGGAACCACGTGGAGGTCGACCTGAAAGTGCATATTGCTAGCAATATCGAACTCCATTGCTAATAATCCCTTTCCCCCTTCTTATGGGTATTAGTAGTGGATATTTTAGCTTCAAAAATCAACGATATAGATTTTTCTTAAATATATACAATACAACATAATACAATTCATAAAATATATCATTTAGATATTGTTGCCGTGCGATCCTGGCATAAAACCACCATGGGTCTTAATGGTAGAGAGATGCCTTTACCAATAATTTCCCTTAGTCGCCTCTTGCGACACTCACGGGAAAGGATCGGCATTTTCTATGCCGGGATCACACTGCCATGTACCTGTACATAGGAGATATTTTAGAAAAATTAACAAGAGGGTGTTAATAGGATGAACCAATGTATGGAATCAATTCCCAGTAGAGTATTATCGTACAGATAAGACATTGAAACCTACAGGAAAACAATATATATCTACCTTGCTAAAACACCTGCAATTTCTCTAATGTTGCGTAAGTCTGTAATAATTTACTATCAGGTGAGCTGCTTGCTCATTTCTTCTATGTTTTAAATAAAAAGATTAATAAATGCCAAAACTATATTTTTTTGGAAACTTTGTCTGTCCTTTTATATTTTTGCTTCGGTATTACGCAAAAATTGAAATTTGAAATTGAAATTTTTTGACCACCAAACCTGCACCAAATTGAATGCAGTTTTCGCAGTTGTGTTTCTGAATGTCTAACTTAAAATGTAGTGTATATTTATTTTGAAATCCTATATAGAAATAGTCTACTACTGGGTTTTTGTTTTATTTTTTGAAACCGCACGCACAAGGTAGCGAGCGAAAAGTTAATTGTAATTAATTAAGATTGTTGTGAATTCATTTATTTCAGCCATTATCCGTCCACTGCTGGACATAAGCCTCCCCCATAGGCTGCCATAAAGAACGGTCCTGAGCCACATGCATCCACTGACTCCCTGCAACGCATTTCAGGTCGTCACTCCATCTAGTGGGGAGTTTTGTGAATACTATTTTTAAATACAGATTACTCTGTGCGGTATGGAGCATCGTCATCATCTTCCTGCCTTTATCCCAATATTTATTTGTGGTCGGCGTATTTTTTTTTTACCGTTCTTCTGTATTTGCAGTAATTTGAGTAATCACTCCCATCCTGGCCATATCATCTTTCATACAGTCCATCAATCTCTTTTTAAGTCTTTTACTTTTTTTTATGAGTGAAAATGGTATGGTAACCCCGCCTGCGCTAACGGGATACGCTGGCGGAGCACCAATGAAGGGTGGTAGATGAGAATGAAAACAGGCCAGTTAGTCCATCATGATGAATTCATCAGGAATTAACCATGATAGTTTCCAGGGGGAACCGCAAGGAGGTCGACCTGGTTGGGTATATTGCTAGCAATGGGATTCTCAGTCTCCATTACTAACAATCCCTTTCTCCCCTAAGTATTTTACTGTCCTTATAGCTATCCACATTAATACTCAATAACTTTCTTAAAACATACTCCTGATCCATGCGCGTCACGTGTCCACACCAGGATAGACGGTTACTCCTTAACTTTTCTATTACTGGTGCTTCTTTCATACTTCCTACCATCATCTTCCTACCCTTATCCCAAGTATTATTTGGGGTCGGCGTAATATGTTTTTTATCCATATTACAACAAGATTCGGCTTATAGTTTTACGACCGGCCGCCTGCCTGACGTCAACCCTCTTTGGGAATACCTTTCATATTTCCTATGATATTCTCAATCTTAACTTTGTCCATTTTTATTACGCCAAAAATCCATCTCAATATTTGCATCTTAGCTACATGCAGTCTCCTTACATCCATCACCTTTTCTGGCCAACACTCCGATCCGTATAAGACAGCAGTCCTGATAAGACAGGAGTCTTAGATTATATAGATAGAGTGTCTCCATAGAAATGCTTCGAGAAAAGCGTGTCAACTTTTTCATACAATTTTGCGTGATAAATAATTATGAGTGATTCCTTTATAACTTCTATATTTATTTTGTTTTTTAATGCGTACAAACACATTTTATTTATTAAATAATACGTCAAGATACATTATATGTGTAAGTATATAGAACACTGATAAAAAACGCGTCAGTTAATTTGACAATTAGCTGACGAAAATTTGACCCGTTTTTGAGGCTTGATATAATCTAAGATAGGAGCATATCTTGTAAATTTATCACTCGAGTTGTACCCCCCAGTGGGGAAACATGTTAAAAATCGTTAGTACAAATGTTTTATACCCAAAATCATAGGAAATAAAATTATTTCTATTATTATTATTTATAACCGACGACACAAGCTAAAAATAAATTTAAACGTTACATTGATTTATGCTAAAGTTATGTTTAAGCCATAATAGTTATAATCATATAGATACGATTATTGAATAAAAATAAGTTGATGACGTCAGTATGGTGATATGGGTTTACCAAATTAGATGAATGACGCAATATTTTTCATTAGATATTTAATAATCCTCACTTATTTACTTAATATTATAAATTAAAATTAAATAATAAAATAAAGATATAAATAATACCACAGAGAGACTTTGTACAAACGCCGTTTGCTTGGGCACCTCTGTCCCATTCGTGTTTCTATCGTGAAGCAGTGATGTTGATGAAGGATGGGATATGGCAGTGAATTTACAGTGTACAGAGGAATAACACCTGAGTCCTCAGGAACGGCAACGTATGGGGGGTATCATGGGCGAAACAGTATACTCTGTTATGTCTATGGTATTGCTCATGTCTATAGGCGACGGTTACCACTTTGCATCAGGTGGGCCGTCAGCTTGTTTGCCATTCTAAGTTGCATAAAAAAAATTGAAGTAAGTTTGTTTGTTTATTACCTTATAGCGCATTAATAATGCTTAACCAATCGCTATGAAATAAATATATATATATATATATATATATATATATATATATATATATATATATATATATATATATAGCACTATCATACCTACTTGTACAACAATTAGTCCGTTACCTTAAGGTTGTCTTGAAAAGATTGCTCTCAGCAATAAGACCGTTTTACTGTACGTATACAAATGTGTCGTTATGTTTGTAAATTGTCTTGCTTATTTCCTATATTGTATAATATAAATAAAATATACTCATTTATTCATTCTAATTCTGCAGCTGATATGATAGTGAAATTTACGAGCTACTGACATAACACCGTAATCCTTGGCAAAGCAAGAAATGGCAACGTCTGAGGAATAGCTTGGGTGTTGTGTATATATATATATATATATATATATATATATATATATATATATATATATATATATATATATATATATATATATATATATAGATGGAGAAGGATAAAAGTTACTTATTGTCCCGTTCATTAAAAAATGTCCCGGTCACGCAAAAGAAGTCGTAGGTAATAGCTAGTCTTAAT